CGAATAAAAGGTGGTTTTTGTCGTCAGGGTCCAAGGACCAGATCTACGGTACTGTACTGTACGTGGCAACGTTAGGTACACCGGCATTCGTGTTGTTTTTCGTGTGTGTCCACGTACTTTCTATTGAATTGTACATACCATAAACCACACACGGGCAGACAGCAGACAGCAGATAGCCAGACAGCATACACCATATGTACCATATACCATAGGTACCATACAAGCGATGGGCTTACCTACCCTTAAGGTAGTTGTCGCTTAAATTTCAGCTCTCGAGAAATACCAGTAATATCTACCAGTAATTTCACTACCGATACTACCGGTACCGAAATCAGCCGACTATCACAAGTTCCTGATGTGATTCGGTGTACCCTCTTGGAGAAGCCGGCGAGGTTCGGGTACTAGTTTGACCTCGAAGGAAGTTCTCTTTTTCTCTCCCTTCTCCGACGTTTGATTCTTCTTACCCTGAAGGGTCTGAATGGGGGGAACTGTGCTATCGTGATTTGATACCGTACCAGTCCCTTGTGCCTAACCCAGCGGAATGCCTGATGGGGAAGGCGATCGTACCTAGGTCTGGCTAGCCGGCTAAGTCGAGCGAGATCTATGTCGCAATTCTGAAACTAGCCGCGATGAGATTACCTGTCAACGCCGACTTTTGGCGGGAAACGGAGTGGGAAAGGGGGGGATTAAAGTATTACAAAGGTATGATGAATTCGAATTGCAGAAAACACGACACACGAACAATCGGGAATGAATTATCTTCCAATTCCCAATTCCAAATACCATTTAACTAAAGAAAGGAGGCAGGCCAATTGCGGCGAAAATATAAGAAACGGTAGGAAAAGGTGGGAAAAGGTGGAGAATATCTCTACTAAGACCTTGTCAACGAATATTCGCCGGAGCGGGCAAGATCTGAGACCTTGTTGATCTATATATCTTCGTACGAAACGTACGAAACCATATAGCATCATCATACAGCATCAGAACTAGCACCGGTACCATATTACGCCTGTTGCATCCTTAAAATCAAGTTTCTTACCTGGTTTCATATGCAACATATGCAACGCCCTCAAGGCGCAAAACAAGCAAAAATAAGTCAAGGCGGTAGAATCCGGGAGGATCTCCTTATTGACGATTCGATGACATGACACCCGACCCGAATAATATTATGTATACTACCTACCTAGGTATGTAAGAGCCCAGAAGAGCCTACTATAATCATTTGTTACTATCATTGGCTTCATCGACTTGATTCGGCTTCCTATATTACCTAAGATGATACCTAAGACGGAAAGATCACGGCTATGCCCTGTACATTTTTTTAAGGTGGCTGGTTCTTCTAGAAGTCTCGAAGTTGCGGTGTCGAGACTATTTCTATATATATTAAGTAATATAAGCCCGAGATGTAATCCGTATATAATCCATAACATACATACATACATGTATATATGTACACACGGCAATCCTTTAACCTCGTTACTGCGGCACATAGAGGTAGGTACTTAGACTACCTCCTATTTACATATCCTTATTACATACCTACCTCTTTGATGTGGAGAACGTCTGATAGGATATCAGCGATTCCTTTTTAAAAGGCGGCGGCGTCTACCACCAGCCCTAATGCGGAACGCAGCGTTTGTCATTAATGAATCCCTGTGTAGCCTTTTCTCTCGCTGGACGCTTGCATTGCCAACCACAATGAAAATGAACATGGCCTGAATAAGAATTAAACGCACTAACCTAATCCTGAGCTATCTTAAACTTGAACTAGACGCTTATTATTTAGCATCCTTCTCAAGCTTGGAATAGCATCGTGTTACAGCTCCGGGCCTTAATCTCTTTTCGTTAATCTCCTTTTTGTAGATTGGCCCCTTGCTAATAATGGCCGTGGCCAATCCAGCAAGTAAGCTGCATATCTCATTGCTGTTAGTACATAGTTTACATACATAGTAGTTACGTGTAACACTCTAACAAGAAGTCTTGAATATTAACTAGTTAATAATATTGTTGTCAACTATAAGCGCAAATATTGCAATACTTGACTTAAATTAAAGACAAGACTATTTACTAAAAGTTCTATATGCATTTCTATATAACTAGACAATGACGTAACATGCATGATAATGTTTTAGGGATTATGTCAACTGTTGGTCCGTTGGGAAAGGGATGCATCATGTCGACGCTGACTGACCGAAGAGGCTGCTGCAGTGATAGGCATACCTAATCTGCTCGTTACCAGCAAGCATTCATGCGTGTGTATTTCCGCGCGCCTCTGCAACGTAAAGCGGGACGACAAAGTTGTGTTTCCCCAAGCATCGTCACCAACCCAGCATGGCCTTGTCAAGTGCTATTCCAAGTACCTAGCCTATGGCGCTCACATATGCCCGTGTCTCAAAAGGACATTTTAGTACCGATGATGCAGCCGAGCTGTCACGCATGCGCAAGCCACTTGATCGTAATCGTGGGACTATATGCGAGAGATGCGGGATGGGGATCGGGGGGGTGGTGTAAGCCTGCGAGTCATGATTCAATTTATTTAAAAAAAAAAAATTTCTTTTCTCAGAACCATCGCCGCTTTCTATCCATATCCGGGGTTTCATTACGGATGGGTAGCAATCTATAGTGCTCTCCCGTGGGTAACTGTGTAGTATTGCACATAACCCAGCCAAGCTGGCTAGATCGTGAGACCTCCCCTTTCTACCGTATCCAGCAACACAAAAGTGACGATATAATTAAGTAGTCGAAGCTTAGCAAATCCAAGAATTCGGATGCCAAGCCGTTGGGCTACCCCATTTACGGATATCCGAATTTATCAACATTTCCCTTTTCTTCAACCCGTCCATCCATCCTTTTAGGCTCTCGGGCCACGCGATACTCGCGTGCCTTAGGGCTATACCTTACATACATAACCTTGGTAGTATACCTTACATAGTACATGAAAAACCCTGAGCCGGGATCTATTATCTCGCTAACCTCATAGCGCGCCGTAAGTCCCACCATCCTAATCCGAGCCGACGGATCGATGCCACCAACCCGCGCGGCTCCATTCGCAAATATCCTCCGTCACTCCGGGGGCGAAAGAAAATGAGAAAATTTCTTACTCACCCCAGAGGGCGCCGATATGAATTAGCAACAGTAAGCGCCCTTTGATGCTACCTAAGTTTCTCGGTTTAAGCCTTTCGGAAATTATCAGGCAGAATAGGGAGACGCTCACCTAGAGGGAGAGGATGAAAACGGGACCCTTGTCGCCATGTGGTAGCCGACCACCTCCAAGATCAACGGACGGCGCAGTCCCGTTTTCTAGTTCTAGAGCAGAGACGGGGAGATCGGGTATCGAGTACCATCCCCGCCAAAAGCTTGTCGCCCAAGGTAAGGTTCAAGTTGGAGATATAATAAATATACCCCTACCACGGTATCTACCGAGCGTATATAGATGGATATGTAAAGATGAGAATGAAACCAAGATGAGAAGTCTAGAATTTTATTCACATCCATACACGAATACGTCTATGTCTACAAGCTTATCTAGTTTGCGATCACCACCCATGTCCCGATATCCTTCCCCTTGAAGATTACCTCAGACATGCCCGCCTCTCATCTTCACATGTACGCTATATCAGAACCAGAACCCTATTTCCTATACCGTCGAACACGTAATCCTTCCTTAGACAGGCCTAATCCACATCAACTACCTAACACTCTATCTTGAACACGTAAGAGACTTGAAAGTTACCTGCTGAAGTAGGTAGGTAACGTGTATCATGTACGCACAACCGACTCCACAGATTTATCGAGGGTAGCATCCCCTTCCAGAAATGCAATTGCTCCAAATACTTAGATAACACGTGTAGCAATCGGTTATACGATAAATATAGCAAGGCTAGCACCCAGCGCCTAGCTCATACGCATTGAATGGAGGATATAAATTAGTGGGATGAAGAGCTATGTATATTATCACACCAGGGGTAGCGCCAATGCAACAATCCAGCTATATTGGTCACATTATAGCAACTTTAACCTAACCACCTAGTTACCTGAATATTGAGACCTAGAACACTTGAGCCCAAGACTTCACTAACAATAGCGCTGACCAGAGTGTGTTGCTCATGATCGATAAGCTGAGTCGAATAGTTTCAGACATACGACACCAGATATCCCATTTGTTAGTCGGCCATCTTGAGAATAGGGAGTGTATCTCAGTCAGCCTTTTACTAAGTTATTAGAAGTATGATAATACGCGTCTCTTACGACAGATTGTGTAACTGTATAAGACTCTAGAACTAGGGTCTAGAACTAGGGTAACAATATTCATCCTACCCCGTGGTAGTACTCTACTGTAGGAATCGTATCTTCGTTAAGGGGATATGGAAGGCATGTCTAAAGTATGATGGCTTTACCTCTCTTCTCCGAACTAGAGCTATAGTAACCCTAACTTTTTCATATTTAGAAGGTAATCTTAAGAGTATTTCTAGATGAGCCTACTCGGCATCACTACTTGAACCCAGACACCAGAGTAAAGAGAATACCATGAAAACATAAACACGCATTGATTGAAAATGCCAGAGCATCTATATAGCTATGTACTTGAGTTGCCAGTCTCTTCCTTAGAGAACTCTCGTTATCAGCAAATAGCACTAATATCCATATATATCGCATCACCTCAGAGTGAGTGTGACGCCTAATGGTAAACAGCCATGACCTATTGTTGCCATACTGCTAGGAGAACAGAAGAACCATATCGTGATCCTCCTATTGCCATGAGCCTATCGACTCCCTGTCCAAATCAAGTAGTTAGACCCAGACGTAATCCTCAAGTCATCTCATCCTATGTCCACCTCTTACTCTCGATATCGGAGTAGTACTAGACAAACCAAACGCGCAAGTTCCAAGACCATATTCGCAAACGACGAGCTTCTAAATCTCGTTGCATAGTCTTAACGTAACTTTATATCCCCTCTCTGACATCAGTTATCCGAAAGAAAAGGTCATCCCGATAACGTTCATACAGTCCGATGTCGCTTTTTGCGCACACCATCCTGTTCACTAGACTCATCATCCTTCGACTCATACACTGCGTCGTCGTCCATCTTACGCTTCTGACCACCACCCCGACCTCGACCCCGACCTCGACCACGTCTACGGCCACGTCCACGGCCGCGCTTTGACAGACGTGCCGGGCTTGATGGGGTGTCTGGGGCTGACTCGGAGGGGGGACCGGTGTTTGAGGCGAGTGTTGTTCCATGCGGGAGGGGGTCCTGGGGAATAGCAACCCGAGAGCCAGCATCGTCTACGGCATCCTTTTTAGTCTTAGAGATTAACTTGATGCGAATGGAACGACGGGGAGGGGTAGGAGGTTCCTCGGTGTCATCATCATTATCGTCATCGTCAATGGGACTGACAGATCCCTCGTTGGATCCTTGGTAGGATTCTTCGCCGGCAGCAGCAGTACTCTGATCTTCCGCGTCACCAGAACTTGCCTGGTCTCCTTCATCAATGGGGGCTAGTGGGTGCTTTTCAAGATTGACGAGGACACGCTCTTGGTCGAGGTTAGTGATAACCAGCCTGCTATCGTAGTAGTTACGCTTTGTCGGTAGGACAATGGCGATAGGCTGCTTGAGACTTTTAACGAACAGCTTAAACTGCCGTCGTTGAAGGATTGTTAGATGCTCGTTGAAGTTGGGATATGTACATTGCCGAGGGAGGTTAGGATCGTAAGGGGGAGTGATTCGCAAATCACCAATCGGAACAGTTTTCCGGGAAACTACCGGCTGCTGCTCGACTGAAGTAGCAGAGGACTTCTGACCACCCGGAGAGACAGGAAAAGGCACAGCGTTGGCCTGCGCGTCCATGCTTTGAAAATAGGTTAGTGCATGTGTTTGCAAAGAGTAAATGTATCTCGAAGAACAAACTCATTGGTCTTTTCGATTAGGAGCCAGTGGCTCTTAAGACAAATTAATAAATAGGGAAAAGGAAATTTCAATGTTACTTACTAGTAGTTCTGTAGGTTGTGGTTTGGCCATCGGTCAGTCCATGGTGAAGCCGGAATCTCTGGTGATAACTGTGGCTCGTCCACCGACAAGCTCCCTGTTGACGAGGTCACTTTCGACGAGGTTACTGAAGATAGCGGCATCTTAAAATAGTTAGTTGACTGCTAGACACGTTAGGTGATATGGTGGGTTGTGAAAATATATCAGAGTGTAATTTTGTCGCGATGATTGAGGATAAAGTGTTTGATTTTTTGGTAACGTTGTTTTTAAATAACCATAACAGTTTTTTGTAGTGTGTACCTGACAAAAGTTTTGAAGGGTGCAGGTGAATGTAATGGGGTGGATGTTGAAATTACATATGACGAAGTACTTGACTCACCTTGTAGTAGCTTTCTTTTCTCTAGGAGGAGTACTTGTAGTTGTAGTTTCTTGAACTGATCGAAGGGTTTGAATAAAGAAAGAACTTGAGAGGAAGAAGTAAAATTTTTAAGTCCTGTGTTGTAAAAGTTTCTTTACTTTGCTTGAACTTGGGCGGTAAGAGAAGGCTGGGTAAGCTGTAAAATAATCACGATACTTATCAACTCTGCACTGAGGGTTTAAGGTACCTTCCTAAAAAATATTAAAACCTTAGGTATGCAGGTATCTTGCCCTAAATTCTCTTTAGACACCTGGTCAATGCTAATTAAAAAATTGATATTCCTAACAGACGTACACAGGTGGTAATTTTGAAAATTAGTATCAGGTCCGGGTATCGAGCCCTTTATTTTCAAATTTCGTTTAATATCGTAACATAATATTTGACAAGAAAACAAGACGGCATTGTTGGTGGGTTATGTCCTATATAACAAAGTTCAAAGAAAAGACCATGAAATTGTTCAGTAGATTTAGGTACCTAGATGCCTCTTAAATTTTATTGACATCCCGGACAATAACCTTGTATTTCTTTGCTACTTGTGGGCAATCTTGAATACACCCCTTTTGTATCGTGTATCGTATCGTAGTAGGATCCTATAACAGAGGAGAGATTAAGAGATAGAAGAGGATACGTTGGTTGCTTTATACCGAGAAGACCCAGCGACATAAGAAAAAGAATAGTGTGTTTATATATTTGACAATAGGGCCAACATATTCTAGTACTGTAGGAGCTTCAATATTGGTCAGAATATATGTACACTTTCTAGCGAAGGAGTTTTTATTATATGAATTAAGTAGTCGTACGTCTCGACTGGCTGCGAAGTCTATATCCTTTGTTTCTGTATTACTTGCTTAGCTGGTTCGAAACAGAACCCCTTTGCAACTTAAATCAAGATATTGTTATCATTATTATGTGGCATCCCCAATAGGAATAAGAGACAATAGTTTAGAATATTATCCGAGGCGGTCTGTTAATCGACGAACATGTCTAAAACGAAAGAGTCTTAGGGGCAGAGACAAGGTGATAGGTAGAAAACAATATATTCTCTAGTGCTGGATAGTATACAATTCCAGGGTAGATATCCTTAGATACTAGCTACTAATCTGTACTCCAGACTCATGAAACTCAACTAGAGGAGCCTGTGAGTTCGACAATGAGTTTAAGTAATTTGGCCTCTGTCTCTTCCGTAACACCCTTTGGGTAGTAATGAGATTGTGGATGTTGACGGGGTAGGAGAGGATCTTCAAAATCTCCTGTAAAAAGTTATACCCTACGGTTAGTAGACAAATTCTAAACATAGCCAAGGAGGACATAGAAACTTACTCATGTTGAACTTCTGGTCGGCAAGTCTAGTTCGCGCAAGATCTAGATCCTCCCTGGACCGCTTGTCGTTCCAGGTACCCACTCTGACTTCGGAAGAGTCCGGGGTGAAGGCAGCATCGCTAAAGGAGTGTGTGGGCGTGTGAAGCTGGCCCGGTACCCGCGAGGTGAGCGGACGAGATGAGCTGGGAGTGTTGCTCTGCATGGCTTCTGAGTATCTTTTAGCCCTTGTAGGTAACAGAATAAATAAGTCTCAGTTACTACAGCCTAAAGTTAGTTACGATATCCCATCGTCTTCCAACGTAGTAGTTGACTTACTAGGATTTGGGTAAGAGGTACTTAACCTATGCTGATATAAATAGCTGAGCTTGTGATATTCCAAGAAACGTGAATAGACAGATAATTTAAGTAAAACAAGGCAGGGTAAAAAGGAAGAAAGGGAAAACAAGGTAGGCCGTATGATATTGAGCAAGTTGTCTAGTGTGTACCTTATATTATATTTGCTACCAATGACTGTGTGTCTTCAATGTTGTCTGATGTTTTCTTGGTGAGTTGTTAGTTGTTAGTAGCACAGTTTAGGTACAGCTGTAACCTAGAGTTGTAGTTGGAGCTAAGGGCGGCAATAGCCGACCCCACTCTATATTAGCTACTGTGATTGGCTCCATTCTTTGTAACTCAGGTTACCCTGCACTGTAACACAAAACGTACATACATGTACGCAGCAGGTTAGCCAGACTGCCACAAATTAGGTAAGCTCGAAAGCTCCGCGTCAAATGCAAGGGGCTATGGGTTATGGGGTAACTCTACATGTGTACTTCCTAACCTAATAACTCCGTTCGCGAAAAGCGAAAAATCTCCCCTCCCGCTCAATTGCTGGAGCTGTTCCTTTTTAAAGACCCAATATGATTACAATCTTATATATGTGATTACGGATAGAAGCTGAGGAGCTGAGATAATTGATTATTCTTAGATTAATACAATCAGTATATACGCCTTAAATTCGCTCGAGCGCCCCGCATTCCAATACACCTAGCTACCATGGCAAAGAGGACGACTAAAGTTCCAGATGCCTGGGAGGACGACGACTGGGAGGTTCAAGCAGACAAGGCCATCACTATCGAAGAAGAATCGAAGTCTCAGCCGCAACAGCAGCCGCAATTGAGCAAAGCCGAGCGTCTAGCGCAACATGCCGAGTCCAATAAGAAGCTCTGGGAATCAGCGTATGTCTCTATTTCCCTTTCCTACGTTCTCAGATAGACTAACACACATTCGCAGCGAAGCGCCCCCCGAGACATTCCACTACCTCGCCGCGCGTTCAGAACCGCCTCTCACGACAGGCTTTAAGCCCGCCGTAAAGGTCCTGAGCCGGAAGCCCGTCTCAGACCCCAATGCTGGCGACGACGACGAAGACAACAAGAAGACCCCGCAGCTCACACCTGAGGAGATCCTAGCCAAGCAGCAACGGGAGCGCGAGGAGAAGCAGCGACGCTACGACGAGGCTCGCGCTAAGATATTCGGCACTAATAGTACTGTCATAGGAAGTTCGAACCCGTCGTCGGGCACCTCGACGCCTGGCGCTGTGACGCCCCCGCGGTCGGCCGAGGGGCGGGGTCCGCGGGGTAGGGGAAGAGGTGGTAGAGGGGGTGGTGGAGGACACCGGCATAATGAGAGCCGAGGAGAGAGGGATAGGGACAGGGATAGTAACATCCAACGACCTAGTAGCCAGTCGGGCGGGGGACGGGAGCTCTACGACCCAAACTACTCGCCTAAGCCTGGGGTTCAACTTGAGCGGAAAGGGAACATCAACAACAGCGATGGTGGAGCACCATTGTCCCGGCGTTCTACGCCGCGGGAGGAAGATCAAATCATCCGTGCACCACGGGGCCCGGACGGGAGTGGAAGGGGAGGGTTCGGTTTTGCCAAGCGTGGCGCCAAGGGCAGTTGATATTATTACTTGGGTTCTTCTATATGCCGATCTACAATAATGATGCTACCAGCCGCCGCCGATCTTGCCAGCTAATTGGACGACCCTTTCCGTGCTACCCGCCGCTTTGTCCTTGCCCACGTCGCTCACCACCTCGCGATAGCTCGTGTATACCAATCTATCGACATCTATGCCTGTTATGCCCGCCCAATGCGTCAGGGTATCTCGAATGTACGACGGAGAAATGCTGTCGACCATATCACCTCGCGCCTGATTTCCATTTTCTACGGCCGAGTTCACATCCTCGGCCTCCGGATCCGAGTCGGAGTCTTCAGCCGAGAAGTATGCTTCATCAACTTGTGCCAACCACTGCTTCTGTTCCTGAGGTCCAGGCTTCGTATTTAAGCCTCTCCTCTCAATGACCACCGGATCGTCAACCTTGATCTGACCGCCGCCGTTTGTGCAGCCTCCGGGACATGCCATGACTTCAACGTAAGCATATTCCAGCCCAGCCGGCTTACCCGCAGGTCTCCGAGGTCCGGTAACTTTCGCGCCCGGCATCCGCGATAGTTTCGGCGGCTTCAACCTCCTGACTAAGTTTTGGATATTCCGGAAGCCGTAATATCTCGCAGCTTTGAATATCGGCTCCCCAGTTGGCGAGTTCACTGTATACTCCACAACATCGGCGTTCCGGCCGCGTACGGTTTCGATTTTCGACCCAGGGTGTCGTGCGGAGACGTATTTTAGTGTGTAATAGAGATTACCACCTGAGGTCCCTGCTAGCGGGTCCGCCTGGCCTGCTCGAGGCCGCGGAGGGAAGAGAAAGCGCCTCAGTGTGGGATCAGGAAAGGGAGTTTGCAATAAGGCGGAAACAGGGGATTTGGATAATCCGAAGAAGTCAATACTCCTCGATTCTGTTAACATCAAGATCTCTTTGCTCGTGATGACACAATCTACATCCCTTACTCCCCTACCTGGCTGCCCATTCCCATTCCACACAGCGTCCGTAAGCTCCTCACGGCTTGCCTCTAGCTTCTTGTCGAAGCACGGCATGACAGCTAGGTGCCATATCCGGTCGGGGGAGATCCCCAGTGTCCGACTTAGCGTTGTCTTCAGTAGCGTGCCCATAAGCGCCTGAGGTGACTTCACCTTCGAGATGTAAGGTAAGACATGTGGATGTGTCTTCTCGGCGTAGCATACCCATCCAGGACAACTTGACGTCAAAATGGGTTTTGCAACTTTGCCCTTGTCGCTTAGCGCCTCCTCTGCGCCCAGGACTAGACATGCTTCTCTTGCTGTATTTGTGTCGACAACCCACGTAAACCCATTATTCCACTTGCCGCCCGCGCGCAGCCCATCTGATCCTATTAATAACTGTGATATCATGCGCCCGACATCTCGCTCGCTTACGTCTCGTCCCGCGACCGCTGCAAGGCTCGCGCGCGTCTGTGGCGAAACGCTTGCTACGAAGAGCTTGCTATCTGGGTTCTCAAGGCCCTCAACTCCGAACCCGTTATCGCGTTGTATTATCCGTAACCCCGGCGCGCCGTCCAAGACGCTCAGTAGTTCCGAGTGGCTCTGTAGGCTGACGAGCACGGCTTCGGCGGATGTCACACAGCCGGAACAGGCCAGACAGTCGGTCAGCGAGATCTGAGCGGGGCCTGCTGTGTTCGCGTCGGCGCTTTGTTGGCCGTCGAGGATGACTTCGTGCTCGAGGTCGCTGGGGTTGGGTTGCGAGGGGGCGGCGGGGAGCGTTTCGACTGGTTTGATGCAGGCTACGCCCGGGGAGATGAAGTCGTTTAGGTCATCGGCTGAGAGGATCGCCGACATTGTGTATGCTTGTGTCGGAGAACGTGGGGAAAGGAGAGCAGCCGAGGCGTGGGGGAAAAATCCCCTGATTTATTTATATAGCTCCGTCGTTGGTTGGTTGGTTTGGAAGATTGAATAGAGGTACCTATGGATTTGGGATGCGACACTGGCAATCCGACTACGCGATGGGAAATGCGTATACGCCAAAATGATAGATAAAGGTCGTTAGAGGTTGTAGCCAATACTTTTCCTTGCTCAAGGTATAATCAAGTTGGCATATGAATAAGACACAAGTATTTTTTCCTCTTAAGGAAATGTGTAGTCTGAAAGTGAAAAGGCAAATTTCTTGGAGTTTTGTAATGATTGTCGCATTGGAGTTGCTTTGAAATGCGGTTTATCGAATTTTTGTCATGCGAAATCGGCTCCCTAGCATTGGACGGGTGGCGGTACCCCACTACTATGTACATACCTAAGCCCCTGTTCCGCGGGGTTACCCTTATTTATGCGTACCGTGCAAATAATAAGATTATACTATATCGCACTGTACGCTCATAATCCTTGTGAAACTTGGGATTGTTGAAAAATAGCGATTCACCTGTTAACATGATGACTTTATCGTTAAAAACGTCTATACATTAACATGTTTATTTGTCAAGAGCATATAGTCTACTAGATATTTTAAACAATCTATTATTTTACGAACATAAGAGTTTTGTATAGTTTAGGTAGTTAAAAAAGGATTAAGTGGTTATTTTTCTTATAGGTAGTTGAACTAAAAGGAAATGTAACAAAGAACAAGCAATGGAATCCTATATGCACATCTATGGGATCTCCGGTTTCATGCACGTACGATGAAGCCATCTATTAGAGTATATTCTACCTCGGCTTCACTAAGACTCCTACATTTACAAGTTTCACAGTTCTCTGTTGGCATACATTGAATAGATAGTTAAGCACTATAACCCAACTACATCACCATAGTACATTTCTACGATCAGATGTTCACTACGATGATAAAAATAATGCTTGGTCTGGGCATAACAAAATCATAAATTTCACGAATTGCCATAATATTGTAATGCATATTTGCTAACACGCAAATGGTGTTCTTATTACAGAAGAAAATCTTGCTTGGGAAAAGGCAAGAAACCTATGTTCCGTGCCTATGTCGTAAAACCAAAAGAAGCTGGCTTAGCATCATCATATAAACTGATTTTGAAACCTGGATTTGCCCATGAACTGAAAAGAAAACAGGGATAAACGCATCTGCTATAGAAGCATTGATAATCTCGCAAAAAGACCAATCACCCTATCGAATTTTATTCATTCTTGGTGTCGAAGTGCACCGTCGAGGTAGCAGTTTGCATGCGCAATATTATTCGACACCCCATCCCAAAGCGCACTCCTTCAAGTGCAGCCGATCCGCCATCTCATTTCGTCAGGGGCGTCGTTATCGTATCGGCTTAGATAGGGGCCACCTTAACACATCTCGAAACAACATTCGCAGCATTCGGCACAGCATTCGCATCCCTCCTCACAGACGAAACAACAGCATAGTGCTGCTAGACAGCCTTGGAGACAGCCACCTCCACCCTGCTTCCTTTCTTGAGGGGGTTGTTGCTGGTATTGCATCTGGGGTTGACCCTGAGGCGGGCCATAGTACTGGCCTTGAGCAGGACCGTATGCCTATAATTCGATCAAGTTAGCTTCTAACCTTTATATTCTATATTTCTATAGTGAAGAGAAAGGTTGCTATTCGTGTATAGAACAAAGGTGATATTTGGCCTAGTATTGCGTGCTGGCCTAGAGGCTTGGAGATCGCGGGGTGCAGCGCAGGCATAAGGTATTGTCTTGGCAAATGGGATTTGATGTCTCAATGGGATTGCGACATGTATTAGATATTCTAGGAACGATGAAGCGATTTACTAAAATGCGACATACCGGCTGAGGCTGTTGCGGGTAGCCACCACCATAACCCTGAGGAGGACCTTGCTGGTAGTAATCGTGACTGGCCATCTTGGAAAGATTTGATGGATGTAAGTTGAATTTGGGATCCTGCGACAACAAAGATTTGAGTTAGCCAAGAAGCATGGCGGTGCGGTTAGGTCAATCCGCCAAGAATATAAGCTCTAGAGCCTCAATCGAATAACCATCATTAGCTGAATGCGCTATACGTACTTTATTCAGATATGGAGATGTTTTGTTCGCGTCTAAACGCCGAAAATGATAGAATAGGTCGGGTTGTTCTTAAGGATCAAAATGAAGGAAAAGTTGATGGTGACGACGAGAATCTTGATAATAATAATTAAGGTCAAGAAGTCAGAAAGTGTAAATGAAAAGGGAAAAAGAAGGCGGTGGGTCGAATATGTAAATGTATTGCTAAGGTACTAGATACATCAAATATAAGACTTGTAACTGTATGTAACTGTAGATGAATTGAGATCGGATGGTCATGCATTCCTTCTTTGGAAAAGAGTTTCAAGGGATACACATGTACCTTAGCTGTAAATGACTGGAATCATTGGAATTACTGGAATTGCTACCTGCATTGGGTAGGCGCCTTAGCGCATTTGCATGGTACTTTGCACGGGTACTATTTCTGGCGCTTTCTCTTGCTGTCTCGGATGGTTGCTATTGCAAGTTGCTGCGGTGCTGTGCGGCTAAGCGGCACGCAACTCAAGGTGGCTCAGCCGCTATCGTTGTTAACGTAGGTTAGGTACCTAAGGTACCTAACATACATAGGTGCGCTACTGTTTTGACTTTTGCCTTTCGAGGTCTTCGAAACGCGTCATACTTGAAACTCACAGCCCCCTTATTCACTTATATGTAAGTACCTAATTATCCATATCAAATATACGTGTAGGCAAATCTATATTTCGCATAGTACCCGTAATGTAATAAGTACGTACAAATTATAAAATCAAGGTAGTTGTACAAAATGCTCCTTTGCGCAACAACATCATCTCAACTAGTTACATACAACATCTGCCAGAAATTCAAATATACCGAGTAAAACTACTATGTAACAAGACTACAAAGGAATATGTTAGTTGGCAATAGGTGGCGCGTACGCTAGACCGCTGCTTAACATCTTGATCCATATTAGCGGCCTCCCGTCTTTCATCAGCCACGTACGGGTAGTATGCTATGTTGGCTTAAGGGTAAGATGTACGTATGCGCTGGAAGGCTTTTAATATTCCCCACTGACTTAGCCCGTTCACGTCCGCATGGGATAGGTAGTAAATACTAGATACTACCTAGGTACACTAGATACTACCTAGATACTAAATACTACATAGAAAAGGAATGAAAGGCTATCTCGGTTGGCGCTAAAATGGCCGAGATATCCGTCCAATACGTGTATATATACCATATATAGTTAGTTATTCTCCATGTAAGGATTCTAAGTCCCATGTGATTTATTGGTACGTACCCCCGTTTCTTAATATCAATGACTTATATGTGCGTATATAATTGGAAGATAATCGGTCTAACAACTTACCAATATTGCTACTTTACTGCATCAAAGAGAAACTAACGTAAGGCACGAACCGAATCTATGAACTTTTACTTGTCCGAAGCCGGATATCCCCGTCCGAGTAGGACCCTGCTTGCTTGGATGTGCTTGTAGGTGCAATGGAGCATCAAAAGCAGGTCCAATCACACGTAGGGCTGAAAGATTCCGAATGCCAAGATATCAAAGAGGAGCCTTTATTTAGGGGACACTGAAATACGGGGAATATTGATTGATTTTTCGTATATAGAAGTGCGGTTTTTTTCTTATTCAGCTAACTACGAAAAACAAGAAAAATAAATGAAACAAACTCTTTTCATGCCAAGTCTCTCTGCTGAGTCGCTGTCAACTGCTCCTTGTCTAGGTAACTCTCCAAATCAACGGCTGCTGTCATACTCGTCGTGGCATCGTTTTGTAGGCGAAGATAATAGTAGATTACTGCCCGTCTAGCTGCACATAGTTGGCAGGGAATAAACCCGAATCCCCTTTGTAATGGCCGAACCACCAATCCTCGTCGGGGAATTCCAAGTTAGTAATCGTAGCCCCCTCGGGGAAGCTTAGTTCTATCACGCTTGTTAATTATGTTGTTCTAGTAGCAAATAGGTCGGATAGGGGTTGCTTACCGTTGTCTTCAGCAGCTTCGTAGTCAAACTGAGCTGTAGCTGTATGTCCGGCACCCGCTGCTGGCTCGGGTTCAGCCTCGGCAGCCGGCACAGGCGGGGGTGCTTCATGGCTGGCTGTAGGTGCCGGTGCTGGTTCCTCCGACTCATCATCGACAACTTCAACGTAGTTACTGGGGAACAGGCCCGTCTCGCCTCGAGAGTTGGTACCCATCCACCAGTCCTCGTCAACCATTTCAATATTAGTGACGTACTCGCCTTCGCGGAGTTCTAATTCGTTATCTTCAGCCTTCTCGTAATCATATTGGATCAGAGCACGTTTGCCTCCGCTCGAAGCCGCTGGTGCTTCTGCCACTTGCTCGTGGCCAAACTGGGATTCAGCAACGGCCGTGGCAGCCGCGCGAGGATCGTGAGTCTCCTCTTCCGCTGGTAGTTCTTCTTCCCTAGGGAGTTCTTGCTCGATAGGTCGTACAGGAAGCGATCGAGGAGGTTCGTGCACTGGCTCAATCTCAGGCTCAGGTCCACGAGGGACAGGTACTGCCATGCGAATAGGTGACGGTTCTCGCTCGTGTTCCCGTTCTTGTTCTCGTTCGAGCTCCTCATCCTCATCCGCGACTGGAGGCGGGCGTGGAGGCATACCAGGAAGCGCAAAACCACCGGTAGGTGCTCCGTCCGAAGGCCGGGAGGCCAAAGGAGGCGGAGGTGGCGCACGCTCATTGTCTTCAGCAGGTGATGGAATCTTCGGAGCAGATGGTGCGGGTGAGATAATCTGAGTTGTCTCTTTGAAACGATCGCGTATGGCACCAACGCTTCCCGCTGGAGATGCCGGTGCCTCTTGGCTAGTCTCGGTCTCGCCAGTCTTTTGCCCCGTAAGACTACGGCCATATGATCCCGTCTGGACCGGTGCCCAGCTTTTCCCCTTGTAACTGCTCTGCCAACCACCTCCCCCGCTCTTCTGCGCTGCGACAGGGGACGCTGGAGGATTGTTGATTCCAGAAATAGAGCCTTGCTGTGCCTTCTTCTCGGCCCAAATCTGAGCTGGCGTCTTGCCTCCTTGATCCGCGAAGGTTCGACTAGCAGATCCCACCGGAGGAGCGACGGGCGTTGGCGAAGGGCTACCCAAACCCAATGCGCCAGGAGTAGGCGCCTTAGTGCCTGTAAATGTAGATGCGCCACCCCATTTCTTCGCAACTTTAGGCTTGGGAAGCTCCGTAATACGCTCGGCTTGCTTAAACGCTGCAGTTCGTTCTGCTAGAGACTTCGGTGGTTCTTCAGGTTCAGGTGCAGGTGCAGGTGCAGGTGCAGGTTCAGGTTCCCCTGGCTTCTGTGCCTTAGCTCGGATCGCAGCAATGTCAACCTTGCCTACCGGCTCATAAGCACCCTTGACCGGTATCGGTCGATCGTCTTGCTTGTTCCTTGCTGCAGCTCGAATGGCAGCGATGTCGACCTTCCCAACGGGTTGGTACCCTCCCCCGATTGTATCCCTAGGCCTGTCATCTTGTTGGCTTGAGCCGTTAAACCTCGAGGGCTCTTGTTTCTGGCCTGTCAACTCGGCTATGTTGACCTTGGTTGGCTTATATGCCGATTCCACCTTTTCAAGCTCGGTCCGCGAAACCTGCGGTGCATCCCCCCAGCCGTCGTCATTTGTTTTTCGCAGGCTTGCGTTTCGTGCGGCGACTATGGGGTTACTAGACGAGTTCGAAGTTGTAGAGAATACAGGCTTCGACTTCACTGGAGGGGGTCCTCCCCCAGTCTGCACGGGTGCACTTCCACCGGCTGTATACTTGGCACCAGACGCATCAGAGATTTTCTGGAGGATATTTGCGGGTTCGAGGTCGGTATCGGAACGAGCTGTGATTTGAACATGGTATCCCTAGTCCTAGTTAGCATCGTGATCTCATGCTAGAAAGAATTTAAATCACATACGTGAAGAACTTTAGAAACAGCATTTAAATGACTCGTGAAGTAGCCTTTAGTCCTCTCGGGAACACCTCCGCCGCACTACAATATGGTTAACAGATTAATCACAATTCTCATTGAAAAAGAGTGAGAAGACGAACCCATGCAATTAGAGCATATTTAGGCAGACCTGTATTCGGATCCTTAACCTTAAGGAAAGCGAATTGGATACGACCTTCGCTGAAGTCCTCAATAAGATCTTCTAGCTCACCAGAGCCGGTTGACTGAACTTTCAGAACACTTTCTTTGTTCCCGGTATCTTGGAAAACATTGGCTAGAGGGGCTTGTACGTAGAACAAGGCCCATTGACCGTATGTAGAAGAACTTCCTGAAGGCGGAGGCGGTGCATTGACAACTCCCTGGTAACTGCTCTTGATCGAGGGGCCGTTTGTAGAGAGATTTAACGAAGCCATTTTTTGGAGAGAGGAAAGGTATTGTAACAGTTGGTTCGTTTATCGTATATCGTCGATGATGAGGCTTGGTGAAATACAACCTAAATAGAATAATAGAATAGTAACACAAGGAGTAATAAATTCGAGTGAGTGGGGGTGATGTCACAGCAACCAGGGGGGAAGAGAGCTTCAAAGTATTTCCGCTACTCGAACCCAAATTACCTTATCTAGCCAACCTGAACAAAGTATTCTAATGATAGTTTACGCTTGTTTCGATGGCGATTGCTTGAGTAAAATTAACGTGTTAAAAAGGAAAGAGAGGAAGTTCCTCGCAGTTCCAATTTATCGATAGTTTCGATTCGTGCCTGGCGAGCAATCGCAGCTTGTTACGAAAGTGGGCTGTGTTTGGTTTTTAGTGCCCGGCCTTCGGGGTCGCCTTCTAGCCGTATACATATTCACTCCACTACCTTAGGTACATAGCAGCCCAACTTCTCCAATTGAAAGTCACCTGAAGACCTTGAGCTTATGATACCCCACGTGTTAGTGAGTCTCTCTCGGTATGTTAGCAGGTTAGTGGGTTACCTGTTGGAGATATTTCGTTTCATTACCCCCTGTGTAGGTACCTAAGGTACCTAACCTAGCAGCCTAAAAAGTAACTTACAATTCGCATTAAATTATTCCAATGTTTTATTCATCTTGTGCATATTCAAAGCTATACCTGTTAGATGCTTATCGTAACAACGCGGCCGCCAATGCTAATGCGCGCGGAAGCATCCCATCTCTAGAAACAATTTAGAGATTCCTTGTTGATTGCTGGCTGTCTCAGCTCATCAGCCTTTTTTCCTTCCTCCACCACTACGATTTACTTTCCTCCCTTCGTCATCCAACAAGCCTACCTACCTACATAGGTTACCTTAATCTAAATTCTACCTATTATCCATCAACCTTTAATTCACCTCCTCGAAATATTCAAATAACAATATCGAATTGTCCTAGTCGTTTACCTAGATTGCGCCTATAACTTATTCGTTTCCCCAACTCATTCTAGCGCGGACTTGTTCCGTTTAACGCCCCCTTACGCCTAAATTATTAATATTTGAACGTCGAGCGCGATCAAAGATGGTGCTGTTGTCAGATTCATCGTCAATCAGCTCTTTATCATCCGACTCGCCTGAAGCCGATAACGATTTCGATGATACCGGCGTCGTTGATGAACCAGCGCCCCCTCCCTTCAAACGACAGAAGCTTGGCGACAGGTCGAGAGCTTCTTCCTCCATTCATATAGAGCCCGAGCCTGAACAAGAATCAGACCATGACCTCGACGGCGATATCTCGTCAGACACTTCGGGTGACATACCCAATTCCCCCATCAATGCTAAACTCGATGAGGACGAATTCCAGGAACAAGTCACGGTATGCGCCTGGGACGGGTGTAGAGTAGGCGACTTGGGGAATATGGACAGGCTGGTCGAGCATATTCATAACGATCATATCGAGAGCCGTCAGAAAAAGTATACTTGCGAATGGATCGGCTGTCCTAGAAAAAGTTTACCGCATGCTAGTGGCTACGCATTGAAAGCTCACATGAGAAGCCACACAAGGGAGAAGCCATTCTATTGTTATTTGCCCGGTAAGACCATCAAGTTCCATCGTATGAGGGGAATAGGAACTGATAATAATAGAATGTGACCGTGCATTTACAAGGTCCGACGCATTGGCGAAACATATGCGAACAGTCCACGAGACCGAGGCTTTGCGGCCATCCGATCCCGTACCCAAGTCAATGCAGACCCAGTCCGGCCCCAAGTCCGGAAAGTTGAAGATCATAATCAAGACCCCGCAGTCGCACGCCGCAGGTCAAGACGATGCCGTAGATGATGGCGATACCGGCTCGGACATAGCAGACTTCTTTACACCATTGACGGAGCAACAGGGCTTCTCTAGCAAGGAGCTTACAATGGATATGAAATCTCTGTACAAGCTGTGTGTGGCAAATCTCAAGTGGGTGACGAAAGATAGCGAGTCGCTGAAGCGACAGTGCAAACAGATGGAAGAGGCATACAGGCAGGAGTGGCTAGAGAAAGAGGCTCTGTTAGATCAAGTCATCCAAATCGAGGAAGACTGGTGGCAACGACGTGAGTTGGTTCTCGAGGCAGAGGCAAAAACTCGAATAGCTAAGAAGGGAGAGGGAAGTGTAGCGCCGGAGGATACTCAGGATAACGCCAACGGCTCGCAGGTTACTGCGGCCAGTTTAAGCCAGCTCACAGATTAAAGGCTTGAAGAGAGCCCCACCCTTTCGAAATAGTAATGAAAAGGCAATGCCATGTGGTCCACATCTGTCTGTGGATTATAGAAGGGATTTAGATGTCATGAATAGAAGCGCAGGGAAGCGTTTAAGGCATTGCTATGAGGGCATTCCCAAACTTCCAGGGAATATAATAATACATCCAGCAGCAACGGCGTCATTAGTTCGACAAAATATACTAATTACAATTCATTCTCAGTATAGACCGCAAAGCCAGTGAATGCCTTATTCCGCTAGATTTTAAAGTACTCTTGAATATTATTAGAATCGACCCTATGGTCTTTAAGTATGTTACTTAAAAAATACTAAAAGGGGGGGATATCGGGTGGCCGTTTCCAATAACGCAGAAATACCGTATATAAAAACGTAGTTTGATAATTCTATTTTTAAAGTATTTAGAGTGCAGTTATATTAACAGTTAAAATCGGTAAATAGTGATATTATTCAGCCAGTGACAAAGGCAATAGCGGTAGCGGAAGGGACATGGTCTTTGAAATATGTAGGTACATACATACTAAGGAGGTAGGTAGTCCATATATGGGAATCACCCAAAATGACGCAATAGTTTCCGGAGACTTCGCAGGCGCTAACGGATAAGGATCTCTTAAGTAAAAAAGGTAATCAACTGCCCCTCCATTGGACCTTCAGCCTTTAAACTCCCTAACCGGCGCATCTATCGGAGGGGCAATCTACTTCTTTCCCAAATATTCCCAAAACACGCCATCAAAAAGGTTAACCACTAAATCAATACCTACCACCATTTTCGTCTGCTTCTTATTTTATTTATACCTAAGGTCAGGTATAGATACCCTAGATAAACACGACACAAAGGCTCAATCACTACCAACGTCACATAGATACAATTTATTGCGAACGACAAGATGGGGTTGGTGAAGGAGATTACCTCCCAGAACGAGTGGGAAACCTTCGTCGGGTCGCTTCCCAAATCAACCATCCTCATCATCTTCTTCCATGCCCCCTGGGCCGCACCATGCGCACAGATGGCCAAGGTTATCGAGACGCTCGCGAATGACTACTCCGCGAAGGATGCACCCCCCACGAGCTGGGTTTCTATCAATGCCGAAGAGCTCAGCGACGTATCAGAGATATACGACGTCGTCGCTGTACCCTACGTAGTCCTGCAAAAAAACGACCAAGTCCTCGATGCCGTCAGCGGCAGTAACGCTGCCGCGCTACGGAAGGTCATCGAGACGCACGCCCCGCTGAAGCCCGACGCCACCAACGGTAACAAGCCAGATACCATAGAGGAGGACTCCTTAGACAGGAACGGAGATGTGCTGAACCCTGAGGAGGAACTTAATAAACGATTGACGGGACTAGTCAGCGCGGCTCCTGTCATGCTATTCATGAAGGGCACGCCTAGCGAACCTAAGTGCGGATTCTCGCGCCAGCTTGTTAACCTTCTTCGAGAGCGCAGCGTCAAGTATGGCTTCTTCAACATCCTCGCGGACGACGATGTTCGGCAAGGTCTCAAGAAGTTTGCGGACTGGCCGACGTACCCGCAACTGTGGGTTTCGGGCGAGCTAGTCGGTGGTCTGGATATTGTGAGTTCTTCCTTTAACTCCACTACATTTCTCTAAAGAGAATTCTAGCTAATATATTTATCCAACGTAGGTCAAAGAGGAATTGGAGAAGGAGCCCAATTTCTTCAAGAGCTTCAGCGTTTCTAAAGGATATGACGCTACCGCTGCTTGAATCCCACATTAGGATAATGGGGAGACTGCGTAGCTGATGAGAGGTACTTACTACCTATGATCTAAGTGTGTGCTGGACATTGCATGCCACGAATGATTACGACAGATTCTATCTGACGCAGGTATCGAAGTAGTTGATAGCCTACGTCGCTAAGTGTATACTCTGGTAAATTTCGGGATCTGAAAGCTTCTTTCGGTTGCTTCGACGTCTATCTCATACGATCTATTCCATTGTTTCTCTTCCATGTGGAACGAGGAGGCTATTGGGGTCGATAGACTTATGATACTGCTACAACGAATGATTGTGCAAAGGACTATAACTAGTGCTTCGACCTACATACCATAATATGAATGAATTAAGCCACCAATCGTATTAAGGCCATGAAATGAAAGTGCACTTTATGATTTGCTTCTATGTTTTGTTATTCATTAGCAAGAGTATTTAGGTGGTATTTGAAATTGAATCGTAGAGGTTTAATCTTATTTTATAGTTCTTACATACATTTCCTTTATCTTTCTGTTGAACTAAGGGAGAATTAGTATCTGTCTTGAAAAAAAAAATTTAGGAGGTAACGATCACAATATCAATATTTTAGTTGGTTAATAAATTGATTGCAAGGAAAATTCTCTTTTCACTGCAATGCTTTCTATCGTGTCGTAAAGATACTTTAATAGGGTCTAAATACTTGTTTCTTAGGTATATTTGGTATTCTTCTATAATATGATTTCGGTATATACCTCAAAGCAATACCATTAACTAATATCATATATATATGTACGGGGTATCTAACGCGACTCTATCTATCGCCTATAGTCTCATATAGATATTAGTATCACAAACAGTCCATGCATAAACAAACAATCTACCTCTATCATCCCTCATCCTCGTTATTAAAGCCGAAGAATACCTCGTCCTTAGGCGGGGCGCCTTTCGTCAACTCCGCCTCGGGAAGCGAGCACAATCGCTTCGCGTCACTGGGTAGTTCCCATTCCCTCATGACATCTACGCGGGAGAGGAACTGCATTGCCATGCCGGCTTCCGAGTGCCAGAGTACGTGGCAATGGAAAAGCCAGGCGCCGGGATTATCCGCTACGAACCGCAGGAGCACCCATCCGAAGCCCTCAGCAGTCACCGTGTCTCGCTTCAAAGGGTTATCGACAACAGTTGAGTTCGCAGGGTCGAGAAGCCCCTTGCCCTCGGGGTTTAGCCCAAGGGCTTCGTAGCCGGGGAAGTAGCCGTGGCCGGCCCCGAGAACCCACATCTGGTAACCGTGGAGGTGGAAGGGATGGCTATTCTCGTCCATGTTCTGCAGAATGATGTCGACGGTGTCGGCAACGCCGTTGTGAGAGATGGTGAGCTCGGAGACGGGGTCAAATGCCGTGTTAAGTATGCCGTCTTGGACGAAGGATTCGTTGTTTTGGGCGAGACCGTCGAGGACTCGGTGTAAGGTCGGCGACGTAACATCCGGTCGGAACGAGGATGCGTTCATAACGCCTCGTTGTAATCGCCAGTCGCCAATAGCAAGATTGACACGTAGATACCATGAATGATCGGCGTAAATAGGGGCTGGCTGCGCTGGTAAAGGGGAAAGCGAGGATGTGGAACTCATGTCTTTACATATTGGCAGGTACTGTAGGCTGGAAGTAGTGTTTGGTAGGGGAGGGGATTTGTGGTTATTATCCCTCCTTGCATTATTATGATAGCGTATAATGGCTTTTGCCTCATCAATGCCATTTTCTGGAAGCGTCTGACTTGCAAAACAAGCACTTATCATCCTAGCACGAAGCCAGAAAGTCTCATTTCCGGTCTGATCTGCTGTTAAAACCGCGCTATACCGTTGTCCTGGGGCAATTACTAGCGAAGACTCGGATACGGGTTCAACGGCGGTACCGTCCACTTCGATAATTGGCAGAGAATCATGTTCATCTACTGCAACCTGGAACCAAGCAAACCCACCGACATTCAGGAATCGTAACCTGTGGCCCTCTCCAGGGGCTAGATCCAAGTTGGGGAGAGACCTCTCCAGTTCTGAACACCATCTGTTGGGATGATCTGAGCAGTCAGCTTGGTTCACACCGTTAATCAAAGCTGTATTAGGTATCGGCGCATCCTCAACACCCGGAGATAGCACGTCTCGCATTAGCCCACTGTCTGAATCATAGTACCAGTCTTGGAGTAAGACCACGCGGTCTGACGAGTATGGGATGGGCTTATGCGTCGCTTCGTCCCGGACGTGGATCACGAGAGGTCCTACGAGTCCATTCAAGGCCTGGACGCCCTGATGACCATGATAAAAATCTGCATGAGGAGTCAATATCTTGCTCGTAATATAACACGACGCAAAGAGACCCACGAGGTCTCGGGCTTGCTAGTGGAGAGAGTACCTACAGGTACCAGCTTGGCCAGTAACATTGAACCTGTAAAGGTACGAAGCTCCAGGAGCAATGGGGCATTGAGTAACGCCTACAGCCCCGTCCATCCAGTTCGTGCCGTTCTGGAAAATGCCATGCCAGTGGATAGCGGTGGCGTTGGAAGCATGGTTATGGATATTGACCTCGATAATATCACCTTCATTAACTTCTATCAGTGGTCCAGGAAACTGACCCTCTATAGTTATCATTGGCTTCAGAATTCCATCCGGTTCTCCATCCTTGTCGATGATCAGCCAGTCATACTTTCGCACTTGGTTCGGGGCTTCGAAATCCCAGTCGGGATTTAGTATGTAGTCCTTGTCTGGACGGCGAAGAGGAATGCTATGTGCTATCTCCAGAGGAGACGGTTCTGGTCGTCGGTGGAGATCTAACGACAGAGCTACCCATGCCAAAGAGAAAATAGTGCCGACACAGGCGAGAGCAAAGGCGGTAATCGGCCATACTGATTGGCGTTGATCAACTGAATTTTCTTCTACCGTCACGTCGACGTTGTCACGACCAGATATGAGTAGGCGGTCCTGTTCTTCCATCTCTTCCCCATAGTAAGCAACATTATCCCCTTCGCCTTCTTCGACGCCAGAAAGCCGATTTCTTGCCTCATCGCGATGGATCGCCGTCGGCGATAGGGCATGTAAGATGCGATGGATGACCATTTCTACCGTAACATCGAAAAAATAAATTTTCGAGCACAGCTCCGAGCTTTAAAGGGTTTAAGCTACTGGTTGGTTTCCTTACTCAAGTAGCATCGTGAATCATCACCGAATTATTATTGCGGCTTTGAACCTCGTCGAATCGTAGCTTAACTACCTGTTAAAAGCGACTTGACATGGAAACAACCGACGGCGATAAGACAATTGGTCCAACCCAACAAGAAATCGATCTAGAACTTAAAGACTCATCGGCATGAGCGGCAAGGCGGTTCATATGTATGATCAAGATATTAGTTCAACGAACGTCTTCATTATTACTATCTTGTAGTGCTGTGCGACAAGGCGAGAGCGAGTACTATCTTTAGAAAGTTAGGCTGAAGATCCCCATGTGCTGACTACGGCGATATGATTGGATCCCGACACATGCAAATGTAACCTCATCACGTATGCCCATTAGTTCTCACCGCGGCAGATGCGTCGGACCGGCACGCTAATCGCCGAAGGTACCGTCTCTTCGGAGCGCTGATTAGATGCATTAGTAGTAAATGTGGTGGACGAATTTAATATGATGTTTGCTTGGCCTTTTTTATTCTTATTGTAGAAGCCCCCGTTTCTTTCGTCTTCCGTGCTTGGTCAATGTCTTCGGTACGACCCGCCCCGGGGAACGGACCGCGTTGCTAATTGCGAATCCGCGATATATGCTTTGTGGAGACTTATATAGGATGGCATTTCGAATTTCAAATTGTTAAAAAAAACATTCTAGATAAAACCTGGGTAGCTCGTCTCTCTAGACACTATGCTTAAACGATAAGCCAATGGTTTAGAACTGAGGGTTAGTTTAGTCTATACTGTTTACATAATATATACTACTATGCATTAGTTACAAGTCTTTAGTTGACGTTTCCAAGAGTTAAAGTTAAAGTTGACCAGTAATATATTACGAACGTAATCCGTAGTATGTCAGCCTTAAGTCTATAAGTTAAATTATTACGTATAGCTGGTTACAAGTTTACCATTATATATACTCTCAGTATTCGCACGAATACAATTGAACGAATTTACGATGTAAAGATAAACAATAGTAAGAATAATGTTACCGTGGTATACATACTATCATATATCATATTAATTTTTTGGAGTTGTTAAGCTTGGCGATTGAAATAAAGACGGGAATAGGCAGCCCAGGAACATACGTACAACAGTACCTAATCTGGCCAAGTGCCGAATTATCTGCTGACAACTTGAGGAGAGATGACTCACTATCAAAATTCAGAAATTTATTAGAGTCGTAGCCTTGCATCAACAAGACAAGGTTTCTCTTGCATCCGTACCTCTTACACTAGTCAATGTAGCATATCAAGTCAAATTAAGCTGTGATTGGTTAGGAGCTTTCCGTTGGCTTCGTTAGGTGGGCATAACATTTCTTCCCTTCCCCCACTATCCATTTTCAGTTTAGTTTCAAGCGTAATTCGTCCCGCGCCTCCTCCATAGACCACTTTACCATCGCAACCCTCACCATCTCATCCCATCCCATCCCATCTTACCTACACCTAAACAACAACCTCTATCCTTCTATTTCTCTCCCTCTCTCACTTCCTATTCCCAACCCTCTCCTTATCCCGCCCCCCTTTCGATTTATTTTCGTAGAGAAAAGGCAGGAAAAAAAACATTACAGACCAAGGCAGATAATACTTCGCCACTCTATGTACAAACCGTCGTATTATATGCAGCGGTTGTACTCTCTTATTTGCAGCAATATTATAAAGTACCAAATGTAACTACATACAAACTAGCGGTGGCCAAATTCTTCTATTTCTGTATGTCGACCCATAAACTCTTGTATATCGCCGATGAATCGACTGCGAGTAGTAGCGTGTCTGCTTACCAGGAAAATAGAGCATTATCAATACCTATCTACTTCACGAATCGCTTGCACGCCGTGACCGCTTTATCCGATCCAGCCTGACCAAGCCTAACCCAGCCTTACGAGAAGATCGCGACCGTAGTCCCAGTCGTACTTTTTTCTAGTTGGAATATTGCACCTGGGATTTGGCCTATTCGAAAGAATATACAGAATAGATCCAGACGTATCTAAGTTGAGGTTTATTGCTCAACCAACTGGCTTATTTACCAGGAGGAGTTGTGCTGTTTGTAATACTCCAAGATACTTCTCAAGATACTTCGCTGGTGGTCGCGCTGCTTTAATATCTCTATCGCATTGGGATATCGACCGCATCAGATTTGCTTCGGCCCCTCATTGCTCCACCTCGAGCATAACGAATATCTTGATTTGGACCATACCACAAGGTTTACGTTCGCGAGATCGCCCAGTCGTGGTCCTCTCATTTCCAAGTCTACATACAGAGTTTCTGTGTTTGATTGGCTATTATCACTGGTGGAAGCCGTGATCTAACGAATACCCAATACTCTTAGCAGCATTGTCATCGTTATACCCCTGAACTTCCTGCAAGGGACTCTCTATCTCCGAACTATTGGGATCCTTAACGTCAGCCTACTATCTCCCAGTAGCCCTTGACGCTTACTCACTGGCCTCATATCTCTCGATCCCTGATGCTCTAAGTTGCCATTCCAGAGAGCAGCTTACGTAGATTAAAGAATAGGCTAGGCCCTCTTATAGCATTCGAATTTCCTAAGTCCGGCATACATCTTGAACGCAAGAGCGAGCACCCCGAAAAGAGCTTCTATTTGCCTACAGTATTTGAATTATTCCAAAATGACCCCCACACCTCCGTCTGCTACGACATCATCCTCGGGCCATTCGCCCGAGGAGCATTTCAGGGTGGTTCGTCGTCGAAATAGGGTGCCGCTTAGCTGCTATCCGTGCCGGACGAGGAAGTGAGTGATCCTGTTCCTTGAAAATGCTAGCCTAATTCCCTAATCCAACACTTCGCAGTTTTCTATATAAGACGACATCGCTGACCTGCTCAACAGGTTGAAATGCAATAGGGGAACTCCAAATTGTGAGAACTGCATCAAACGTGGTGATACACAGTCCTGCGTCTATGCTACTCCAACAAGTCGGAGAAAAAATCAAAGTAGTGCTGGAGCTTCCGCAACTCCTGATGATATGCAGAACCGTATTGACCGTCTAGAAGGTTTAGTTTTAAGTCTGATGCATGGCGGTGCGAATATCGAAGTCTCCAACTCCTCCAGTACCGTACCCCCAGCCCCTTCTACGTCTGATAGTTCTTCTCCCAATGTCGATCAAGACGATGAAGGGGCTATGAGGGACGACGAGGCCGACGGCGATGGTCCTGGCAGTGACGTGGATGATGGGCTATCCACGTCTTTAGGTATGCTTAAAGTCGATGCAGATAAAGGGAAGTCCATGTACATTGGGCAAGATCATTGGCATCTACTCCTGCTCGACATTGCTGAAGTGAAGAATTTCTTTGCCTCTCACAAGAAGGAACTTGAAAGCAGTTACCAGAGAGTTATGTCTTCAAAACCTGTAACTGCTCGAGACTCGCCCATATTTTTACTTTCTGCTCCGCCGGCCGTGGAAGTCGAACTGAGAGCGGAACTACCCTCGAGGACGGCCATAATGACGTTAATATCGAGATATTTTAACTCGTTAGATACTGCCGCTAGTATAGTTCACGCGCCTACCTTTCAATCACAACTACGGGCGCACTGGCAAGATCCATCTAAGTCAACTATCACATGGATAGGTTTGCTCTATTCTATGCTATGTCTTGCGATGCTCAGTTATCATAAGGTAGGGGACGAGCCTCCGGAATGGAAAGGTAGGTCTCTAGATCTCGCAGCAGAATATCGATTGCGAACGGTACAATGCTTGGTAGTCGCGGATTATACCAAGCCGGTTGAGTATACAGTGGAAACACTGATTCTTTACTTATTTGGAGAATACTCTTCGCGCTGGGACGCAGATTTTTCATTGTGGATTATAACAGGTATTATTGCGAAATTGGCTTTTCGAATGGGTTATCACCGAGATGCGGACTGGTTTCCGTCAGTTACGCCATTCCAAGGGGTATGAATAGAACATCTCCCAAGTTTGAAACTTCATCATGTAGAACAGCATATCGCTGATACTATCGTCACAGGAAATGCGACGACGAACATGGGCTTTGATACGCATGTCTGATATCATATTCTCGTATCAAGTAAGTCACCTATACACGATGTCTAGTTATTATTCCATCTATTCGTGGTGGTCACTAATATATTTAAAGATTTCCTTACCGGCCAGCATCCACGAACATGACACCGACACGAAGCTCCCGCATAACATCTTTGACGAAGAATTCGGTCCCAATAGCAAAACTCTTCCCCCTTCCAGGCCGATGGTGGAACCGAGTCCGATTGCTTATATGATAAGTAAAACCAAGCTGTGTATTGAATTAGGAAATGTTCTCCATTCGGTCTCCCGAGTAGGCAAGCCGGTGAGCTATGATGATATTTTACAACACGACAAGAAACTCCGCGAAATCTTGGATGAGTTTCCACCGCATCTAAAGATTCGCCCTCTCGATGGATCGCACGACCCCGTGACCCTTATTATTGCGAGGTTCAATTTGGATATCTTATACCAGAAGATCATGTGTATGTTGCACAGGAAACACATGTTACGCGCGAGGCAGAATCCGCGGTACGCGCATTCTCGTCGTAGCGCAATTGAGGCCTCACTAGAAATTCTGGGGCACCTAAGAATGATACATCGTGAATGTCAACCGAATGGTCGACTTCGTTCTATGAAATGGTATGTATCGGCTACCTCTAAAGACACATTGCTTCCAACAATGCTAGTCATCCTTGATCTTCACCATGATCATATTGCTGCCACGTCTGGTAAGCGGCAGGATTCGCAGGCAATTTACTTTTGGACGCCAGAGCAACGGAAGAAGATGATGAGTTCTCTCGAAGCGGTTGCAGAAATTTGGAAGTCACTGTCCAACGAATCAGTTGAGGCATACAAGGCTGCAAATATTCTCGAGATCATGCTAGGAAAGCTCAGGAATCCTCCTTCAGCACCGGTTGGTACTGCTGGAGCACCAACGACGCAACCTGAAAATCCCTTCACTTTTGGTGTTGAAATGCTACCCGAGCATTCCGCGGCGATGACTCTCGGTATGCTCTCAGAGGGCTCGGCGTCAACCATCCAGTCACCCGGCGGGACAACTTACCCGAATATAGAGCTTAATTTAGGAGGCGTGGGAGGCGTGGGAGGCGTCGGGGCTAGAACGGGACTTACACCTGAATTCCAACCTGACAATCTTGGTACAATTAACAACGCCGCGTCACCGTTCTCCATGTTCACAACTCTAGGCGGAGGGGGCAACATGGCTATTGATCATAATTTCGACTGGGTATGCTCCTAGACTCAATACACCCTTAGATGGTAAATATTAGGCTAACTATAATTTAACAGGACGCATTTGAGAATTACGCGCAGACAGCAACTTGGGGTCCAGATCAGACATCCTTCCAATTCTTCGCGGGGAACCCCGAGCAGCAATCCCAATCCCAACAAGGATCTTCCGATGGTTCTTTCGCGTTCTTGAACCCGGACACGCCCAGCACATAGCCTTCCCGGCTCTAGTTTTGTGAATATTGAAGATGGCGCTTGGCTGTGATGGGTTGGTATGAAAGTCAGATACCCGGTAAGGAGCCTTTGCGTATCGTTATGCTTCAAGTGTGGCACTCTTGTCTATTCTAGGGGTTACAAAAAAGAAAAAGGAAAATTGCGGATGGAGGGAGGACGTAATATGTACGTATAGCTCTTTTGACCATGTCCATGGTACGTAAGTCAATTACACAACTCTCCTCCGGGCGCATATCAGTGCCTAAAATAGACCTGGCTATCCTTTACGGCTGAAGCCACTTGTAGATCGCCGCCAGCAGTGAGAGGGATATTTGATGGCGTTTCTTGCGTAGCTTTTAGTTACCATACTTAAGGACTTCGAAACTGAGCTATTATGTACATATGTTGTATGACCGCCCAAACCTCAAGATGATGAACAACTAATAACACTTAAGTTACATTTAACTTATAGTCTCCCATCTCTTCGTGTCATGTTAATTGAGGAATTGTCCGACGTGCTTTCATCCGAAGCAGCCTCTTCGGAAGCTAACATATCTTTCCTGGCGTCAGTGGCTATTAAAAAAGGGACTAGAAAGGAAGGTAGGCAGATTCATATAAAGTTCTACGCCTCTTAAGCGCATCGCGAGTTACTACATGCATTAAGCAGTTTGATTAGGCAACAGATCTTATTTGTCTTACGTGTACGATTCTTAACCATCGGTATGGTCTTCTGGGGTATTAGTAACGTTGTTGATGTTAACTAACACGTATCTAAGTTCTCAGAGAGTATATAATTACCTAGATATAATAATAGAATAAAACGAGGGGATTCAAGTATATATTAACTACATTGCGTGAGGCCTAATCTAAGTGGCGTTGATAACGGAATATGTGTACCTTGTTAGACAGGGGAATTCGCATTTGCAGGTTACACCCGGTAATCAATGCAGAGAGCACTATGTTTAAAACCCAACAAACATTGAGTCTTCTAGTTAGGTAACTCAAGTAGTGTAACGCCATCTTGATTAAGCATGCTTGGGTATTTATAAATAGAATGCAGGTGCCCGATATTCTGTATTGCATGCATATCCCGTTACACAACGTCGATGGCTTTCAATGTGTAAGTAAGGGATTTTACGAATATTAAACAACATTAATAAATATATCGCTTTGTAGTCTGAGCGTGAGATAGAGGAACGATAGAACGAGGATTGAAATTTGGTCAGGCATAAGACATATATTTACAAAAAATCATATCATATCACATTAGGGACTCGAGAAAGACCAATGAATATTGTCAGACCACAAGATTTTCATATGAAGTGTTATAAAATATTGATATACATGAGAATAGAATAAGACCGAATTTAAAAGAACAACAACGCTATTTTCCCCCACTAGATGCTATGATGATGCAAGAAAGCAATGCCCAAAACGCCCGTATGATCTGACAACTTCAATGCCTCATACATCATTCCTACATGCATAGTGTCAAACAAACGGCTAACGGCACGCTTACATGAGGCCAAAAGCCTTCCTGGCGGCGTCCCAGTAACTCTGTCGCTTGGGGTCGACAGTGACACCGACGCAGCCCATGTAAGCGGCAAAGCCGGCGTCGTCGCCCTTCTTGAGGGCTTCCTGGACATCGGGAGTGCACTGGGTGCTGAAGTACCATGGGCCGCTGCCGAAGTTGTACTTGTTGTCGTTGACGAGGGAGAGGACCTCGTTCTTCTTGTCATCGGGGGCATCCTCGCCGACGCCAGCAACCTGGCTCGCGAGCTCCGGGATGGAGTTGGCGTACATGAGGTTGAAGTTGAACATCTGCATGTTCGAGGTACCCTGGCCAGGACGGCCGGGGGAGACGTTGTGCTTGAAAGTGTACTCGACGGACTCGAAAGCCGTGAGCGCGATGATACCGGCCATCTGAGCCGGGTTGTAGATGCCGTACTGCTGCATGGCTTGTACCAGTAGGGGACCGATGACGTCGGACTTGACGCACTCGCCACCGGCAGCACAGTCTACGGTGCTGGGTGCGACCTCGGCAATGATGGCCGCGGCGGTCTTCACATCACGGATTTCGTGAACAACACGGGGAGCGGCAAGAGCCTGACCAGCCAAGAGGAGACCGGCGGCGGAAGCGAATTGAACCTTCATGATGATGGTGGTTGGTGTTGGTGTTGATGAAAGATTTTATCTTAATAGTTCCAAAAGTGGTAATTGATCGACGTCTTTTTCAACCTGTGAAAAAGAACGATGTTTGCTTTTTGCTTTTATAGGATCTGGGTCGATTGTTCGTGTTGGTCCACGTAATCTTGTGTCTATGGCTCAGCCTGAAGATAGTGACTTTGTGGTTTGGCAACGAAAATAGAACGAAAGAATGGAACCGCTAGGGGTTGTTGTTTAAAGAAGGTGATTGTTTAGAAAGGTAAAGGGATAATACCCGTTATACAAAAAAGTAAAAGAGAGTGAAATGTTGCCAGACACGAACAAGACTTAGTTGGGTGGTGAATAAAAAGAAGAGGGACTATTAATGTCGGGATCAGCGTAGGATATATATCAAGTATCCGGGTATAAGACAAAGAGATCTCTTAGATACCTACTGTAAGTAGCCGATCCTCCTAACATGTAACTGGACAATCTAGCAGGTGCCACCTGAAGCCAAGCCCCTGAATCTGGTCAGTCTGTTAATGATGTTAGTGAATAAAGTGCTTGAACCTTCCCGTATCTTGCTAGTACGAGAAAGGTGGTGATGTGCAAGGACGACAGGGGTGAACTAGGGGTAATAGTGATAGCCAATCATTATGACTAAATGGTCTTGAAGGCCGCAAGTCAAAACAAATGACCCCGGCTAGGGTTGTGATGTTTCAAACCAAACGCTTCCAATTGATTGGCCTTAAGGATCGGAACTGGCCACAACTATGATGTAAAAGGAACTTATAGGTTTTATTGTTCTAGAACAGAGGCGAGGCACAGTTCTTTTCTAAGCTGCAGTCCTTTAAACCCATCAATGAGAATTAATGAGATTCCTTTGAGAGCCTAGCCATTTGCCTTCGTATATTTATTGGGGGGGATTTTGGGGAGAAAATTAAGGGCGACTTTAAAACAAGCAAATTTCCTTATAAGGAAGTTCACCAAATACTTGAGTACTCAAAGGGGCTAATTTAAGTCACTTATACGGATCTCGGCCGCCTCGGATGTCGAAATAATAATTAGTCCGCTATTTGTGTACCTAAGTATAGCTACGGTACATCCAAATCCATGCATTCTTCATCTAGCCCCCGTCAATTGCATCGGCCGATATGGAGAGCCGAAAAGGCAAGCACAAGCCACAAAAGCTTGTTACTTGTATGTAAATCTGTGGCTTGGTGACTTGAGCTTTTTCTGTTCGATCTGAATAGTGGAGAGCTCCAAACTTGAGGTACCGCTTGAAGCTGCCTGACGGATAGTGCATCAAGTCTAACATTACGCACTTTCAGATCGCTAATACTTTATTCTACACCCCGCAATCCCTAAAAATTGCACAGATAGCTACCTAAGGTAGCTATAACTTAACCTCGTGATCTTATCGCCAGTAAGGATTACCTTCGATCCTAACAGCTGCATCTTCAAGATGTCCAACTTAAATAATTATATCAACAGTAAGTTACGCTATACCCTTTGACCTTGTTAGTATCGAGGCTCGAGCAAGGCTTACAGCGCGAGGAATCTAACAGTCGCGTAGAGAAGGTCCTGATAATTACAGCTGACTCTCGAACCTTGGTGGGGAATCTCTTGAGCTGTGACCAGATGACCAACTTGGTAAGGGCGGAGCATTATATTATATTTTTAGATTTTTGAGTCTGCGGCTAATCCCACGTATCCAGGTCCTTGGACAAGCAGTCGAGCGCGTCATCCGAACACCCGACGATACGGATCCGTCTACCGAAGTCCCTTTGGGTCTTTACCTTGTCCGGGGAGACAATGTTTGCGTGGTGGGCTTAGTAGACGAGTCTCTTGACGATAGCATCAACTGGGAACAGGTAAAGGGTTCGGCAATTGGTGGTATTAAACATATATAGGAGTCGACGGCGGCGGCGGATCATGCCCTGAAACACATGCTCTTGATACCTTGAGATTGCACTTTTGGCGTTGGGGAGAAAATAATAATTGCATTTACATGAGAGAGGAATCTGGAAGCTTTACTCATAGGGTACGCTCTTGTCTAATGATACCCACATATGCGTTCTGCTGACATCTTTATCGTCCCCGCCGTGTCAGATATATGGTGACCAACCCGTTGTCTTCTTTAATTACTATCTTCTTCGCCCGAACAGACGCTCCATTAGGAATGGCGCAAATTCCATCTCGCCTGGACTGCTAACGTATCTGTTTATTCTATTGCCCCTCACCAAGCTGAGCCAGCCATGTTCATCCCTAGGGACCTCAAAAGTCGTCACACCGTCGGGCCGTGCTCTACCGCGACGATCCGAAACGTGCATTCCGTGAGTCCACTGTCCCGAGGTCTCAATACGGATATCTTCTGGCGCATTCTTTGCCAGCTTCCACGCTGGATCAGATCCTGTGAGCATGTACCAGACGGTTAAAGGGTCATGAAGCGATAGGCCCGGTTCCACCTCAGGACCGAGGATGGAGGTAATTTGACGGAATATGCCAGTCATGAAAGTGTTTATCCATACTCCTAACGGGCTATTGCCGGCGAGCTGCGGTTCAATCTTCTCCAGAAAGAAGCCTAGGTTTAGGAGATGAGGTGTAGTAATATCAAGTGGGAACAGACTCAAGTTCAGGGGCCGTGAAAGCTTTTCAGGATACGGCGGTAGAGTTGCCTTGTCCTTGGGTACGGGTGGCATAGTGGAAGCCGGGTTCGGTGACGTCAAAGCGAACACTCGAGCGGCAGCAACGGCATCGGCATAGGTGTTGAATTCAGCAACTGGCGTTACGTTGCCCTCGCACTCTATAGCCCCACCCATAACAGCCACCTCCTTGACCTTGAGAAAAGTTTCGGGGTCTTCCGAAGCAGCTAGAGCTAGATTAGTTAATGGGCCCAGGACGCATATTGAGACCGTATCAGCAGGCTCCTCCTTCAGGATTCTCAGGATCTCTTTATGTGCTGGCGTTTTCGACGGCGTGAAATATTTTAAATATGAGGGATCCTCGGCATTTCCCTCAAGTCCATCCTTGAAAAGAGCTTTCCAAGTATCAGCCGGTGATAAGTGAGGTTGCTATTAGAATATGTTAGTCGAGTCTCGCACCAACGAGTTATGTTTTTAACATACAGCTTCGTGAACACCGTGTAAGCCGTCAGCTCCATCTACCAGAAAGCACCTCGTCAGCATTTTTCATCTAGCGCAACTCCGCATACATCTACATTTCTCAACCTACGAAAATCATCTGCCATTAAAATCTCATCTTCCAGAGCATGCTCAGGGCCGACAGCAACAATAGGTTTATAAGTTCGTAGAACCTCATAGCCTAATGATTTCCCTTTAGACTTGCGCCACTCCATCTCCTGGTCGAGAACGTGGAACATGCTGACTACATTTCGCAAGCAGCCCTCTAGAACCACATTACCATAAGTCACCGAAATCATCAGCACTTCTAGCTCGTCGGGCGAGGAGGCCAGGGCGAGAAGCATAGCTATAACATCGTCGGCGCCTATAAAATAGTTAAGATACAAGTTTAATATCTCCCTTTGCTGCTACTTACCTGGGTCGGTATCTATAATAATCTTTCTTGGTGCCATGACTAGTGCAGCGAATGTTTAGAGAATTCTAACTCGGAGTTCTATATAATTCTAGAGCAACACTGAAGTAGATATGATATTAAATATTTACTGGATAGGCGTGTGGGTTAAGAAGCAAAGTCACGACTGATATTATCGATAAGATGCGGCTACAGGTGGGAAGTTAGGTACCTCTTATTATGTCTTAATACCTAAAGTCTACTGTGTGACGTGACCCCCAGGGTTCCTACCGTCGGTGACCTGCGGGGGGGAGAGACGATCCCGCTAGTCTCCGTCTACCGGAAAGCGGAGATCATGTACGCGCTCCATCAGCTTCCGCATATTTCGTACTGTTTGAAGTTGCCTATGTATTCAAAGCTGCCCGCAATAAATATCAACCCAATTGTTTTTAAATAAATTCAAGCAGTAATACTCCATGATTAAAGGAAGGTACCAGGGAAACTTAGTGATATATATACCTAGGTATTTATTTAACAACTCCACAAAGAGCCAGCATGTAGCGAATCCACTATATCAAATAATTATTTAAATGCATGATAACAAGTACTTAACACATCACCACTATTTTATAAATTGATACATATTTTAGTTTGTCGAAAGCTTGACATGTTTGAAACATTCACATGCATCAAATACCTAAGGTATACATTAAAGAAACAAGTGAGGGTTGATCTAAGTAATAGTTGGCTGATCATATATTAACAGGTAGGCATATTAAAACAGGACTTGATAGCTGAGATCGTCAGCCTTATAAGAGGGTTATCTGAATCGGATGGCGGCATCAGTTTTAGATATCAACCCCAAAACTAGCCACTCCACGGAAATACTTTAACAAAGAAAAATATAAATCTTGGTATTAGATCTAGACCTGCATGTTTTATGCAGGCTGGGAACATTTTTCATAGTAAGGGAGGACTGCATCACGGGAGTTTTTTGACCAACCGAACTTTCTTACGATTTTTACATATTTTCACCCCATATCAAATTGAATCTGTCAATTGCTCAGTCACATATGTACGAGTGTAGAATTACGCTGGCTGTGAGGTCGCTCAGCAACTTTACGGCCAAGCGAATAGAATTTCTATTTCGTCAATTTTAAGGGGCTTTTCCACGTATACAATTGAATTTGATGAGACGCTAATACAGTAACGGGATAAGGCGATACGGAAAACAGACAGTTCAAATGTTGTAGTTAGTGTATATTAAGTGGAGACTCACCATCAGTTGTACCTCTTATTAGTGTTAGGAGGTACCTAAGGTTAGGTACTTTTAGTGTACTTCCAGTATTGGACAGCTTTCAACATTGAACCCCTTTACACGGGCTGACAAGATAACCTTCTGCTTCTAGACTTCCATACCTCAGTGCCCAGGTGCTCATACCTACCACATCTTAGGTACAAGTCTGTACTTTATGCCGATTGGTCAATAACAGTTGATGACAGCTTATCCCAAATCCAAATTCCCCTACACCATCAACTCATCAGCCATCAGTCAATTCATCCCATTGCCGAAACCTGAACAGACTACCTCTGACCTCTGTGCAGCTGTGCGGTGCAGTGCAAAACCACCTTCACTTTGTCGTTTATCTTACCGTTTCGTATTATACAACAAGTTTTTCTTTCGTCAACAAAAAAAAAAGAGAAATACCTTGTTATTTAATAAAATCGACACTGAATCATCTGTTTCTGATTCAGCTGAGCTTGCATCGTTCAATGTTCATCCTTCGTCCCCAGCTGCATTACTTTCACACTCTTTCTTAACCGGTATTATAAATATACAGTGCACTGCTCGACATAATCGACGCACTACCTTCCTTCACTGGTTTAGCTTCCCAAAGATCTACGTACAATTAGTGTCTTGCGAAGCACGTCCACGCACAATTGAGCATCGTTGAGACACCATCGCATCGAGGCACTTGGTGCTGCCATCAATCTCCTTTACCTCCACTGTTACTTCGACCTAGTTGGTGAATCTTACAGAGGAGTTCCCTCTACAATTTCGGTTCATAATGGATATTTCCACTAGCCACTCGACCCTCACCACTATTGGCGGATGGGTGGTCATTTTGGCGATCAGCGGAGTTATTTGGTATCGGAACCAGCAAAAGAAGACTCAGAGGACCGTTCGCCGCGGCTCCTTCACCAAACAATCAGGAAGACAAAATGATACCGATCTCGTGACCGATACTAAGAAGAAGATTGAAAAGGTTGCGAAGCCCAAACCCAAGCCAAAAGCTCCGACCACCACATCGAACGAACGCACTACACCCAATGTCAATTTCAATCGAGACGAGGACGAAGCTGCTGGCAAGAAAGCCGACCGTGAATTTGCTCGTCAGCTAGCCAGCGCCCATGCAGGAACTAAGTTCAGCACTAAGAAATCTGACGATAAGAAGCAGAAGTCTGTCAAGCAGTCCAAAGCTCAAGAGATCCAAGATGCATCAGCTGGGAAGGCATCTGTCCCTTCCTCACATGCTGACGATGCTGATGACGATCTATCGTCCCAAACTTCTCCTGTAGTTGGAGCTGTTGACAGTCGTGATGTATCCGATATGCTCGAGCCTGTCGCATCTGGCCCTTCCGTCCTCCGTCTTACAGACACCGATTCTGTGAAGCCCAAGGAACGAAAGCAAAAAGCACCCGAAGTTGTTGAGACTAAGAAGCAACGCCAGAACCGAAAAAAGGCTGAGGCCGCTAAGGCTGCCCGTGAGGAAGAGGAAAAGGAGCGCAAGGTTAAGCAGGAACAACAGAGACGAACTGCTCGTATCGCTGAGGGAAGACCCGCTAAGGACGGCTCGAGCTTCACAGCCAGTGCCCAAAATGCCTGGAATGAAAAATCCACCAACAAAAACAGCACGGTCCAACCCCTTGACACTTTCGAGCAACAAGCTAAGGTTGAACCCACAAAGCCGAGCACTGTGAGCGCTGTCGGAACCACTAAGAAGTCCGACCCCTGGTTGTCCAGCATGCCTTCGGAGGAAGAGCAGATGGAGCTACTCCGTCAAGAGGATTCGTGGAGCGAGGTTAAGACCAAAAAGAAGGGAAAGAAGAAGGATGTCTCCGCTGATGTGTCGGCTGCCTCTGCTCCGGCTACCAACGGTCGGAGCGCCACAAGCACCCCCACTGTTAAGGCCCCGGCTCCGGTCAATGGCACCAAGAAGCCGATCCTGACCAGCAGCAACTCTTCTTTTGCTGCCCTGACTCCCGAGGAGACAGATGATAATGATGAAGAAAAAGAATGGGACGTATGATATGTTAAAAATATCACGTCATGGGTGTCTCAGGGGCGTCCATCTTCACTTCTTTATACATTTTTGTCTGCTGTGAATATTGCATAGACTCGACCACCACCACCACCACCACCATCACCATCATCACACCTTCTACACCAACGGTCAATATTGCTGTTGTACAGTATTCTCCTCGACACATCACACCGTATCGAATCCCATTATGCACATGGACATCTATTATCGCTTATGAAAAAAAGGGCTTGGACTTGGATTGCAAGATGGACGTTCCTCTTGCCGTTTCCCTGAGAAAACGCAGAATTGGTCATCCTTGCTTTGTATTAGTGACTTATGATTTTTCTTTCCTGATAATTGCAGCTTGTTATTATACAGACGTACGGAATTACCCGTTGCCTGATGACTACAACTCGTAGCCGGAGACTGTACCAATGTTTTCAAGTCCACTATAGGAGGACGGATACTGGGCGTCGTTATTTCTTAGTTGTAGTGGCTATAAATTCAAATAGCTCAATGAATGCGTATACTTTCATTTTATCTGTGTCCATGCTATCTTGTTAGGTTGCAGACGTGCGGCAGTTGTTGACTTTCTCCCGAATACTTTATCAATGGGGGTGACTTGCGGCTTGTATTATGTATAGCAAAAAAAAGGAAGAAAAAAACATGAGGAAATCATCTTAATTCCATGTTAATGCATGTATTAGTAGTTCATGTCTGTTTTATTGATTAACCACTTTCATAGATTATGAGCAAATTTAACACCAGTCAGGGGCGTCTTCTCTGGAGAGAAATTAAAGAGACCCAAGTCAAGGATAGATATAATGCAAGTTGGCTTGTGAGAGAAAGCCCCAATATTTTCCGGCTCTTTGCTTTCCCTCAAGTTGTAGAGTTTGCCAGTCTAGTGTTCATGCATTCATTTGGGTAGAAATTATGGGGAATTCCTGCCACGTATAGGCAGTTGTCTAAATAACTCACTGTTCTTGTGTCTGCTCTGTACCAATATCCTCGAGTGGAAGGGAAGCAGAGGTACACAGTTTCTATTTTCTCAAATTAACGTCTTAGCTCTAAGTTACAAACCTATAAAATCTATATTTCTTCTACTTTACTCGATAGACCTTTAGGTAGATAGTCTTAGCACTCCCACGGGATGTGGATGAACTCATGATTCTCGTAGGAGATAGAGAATGTACGTCATGGCAACATATTAAGTGTAACACCCCACTAAGAGATCTCATCGAATAAGGTCCCTCCTCATATTTGACATCTGCATGTAGCATCGTATCAACTGTTCCATGGCGGCATCCCTTCTGGGTAGGTATCAGTTTCCTGCCTCATATTGTAAGACAAGTGTTTCGGTATTTGTCATACATTCTAGGCTTTAGGCTTAGGCTTGTTGCTTGTTACACAACTAGTGTACATAACCGGCTAAGGGCTGTAGGGTTTATATATTATGTAAACTATTAACTTAGAGGCTTGAGTGAGTTCTCTTCGTGCAACCAAAGACACATTTGACACGTTTCTATTATATTGGGTAACTAGGTAGGTAAACATATGATGGACTTGCATGCTTGATATTGGTCTCTCTGCTAGTAAGTTCTTGGTCTTACTTAAGAAAAACGATCATTTATTACTAAAAAATGTGTAACCATGATAGAGGCTCAAGGGTTAACGAAATATGATAGATAAGGCCCACGTGTGACAGCTTTCCCCTCACAATGTAACCAAGTTAAACCCAATAAAATTTATTAGATACCTAGGTAGGTAGGTAGTTAGGTATACATATATTCTTAAGTCCTCAAGTGTGAGAGTGTTACAGAGCAAACCTTTTTCGGGAATATGTCCAATCAAAGGCTATTATAGGAGTTTGAACTATTCGACTTAGCTAAGTGATTCGAATAATACCAAATTGTTGCTACGTGGCGTCAATGAAGCATATTTGGTATAATTATGAATTTGTATGTTACCTAGGTACCTAACGTATATCTCGGCGTCTCATAAACAGATGCATCAACACATATTTGGTATTTCATGACTGTGGTTGCGATAGAAGTAGGCGATCCTTGCATAGTATGTAGAGGGGATAATCTTGGATCACTAAGCTTCTGACGTGTGGTCATCATAGCTATTACGATGATTATGGTCATCAATGGCCAGTCATCGTGGCTGAGCCACTATTCAACCAGATAGGCAGCCATATTCAATTACACGTATATACGTGTAAATTAAAGATAGGTGAATACATATTTGTATACTCCCCCCTCTTGCATCGAGCTATCCAGTTATTAAGTGAGGAGTCGACACGAGGCAAAAGAGAGGTGCATCTTAGATCGAATTTCTGGGTTCTTAATGGCGGGTCATTATGCATATTTTTGGTTTATTATCAGATGCGGGAGTTACATGGTTCCTGGAGATGCTGTGCGGGGAGTTATGCAAGACCTTTAATCTATGTAGAAACCCAAGGGTAAAACGTGAGATTGTGCAGGCATGTATTATGTACAAAGGTAAGCGAGGGATTATCCAAATTCCAATTTGAGGATCAAAACGAGGGGCTGAACGCCTGGACCTGAGAAGGCTCCTAGCAAGCAAGGCCAGCCATTAGTAGCGACGTATGCGTAAATGAATGTGCCACAATGGTGGATCGTAAGCTGCGTGGGCTACATGGATTAGCGGGCACTGCGGAGACTATCAGTTCGATGAACCCCACCTTCTGTGGTTCAGCAAGGTTCATCAGTGCTGAATTAGCGGTATGCCACAAAGGCAAAGGAGGATACGGGGGGTTAGTTAAAGTAGCACTTACAGAATACTTACTGCACCTACAGGGGTTATATTACCATAATCCCTGCATCGTGAACAAAGCCAAGCTGTGGCGTTGAAACCGAATGAGCGTAATTAGGCAAACCCCCATTTCTCCGTCTGATATTATTGGTTAATCACCATCTGGTCTGCATTATACATTCTACACAGGTACATTTAGGATGCAGGCAAATGCAGTAGAGCGTGGGATCGTCCACACCATTTGCCCATCGCCAACTGCAGTTTACGCAGTTTACATCGAATCCTGAATTCACTTTCCGAATTCCCTCCACTCATTTACTTCCTTTTCGTTAGTTATTCCCGTTCGTTGCCGGCGGCGGCTTCAAGTCTCATTTCTTCGTTTTTCTCGTTGTAAATCAAGACCTTTTTGCCTACCGACTGAGCGTATTATTATTCAGTTTCATCATTGGTTATTTTCTCACTACATAACGACTTCTACTACTAACAGGATACTTTGTTTGCTCTACTATCCTACTAGACTAGTTTCCACGTTCATTTTTACTTGGGTAGCTCAATCATCAACTTATCCAACCTATAACTTTCAAGTCTCATAACCCAATTGAGCGATTTTTACATCTCACCGAACCCTTTTAGCAATCAGTTTTGCCCCCTTTTCCTTGTGCAGTTATCTCACGAGCAACCGCGTCTTGGAAGTCGACGATCCACGTACTTACTTATTCTCCTTACCGACGAACTTTCCTCAGCTCAGCATACATACTAAAGAAACAAGCTTGTATTCTGATTAGCTTTAAGCTCGACGAAACTAAGAATTAAACTTGTCTTGTCTTAGTTAAACTCAGTTTTACGTGTGACGCCGCTTTCTCTGCGAACCTTTTCCCGTTTACCGAACTCCAAACTCTCGATACGACTTCTAGATTACCCCCGACGAAGTACCTTAAATCACTCACCAATGCTGTTGCTAATGGTAGCTCTCTTGTCTTCGATATAAGCCTCAATAGGCACCTGTACATTCTATTCCCCCCCTACGGAGAAACTACCCCATATCTATCATGTCGTTCGGCGTTGCTGTCCAATCTGCCATATTCTACGTCGTCTCTTGTGCACCATGTCTTCAGGCAAGGCATCACCAACAATCCAAGGCGCTGGCCAAGAAGGAGAGCGAAGTGAAAGCGCGTTTTCAGGCTGCGAACCCTAAATCATACCGCCACCCTGACCCTTTCAATACAAATCCGTACTGGTCGGAGGAGATAATGATGGGGCCGAGAATACAATCAAAGAAGTATACCGGCGGCAATGGTAAGAATAACAGCCAGAAGCGCCTGAGTAGTTCCGGCAAGGAGACTACAAGCGTTGCCGAAAGTAGTACGCAGGTCGACAGCATGAGCCCGGTAAGTAGTCATACTGCCGTGGCGGAAGACGGCAAGCTCAGTTTTTCAACTACCTTATCGGACGATTGGAACCGAAAGCGTTACCAAAGGGAAGATGAAGAGTTATGGGGTCATGAGCTGTCCCGTACAGGTCATAAGCTGATGGACGCGATTAAGCAGGCGGGATCATCAGCCGGTCGACTTCTGGAAACAAGATTAGGGATGGAACCTAAGACGGTTACTGAGGAAGACAGACATAACTTCTATTTCGCGCCGAGGAATCCTCCCGTCAATGAATATCACCCCCCGATTGTGCGACAGAAGCCTACGAACAAAAACGCTACTATGTGGATGTTGCAGCCACCGCCGCCTGCGAAGGTCATGGAAGGCAAAGTGCCTGTTAGCAGAAGTGGAAGCATGGCTAGCCACGTTAGTCGTAAGACGACGATGAGCGATGCACCTAGCTTAAGCCGGCTAGTACACGAGAGGGCAGTAGAAGCTAAACTTAGGAGCGGCGAGTTACCGACAGATTTCGAATCAACTTCAACACTCCATAAGACCGTTACAAGAAAAAATACATCAAGCCGAAAACACCATAGCCATCGAAGGACAAGGAGCAGGAGCCTATCGATAGAGTCTTCAGACGCTTCTGATGTGACCACAAAGCAGAGAAGCCGTCGAGTACGACCAACGCCCACTGCGGATTTTGACTCTTCCGATGAAGAAGAATATTTCTTGCGAAGTTCAGACTCCTTTGGGCGAGGTAGAAGAGCTGCTCGGAGACCAACGCTACGACCTATTTCAAGCTCCCAGGAAAACGAGAAGGATACAAAGGAGAACGTGCCAACCAAGGCCAAGGGGAATAAGAAGCTCGCTCGATCAGCAAGCTCTACACTTGCCAATATTACCAACACATCGCAACTGAATCAAACCTCGTCGACCGCTGAACCCGTTGAAGAGACGCTGCAAAAAGATACGACAGAAACGTCCTCGCCAATGGTACTAGGACCCCTACTGAAGGTCTCTGCATAGAGTCGCTGGGGCAGACAGCTAGTCAAATCAGATAGCAGCATTCATGTGTACGCTCCTCGAGCTACGCAATGCTGGCGAGTCGAAGTTTCGTCGAATGGACAATACCGGCTGGTTAGATGATTGTAAAATTAGCAGGCGGATTCATTGCGGGTGCAAAATGCATGGCAATTTGGGTTAGGGAGGTTTGCATCGGTAGGAATGCATGGCGTACGGTTGGGATCACGTTCGATAAAAGCTCGAACGGCTTCGGTTGGCGTATTGTATCTTAGCATTAGATCCATCGGGCATTCATTAGCATAAGTTTCTCGAGTCGGCTGTTTGAATATTGTCTTTACATGATTTATTCCTGCAAGATATATTGTTTTTATGTACCTAATGTACTGTAATGCCTGGTAGGTATAGTCATTGAGGTCATGTACACTTGTAATTGTTGTTTTGAAGGAGACGTTTGCCCCTTTTCTGCTGTTTACTAGAGATTGTTACTAAATACATGTATCTAACCTTACCTACCTTGGTACGAAGTATATCTATTTTGTAGTGAGGAATGTGTATATGAAAGGAAACGTTTTTCCGTTATACCTTTCTAAGTTACTTGATACTCGTATGAATGTATCTAAGAGTTGTGACGATAGTTGCAAAAGCTACCTCCTATGTGGGCTTGTGAGTACCTTGCATAGAAGGAGCTAACTACATACCTCCTAGATACATGTAGGCAGTCTTCAATGAACAATTATATTAAGCACCTGCCTTAGACAGCTTTAGCTTTAGACAATGGAATAATAAAATGAGGTAACGATAATCGAAGCTTCCATTTGTGTAACAACCTTGGCAAAAGGGGAAGGATGGTTGTTATGCTATCTTAAGCAGAGGCAATAGCGATTATGGGGCAACTGCTAGATAATTTACATTGGACAACTTCTGCTCCTTCTTCCTTCTCTTTTTATCTCCCTACGCACTGGGCGGGAAGGTATGTCTCTAAGAAAATACAGAAAAAAACCTAAAAGTGACTCAATCTTAAGGTTCGCGCTGACCCTCCAACAGTAAAGTTCGCACTTCATCCTAAAGATTTACTGTTCCTTCTCCATGCTTCATCATATAAAATCCTCAAAACTCCTCAAACTATTACTCAACAATTTAATCTGCGCAACTTCAGCAAGGTGCAAAATAATTACCCCTACTTCTCTGCATCTATTAGACACAGCCCTCTACTATCTTACCACCTCGCAACATCTTCGGCAATCAAACACGCTGTTTTTCTAGTGCTTGAAGTCAAATCATCCATACTGTTAAACATAAATCCTAAATCTTATTCACAAACCAAATCGGATATACTGCTAAGGTGTAAGACTTACAGTTAAGGCATCTGAGCCCAACATGACGAGTTCTCTATTAGAACTTTTACAGCAACTTCACCAATATCAATAACACAGAAATCTATCAAAACACAAGATCGCGAATGCTCGGAATCATGGATGTTGGCAATAAACGCAACTAGACTGCGAACTGATGACCGATCTAATACACCTAATAAGAAATTCAACGACTCATTTGAAACTCAGGTTCATTACAAGGGCATCTCGAGCAGGTAAGTATCCTTCCAACCTCTTTGAGCACGCAATTGCTTCCTGAGTCTAATATATTAAGTGTTGACTGACAATGTTTTGATCAGTCTTAATCTGCACGACAAATTTACAAGCAACTCTGACATACACGCACGTTCCAGGGGGGACCCTTGGTGATTTGCGAATCATTCCCTACGAATACTTTGGCCCTAATCAACCTCTGGTAGTTAGCAATACTCCCCGTACCGATGTGTGAGCTGAGGCTGTGCGTTAGAGCATGCCATTCAATATGGAACGACCATGCTTGCTACTCTGAGACATAGGGCAAAAAATTCTTAGCTATGAGTCGTCCAGTCTATATTGGGTTTATAGTTCATCATTTTCATGAATGTGTGAAATAAATCCGGTTACTCTACGTACTCTATCTACCTCCCACCACCGTTGCTTTCGCTTTCTTTAGACTATTGACTTCAGCGCGGATAACTAAACTAAACTAAGCCACTACTATCAGATCTGGACATATATACGGCCTCCCACTGCCCTGAGATGACAATCCCATTCCTCAAACCAGCAGTTTACCTTATGAACATAAGTCAGTTTGGAGTTGGAAGACACGAAACAGGACTCGGGTTAGAGTTTGACAGAAGGAAGCAGCAGTTAGACAAAGAAAGGAAGGCATCGTAACTTCTTTGAAAGCGGGGTACGTCATGGTAGCATAGACTAGGACGTATCTAATATAAAAACTATCACACATTCATAACAATTACTAGATCTCATACGAAAGGCTTCGCCTCATATTCAATTTAATCAACTTCATTGCAATCACTCGCCTTAACATCTGGTAGCTTCACACGTATATACCTAAAAGACTAAACCTTCAAGATCCTTAGGAAACGGGTGTGTTTGGCCATTGCCTAGATCTCCCAGTTCTGTTCAAATTGACGGTCTAGAACGGGCCGAATGGGCCCTCACTTCTCGGAAAGTGCTAGTTCAACTTAACAATAGGGCGAAGAATGGGTCCTACGGCAGTGGAGAACGCACACCAAGAATATAAGAAAATATTGCAAGTCAGAATTTCATCAAGGAGCAATCCAATGACAATCCAATGAGCATCAGTGGTTTAGTGGTAAAATCCATCGTTGCCATCGATGGGCCCCGCGTTCGATTCGCGGCTGATGCAGCGTCATATTTTTGCTTGCCTGGCGTATGGGAGCAGGAGTTTCGGGAGTGACGGCATAATATGGTAGAGAAAGCTGGCATGACTGCGACTACATGAGTACTGAAGGCTTACATCAAACTTGGGCCGACTCGGGTTTATGGCGAAGAATTTATTCTATTCAGCTAGGTACTAAGGTATATAAAACAATCGACTATTAGGTATAAGGCTCGAAGAACTGGGTTGCGTCAAGGGGGCAAAAAGCTGATAAAAACTCTGGCTCCCTCGAAGCACCTTCATATCCCTTAAGCAAAACTCTAGTTTAGAGGAATCCCTTTAGCTAATGGGCATTCCACCAGGAAGCTCCTGGAGCCAGCCGTCGAGGTTCTCGGTGACGGTCTTTGTCTTCGTGCACTTGTTGGCCTGTTCGAGGGATTGGGTCTGGAGGGTAGGGCAGTTGATCTTGTTAGCGAACAGGTCACTGTTGCAGTTGGCATCCATAGCACGCTGGAGAGCGTCACCCTTCCAGCCGAAGACGTAGTCACCATGGATACCGTAGCCGGTCTTGTCACCGAAGGACCAGACGAAAGGCTGAGATCCGTCGGCCGGCCATTCCGCCTTGTTGTTGAAGGGTCGGGTGTCCCAGTAAGTTTCGTAAAAGACCTGGGGGATTGTGACCGGGTGAGTTGATGGGCATGCGTTGCCGTTGGGGTAGGCGACGTGGCTCTGGTGGTCGGGGCTGTCTACGTTCTTACCATCCCAGCAGCTGTAAAGGGAGTCAGTAATTTATTATCGCTTCCGGGGAAAGGTAAAATGGACACTTACGTTGGGAAGCGGATGCTAACCATGATACCGGCTGCACATGGCTGCTTGGGGAAGTATGTGGTCTGACCACCTCGGGTCATGGAGGAGGCAAGGCAAGTAAAGTCCATATACTTGTATCTTCGGTTAAGCTCCTCAGCTGTGCGAATGGACGGGTCTCCGACTGTCATGCGGAATCCGGGCTTGAAAGCAGTCACCTTGCCCGATGAGAGATAGTAGACGGTCTGACCGCCACTGGCACCTGTGAAACCGAGCTCGTTTCCGAAGGTGTTGACACGGTGTAGTGTTCCGTTTCTCGCCCTGAAAGGAGAATTGTTAGTATAATATCATACCACCCCAAATTTGGGTTAAATTCCGATCCATGGTTATGTCGTTACTATGGTAAATTAGAAGTGAGGAAAAGTGGCTTATCATACTTGAAGAAGAGAACAGCAGTCCAGTAGTTAGATAAGTCTTCAACTGGTGTGCAGGAAGTGCACGTTGCCGTCGAAGGCAAATCGTGTACGTTAGGGTCCATGCTGACGTTGAAGGCATTTCCTCCGACAACCTGGTGAAGATGAGGGGACGGGTTCTCTCCAGGGTTGACAAGACTAAGAGTAAGTTGGTTAGAAAAACCTCTAGTTCAGAGTCGAATGATCACTTACGGGTCTAGACGTTCGACAACGAGCTGCGAGCACGAGAAACGAAGAGTCGCGGCTGCGTTAACGCTGGGCGCGATGCCCGCGGCGGCAAGGAGTACGAGGTTTGTCAACTGCATTTTGGTGCGGGCAACCTTTCTGGAGTAATACAGTAGGCTGTCGATCCCAAGTCTATTCAAAAACGCCTCAAGATTAAAACGACTCTGGACGACCTAAGGAGGGGGATAATGGAGGAGATTTATGTCGCATCCCACATCGATGGGCTCGTCTCCTGAGCGCCGAAGGCCACAATTGCCGACAATCCTACATATCTCTTAGCCATGTGCTCGCTCGGCCTCTGGGGTACATAGCAGGGGATTGAGTCCTCTAGACCGATGGAGTTATAAATATATCGTCGAATGGTTAACAGTTCTGAGATTAAGTGTGGAACGAAGTTGTCATTTAGCCAGATTGAATTCTGCCGGGAAGTGACCAACTCCTGGTCCGCGTATAAGTTTTAGGAAGCTGGAAAAGATTGCAATGGAAACACGGCATATTTATTCCCCGTCAATCCAGATAAATGAATCTCTTATTTATTAGGAATTGTCCTGTTTATACTGGCTACGAGTAGGACACTCCCTAACAGATATCAAGAGAGAGATTGAAGGACATAATGAGAGTACGATACTACCTAGGGATATTTTAGGTATAAACGGATCTACTATAGTGTATTACTGCTTTAAGGCTCAGTACTACCTAACCCGAGAGTGCCTTGCCCAAATAGTATCAGTCCAACCTTGAGGCTCATAATTGATTGGCTGGGATGGTAGAAGGGAGTCTTAAAGGCAACATCTGGCATGGGAATGGCCTGGTACGCGTTACATGAAGAGGACAAATATAGTGAATAAAGTACTCGATCCCGGTAGATGTTCTCTAGCGTCGGCCGTTTTTTTTCATGTGATAGATATCGGATTGGCCGAGAGGTAGAATGTGCGATTACCCACGAGATCACACCCGGCCGGAATTTTTCAACACCATGTCTGGAGACAGGGATCGTAGAGATGCCATTTGGGAACGAAAAGAAATTTATATTGGAAACGGTTCAAATTTGAAACCTGGTTAAGAATTCCAAATTCCTATGATGACGTCTTAAATGCAGATAGCTAGATGCATGCACTCTAGATGCATCTCAGACGAAACGCGAGCGAAGAAGGACGGCACGACTCTTTTTTATGCAGGCAGCACAAGTAGTTTTATGCCACATATATGCTTCCGAAGAGACGCCGTAATCTTACCGTAGATGGTGTGATAATTATGTACCTTATTGCACAGCTGTAATACCCTTGCGGAGACATGGCTATATCATGTACAAGTATGTAAGATATATTGATCACGGGATTCTGAGCTACATAAGTCAAGACCAGCAAGGAGATTTATGTTCAATATAGGAGTAGTGGTGGTATCCAGCGTGGCGTTGTGATTAAAGAACTGCTGTACCAAAGGATTAGTCCCTCTAAGTGCGTGATGGGTCTATAAGTTCCTTATATATTGCTTCTGAATATTTCAGTATGTGACCAATTTTGTAAAAACTTGCTTGTGAAATCATCGAGGTTTTTTGAGGGTTATTCCTCCCCGTCCTCGACAACGTCTTGAAAGGAGGTAGATATAGTTCGAAGTAAGACTACCTACCTAGGTAGGCAACAGAATTAAATCTGCCATTTTATTTTCTTATTTTTTACATATTATATTATTTTGAATTACTGCGTATATTAGGTAGGTCTACGCCATTCTAGTTGATTGGCTATCAGTGCCAACATTTTAAACTTAGAACAATCTGCGAAGGCTTTCATATTATTGCCACCGGTATCATGGTTAAAACGTTATGAAATTTTGGCCATTCATTCTCTAATCTCACGTTGTCAATATATATATATATCTTCTTTGTTGAAGTTACATAACTGACCTCTTGTGATGATGATCGGAACTGGATAAGGGGCTATTATATTGTTAATATTCATGCTACTTGGTAGATGCGGTTTAGTTAGGCTTCCTCAATTTTGAAGCGTATTATATGATATCGAATTGGGAAATGTATAGATATGATGATAGTGACCATTGACTTGTACGATGTTATATATTTTAGCATTCAATGCTGGAACCTTGATACCTTATAATGTGTCTGTTGAAAGATTGGGTCAGTATGGCATTTATGTATTGGCTTGGCTATTTCATTTATCTATTGACTGATAAAATCTATTTCATCTTTCATCCAATTCTTTACTCTTGTTATGATGACATAAACATTGCAGTACCTAAGTAGCATAGGTTAACTTTAGGCCAGACCAAGGCTGGAGCATTCTTGCCAAGATAGGGGCTGACATCTCCCGAGCATGTCGTTTAATGCATAAAATGGCATATTCTAGGGATTAGGTTACCTATTCTGGGCGCTCAACTCAGCCAGGGATTAATAGTTTACAAAATTAATTCAAATGGTTATATCTATTCTATATACATGATTCTAGGATCAAGAAAATTTTATAGAAGTCCTAGGTTGATGGTCCTTTCGCAGGGACGTAGTTCGAAGAATTAGTGTCACCCTTGGCAATAGGTTTGAACGAGGATCCTCCAGACTTTGGATTATCGCCTCCTGAGACTGACTGAGTGTTGAGGTTGTTCTGCATCGAATTATCTGAACAGGTAGTATTAGTAACTGCTCTTTAATACGAGATTGGGAAACAATGCACCATCAGCAGCAGCCCTGGTTTTTTCAACACCGCTCATGAATTGCTGTTTCGCTTTTTCAGTTCCGGAAGGCATATTGGTTTCTTATTATAGTGAGTGTTATGAAAACCGAATAGTATAGTCAATTTAGCTATTTGTGACTTTTATGGGCAACTAGTATGTGGCTATAGAGTCGTTTGATTATTGTTATAACTGAATTAGTCTAAGTCGTCATACTAACACCTTAACGTTGATGACTTCATGATTAGCCTTAGACTAACCAATAGTTAACATAGTGTCGATGCATGCATAATGACGGATCAGATAAGTTTAATGTAACGTCATAAGTCTTTAATACATGTATTAGTGTATTTAGGAGATAAAGGGGAGGCTTCGAGCATAGCACCCCGTTAACGCATCAGTACCCGATAAAAGTGCGATGATTAAAATTGCTGTTTAAAGGTACATAATATTGTTTAAAAAGGAAAAGAGTACGATGACTGAATGACCGGTAAAACAACGGTAGTATTAAATTAGTCAGCACAATTTTTTTTGAGGCCATATCCATTTCATCAAAAAAATGTCGTCAAGTTCATCTTAAGCTTTTCAGATGCGTCATGTCGGATCCTGCAGCAGCGCAGTCGTTTCTAAATCTCAATGCGCTGCTTGAAAATCCTGTTTTTGCCGGAGGCTTTGGCCTCGCGTCTCTTGGCGCCGCTTTGGCATTTGCTCGCCGAGGCGCATTGGCTACAGCTGGTATGATTCGACGTCGTATGCTTGTTAATGTCGAAATTAGTAGGCAAGACCCGTCTTATCCTTGGGTCCTTGCCTGGTTATCACAACCTCGTGAACAAACTTCTTTAATTGCGAAGAAGTTGACGCGTATCAACAAGCTATCTGTTACTACGTCCACTAGCTCTACTCCAAACGGCGCCACTAAAGCCAGCTTCTTTCTACAACCTGGATACGGCCGTCATATTGTGAAGTACAAACATGCGTACATTGCCGTAAACAGAGAGAAACAGGCAACAGCAAAGACAAACACTGGTGAGCCCCATGAGACCGTGGAACTTACTACTTTATATGCGCATCGACACATTTTCGAAGATGTTTTCGCTGAGGCTCGGGGTCTTGCACTCCAAGCAAACGAGGGGAAGACTGTAGTTTATTCGGTGCGAAATTTTGATTGGGTCCCACTTGGGGAGCCTCGAAGAAAGCGACCCTTAGGCAGCGTCATCTTGGACCAAGGTATTAAGGAAGATATCGTCAACGATGCTAAGGACTTTCTCGCCCGACGACAATGGTATGTGGATCGCGGAATCCCGTATCGTAGGGGATATCTTCTATACGGCCCGCCGGGAAGTGGCAAGAGTTCGTTCATTCAGGCGCTGGCTGGCGAACTGGATTTTAGCGTGGCCATGGTTAATCTTAGCGAGATCGGAGTGACCGATGATAAACTCGCCTTTCTTCTTACCAAGCTTCCAGAGCGGACTATTCTCCTGCTGGAGGATGCTGACTCCGCATTTGTCAACCGGAGGAAGCGTGAGTCAGATGGATACAGCGGCGGGACGGTGACGTTCTCCGGGTTGTTGAATGCTTTAGATGGATTATCTGCGGGGGAGGAACGACTTGCATTCCTCACTACCAATCATGTCGAACTTCTGGATCCGGCTCTGATTAGGCCAGGCCGCGTGGATATGATGGTCCGCATAGGCGAGGCAACCAGGTATCAAGCTGCTCAGATGTGGGACAGATTTTATGGTGACGTCGATGCCGATGGTACTCACCGGGAAAGGTTCTTGAAGCGACTCGATGATTTGGGGCTCTTTCGCGACGCGAAGGATGGCGAGTCGCTCCCTCGAACTAGCACTGCTGCTATCCAAGGCCTTTTCCTGTTCAACAAAAATGATATGGAGGGCGCCATCAGCATGGCTGAACACCTCATTCCGACAAAGTTAGAACCGGAGAAATAAGCCATTGGCCTGTATATTATATGTAACAACTACCTATCTAACTAATGTATTATACATGAGATACCCCAACAGCCGGTATGCCTTTATAGGAGATGATCATTCTAAGAGTACGTTACTCGCCATGTCGGGAGCTGTCCGCTGTCTTTTGTTAAAGAATAAATACAACATAATGTTGTCATCTCGAGGCTTCGACATAGACAACTGCTGATTTCTCAGGCCATTTGTCAGGTCACGAATCTTGACTTCTGAAAGTATCTCAGACGGAAGCTATTTAATTTAAAGGAGGATTTAGAGAAACGTCCTGCAAGCTGCACGAGAGTCACGCAATGCTCCTCATATGACAGGGATGTATAACAAGAGATTGGCTGGTTGACTGGCTGGGGTTCGAAGTAAAGGCAACTTCCGGAGCAGTTGGTTTATAACTGTCAACGTGGGGTTGCGGGAATAGCTTAACCTAGGTACCTCCTAGAATAGGATGTCCTAGCCTTTGCGGCTGTCACTCCCACCAACCGAGCCAACCATGGCCAAGATCCTTTTGGAGCATATCGGCCTTTCGCTACTTTCTAAACAGGCTAGTATTTACCTGATGCCCATTCTTGTGCGATATGTCTATGAAAGGTACAATAATTGGCTAGATAGCTTTCTGAAGAAAATTACTAATATATCATCAAGAAAGAAATTGGTAGTGTATATATTTTTATATATAGGCCATCCGATTTTCAAGCCCGTATCTCTAACGCTGTCGACTGGACCTAGACGAAATCGCGGTATACGGCGTTGGTAGATTTGGGGCATAGTACGGTTGGTCTTTGTTAAAACTTGATGCAGAACAGGTCATTTTCGGATGACCTAGGGTTTCGTCCCCGGGCTCTAATGCCGGGATCACTTTAGAAATACGACATCAACCGAAGTTATAAACCACCGGGTGCTAACGTAAACACCTGATCAAAAGGCGATCGTGTGCATCACCGCGTTCCTCCTTGTTATACCGGGTGGTATCGGGGATAAAAAAGTGACGGACTCGGCTTCGGGATCGGATTTAGGTACTCATGGGTAATAAGTTTGTCAGATTTGTCAGAACCCGGGGTTGGTTCAGCTTAGCTCCTGGCACGTATATTAGGTAGTTGTATGCATCAGTATCTGGATGCCAAGGGTCTACTAATGGGTATCTACAGGCGGTGATCCACTTGAACCATATAGACAGAAAGAGTGGTTTGAAGAGGCTGCATGTAATACTTACTGTTACCCTCTCTGGGTCTTGTAAAGACTCACAAATCTACTTTTGAATATGATTGGTTAAAATCAGTTGTAGCATTCCGTAACGAGCAAGTACCAAGTCTCTGTGACGTTTTGATTAGATTTACTATTGTAAATCTTATGTGGAAAGCTATCGTCTAAGGTATCATAGTGTCTAAGAATGTAGATCTGGTCTACACAGTAAGTGAGAAGAGGAAAGGAAACGTGATACCTCGAACCTAACTAAACATAGAATTGTTCTCCCTGACTTGTATTTCTTAACGGCGATACTCGGGGTCAAGCTTCGGGAGACAGCTGACAACGCTATATAGGTAGCCAAGTTTTCAATAATAATGAGCAAGTATTATACCCGATAGGCCCGAGCCAACGTTACTGTATGAGTCCAAGGAGTTGATCGGTAGCAATTTAAGGGGTCGGAGAACATATTTCTCGATGAATTATTAGGTAATCTTTATTGAATGGTATTCTGCAATGCACTCTAATTTTGACTCATCAATACCAAGCCACGAAATACACAGTGTATAAGTGAGACTTTGATATTACCTTATTTAGAAATTGCTCATGTAGAAGATCTGTACGTAGAAGGAAAACATACACATTCGTCACCGCTAATACGAAGCTGCGCACGGGACTACTTGACTTTCCACCGTGGGTATGTCCTAGCGAATTCTGCCCCAAGAGTTGAAGTACTTGGATATCTACCTAGGTACTATTACACCCAAGACGGGGTAACTTAACAACCTGCCGGTAAGGAAAAGGATACACGTCAAGATATGATATAGGGTGGTAGCGGCGATAACGGATGGGTAGAAGAGAAGAGGGGTTGATGGGTGAATGCATGTAACTCAGAAAGTATCATTAATGATAAAATGGGTACCTACAAGATAGAAAAGGAAATATGATACATATAAGCCTATGGAATCTAAGACCTCTGGATTTATATATATTCTAGCAACATTCCTCTTTTTTACTAACAATATCACTCCTATTTATCACCACCTAGCAGAGTAATTTGAACATACAGAACAGCTTGTATTACCTTAAGAGAACTACGACTAGTAACTATTTCTGGTAGAATGGCTTCTGTTGACAGTAGTCGGATTAATACCCTTATCGGAAATCTCAGCAGTCTTTCCCCAAAGTTGTCAGAAGGCGACGAAGATGCCAGGAAGCAGGCCCTACTACTAACTCGAAAGCTCGCGGCTTCTATCGAGAAACCGGAAAACTTGGCAATAGAGTTATCCTACGCGGTATTAACCCAGATGTTTATTGAATTTATGGATATAGTGAACTTACTACCTGGTAGCCATTCTACAGTGTCTTCACGAGGGTCGCTGTTGATCTTAACATCTTCAAAATCATCGCTGACCACGACGGTCCAACTACCTCCCTGGAGTTGGCGGCATTAACGGGTGCGGATGAAATAATGCTCGGTATGACCTTAACCCCTCTTTTACTGGGTTTTGTGAACATAAACAGAATACTCAGAGAAAATGGGAGTGTAATTGCTAATGTACTGAATAGTCAGGATCCTTCGGCTAATATCTTCACTGGGATTCGTTGAAGAAGTTGGTGAACGTACATGGATAGCGACGCCCATCACCAAGGTAATGGCTAAGGAGGAAATTGCCGCGACACACAGGATGGTGTGAGTAATAAAAAAATGCGTTCTTTTTTCTTTTTTCTTTCTTGATCAGTATCATCTCTTAATATGAGAGCATAATAGTTTAACTCAAACTTCCCACAATATAGACACGACTGCCTCGTCCAGCCGATAGTGAAGGCTCCGAAATATTTCAAAGAAGCCGGCTACAAATTCCCTACAGACCCTAAGGATGGTTTGATACAATATGCCTACCAGACGAAACTTTCATCTTTCGACCTACTCAGTTCGATCCCACAGCTCTTGCACGATTTCAATCTATCTATGGGGAACACAATGGGCGACAGGAAGTTTTGGTTCGACTGGTTTCCGGTCAAAGAAGAACTCGTGTCAGGGGCTGGCCTCACCAAGAACTCAGTATTGCTGATAGATATCGGTGGGGGAAAGGGCCACGATTTGATCTCCTTCCATGAAAGGTTTCCGCATGTAGAGGGACGCCTTATTCTACAAGATTCGGCCCCGGTAATTACCAACATACGCGACATGATCCCAGTGATTGAACCGATGACATACAACTTCTTCACCGAACAGCCCATCAAAGGTGAGATCTACGATGTACCCCCCTCCCAATATGATGCTGACGTATTCATAGGCGCGAGGGCATATTTCTACCATCACATTCTACATGACTGGTCCGATGAGCAGTGTTTACTGATACTGAAGCCGGTTAAAGAGGCTATGAAGCCTGGATACTCCAAGCTAATTTTGCATGATTCGATCGTACCAGAGCAAGGGGCTTCATCATATCAGGGAATGTTGGATCTGGGAATGATGGCATTCAACGGGGGACTAGAAAGGAGTGAGAGACAATGGCGAGAACTACTTGAGAAGGCCGGGTTTGACATTGTTAAAGTTTGGTTGCCACCTCAGTATGATGCTGATGGGATTATAGAAGCGATGCTCAAGGCGTAGTTCGGTTAGTTTGGGGTTCTCAATGGTTCTATGGGATTCGGCGTTTTCAACGAATGACCACAGTTTTATGGCGCATAGCGTTTTCAACAAACCAAGTTCAATAACATGGATATTATCCCTGAGGTTCATTATGATGCATACGTATCGCTCGTATATGATAAAGGGATTCGTTAGAAATATAGCTTATTGGTTGTATGATTTCCTGAGAAACTTGATGTAGATCCAGTCATGTAATGGTATTATCATCTACCTGTGCTGGATAATTGAATAGATGTACATCAAGAGAGAGAAGTAGGTAGAGAGGTAGGTACAGTCGTATGCTAATAGTTGTCACTTTCAGTATATATCTATCTACCTACCTACATATCGTTTATAAAACTAGCCATAGGGGTTTTCAGTGACTTTCATGATAAATTATTCGAGTTATCAAATCATTAATTTAGAGAGAAACCTATTGGATTACCTGGTATTAAACTCAAGGAAGTGCTAAAAGGATATGCTACGTGTTATTAATATCACAATTTAGCAGCCACTTTATTAAATTAAAATTTAATTTCACTTTAATATAATATGACGGTAATTTGTGCCGTGGCATCTGTCTAGCGTGCATAATAATACTTACATGACGTTAAGTACCTTACGCACAACTACGCTCTTTTGTGCCTTTTCTTCGGGATATTGCCAAGGCGGGATGCTGCAAGAGCGCCATGTCTAATGCATGAACTAGATGGGCATGACATGGCTTGGACAACTCCATTTTATGTCCGGTGATGTCTGGGCTTCGAGGCTTGCTTACCACGTAAGAATTGTTATATGTAAGGAGACAGTTGCAATTATTGGATGGCATACAACCACTTGTTAGCAACGGAACGCTCACGATCGGTTCGAATCCTTTTCCTAGGTACACTGAACATTGTTTTGAAGATAATCATGTTGAGCAAATGGAAAGTTGGATCGAAGATTAGCAGCCCAGTACCGTTCGAAAAATCGTATATATTTCACCCCGTGACCCTTAAAGCGACTAGAGTACGAGCTTGCAATCTGTGTAGAGCGAAGAAACTAAAATGTACCAAGGAGAGAACAGGTTGTGAGAGATGCCGACTACTCTCAAGGAAATGCACCTATCAACATTCACATACCAAGGGAGTGCCCCTTGAAATAGTCTCACCACGCGAACAGGCAGTCTGTCTATCAACATCATGGAATGAGTCTGATGAATTGGAGGAGCATCATGAAACTGAAAATCCAAGTTCGCTTTCGGTAGATACTTCTCTTCAAATCCCTTTCGGTTCAGGAGACGAATACATAGTCGACACTATACCGGAGTTGACCCATACGACAAGTCTAGATCAATACGAGGCCTCAGAGTCAAACATTAGCAACATGGAAGGCAAATGCGAGCCTATTCTGGACTTGACCCAGTTAGGATCACCAGTGTGGCCATTTGCAGAGCCGGATATGTTTCTTTCGATGCCCAGGTTGACTGAACCGGATTACACGGTTATCGAACCTTTGATATCTCTCAACACTGAGCTAAAGGAAGATAACTTGAATGCAGACGTAGGAAATGAATTCTTATGTCATCTCGAGTTTGCAGGATCCTGCGAGGAATGGCAACACGTTGCAGACTGCCACACAGATCAAACTACGCATCCTCGCCAGTGTTTTCACACATATAGAACTATCCTAATCATTTTCGATTTGGAAGACATCACTATAAGGATTGACAATCTGGACAAGGCCCTCAGCACCAATAAAGAGGCCCTACGTCATGGAAACGATATGATAGATTGCGAGACCTGCATGGCTCACTTTGAAAATATAATTATTCTTACGTCTCTAATAGAGAAACTTGGCGAAACATGTCGAGATATCTCGAGTGCCTATCCACAATTATCTTCAACACCGGCTCCTAGGGGTACTTCCCAGCTAGCTGTTCCCGATCTCGTACTGGGAAGCTATTTGGTGGACTCATTAGACGAACACAGAATACTAGTCCAAGGACTACTAAGTCTGCAGATCCAAAATATTTATACTGTAAGTATTCAAGAGTTTATTTAAAAGTACTTTGTCTTAACCAAAGAGATATTACACCCAAACTCATCGAGGCATTCACCTATACAACTCTTAGCAGTTACAACTAACCACCAAATCTATAGATGATAGAGCGCCTAGATCAGATCGCGGTGGGATACTGCTCAGAAACTATAACGAGTCGTTTGATCACGACCAAACAATTGTTGGCTCAATGATCGGGGAACTGATCCGATAGGTGGTTAGGGTAAGGATCGGAGTCATCGATGTTCTTACACATTCACTTCTCCAATGTCACATTCAAAGTATCAGATACGTTCATCCACTCGCTTCTTGCTAAAGACAAATTTGATCATTATTGTTTCACGACAAGAAATCAAATATATGTCAAGGCAATACATTGCGACTCTTACTGTTTCTTGATCTAATGAGGTTTTCTACGGTTGCTAATGGTATCATAGCTGGATAGTAGTTGGAACGTAATATTAGACTAATGACCAACAAGTATGCTTATGCATGTAAGACATCGCCCTTGGTTCATATTGTATGGCCGTAGAGCAGACTATGACGTACCTATGTCAGGATAAGCCACCTCTTACCAGCAATTATTTTAACGATTGCTGAACCTTTTGTCTCACTAACCTCGTGGTTGCGGAGGATAGAGCCAATAGTTTGTTCCCACTGCTAAACTATCCTCGGGAGATAAGAAACAATCCCGCATCTAAGTAAGTTTACATACGATCAGTATAACATATGTCGATCTAGATGTACTTGAAAAGAGAAAACGCCATGAGATAGAAAACCAAAATAATCCAATAGGAAGGAACCAATGACGCTCTACATATATCTTCATGCATGAATTAGTTAGTTACATGGTTTTTATTAACTTGGTACCGAGTGGCTCATGTGCATGAACACTTACAGCAGTGGCTTAAGATAATGCGTATTATGACAAAAATGGTATAAGGCTTAAGTTACGAACACCGAAGAAAGTAAATCCGGGGTTCCCCTCGGTCATTTTTTCTATTGGTAGGCACCTATATTCACTTAAGGTTACCCCCTGAGGTATTGCTGTTTTTATCTGAGCACATGAAAATATATTATGAAATTAAAATGAAATCTTTTAATAAACCATCTGTTATTTCACATTATTTAGGTAGGTTACCGACATACCGACCTGCGTAGCGTATGATCTACCTGATACTAACACGCTATCTCGGGAACCTCCTATCAGGAAATCATCCACTGCTCTCGGATTCAGACGTCGCTTAAGTCAAACTTCACCAGCAACGAACACTTGGTCTCTCGGCCCTTCAAATCCAGCATGCGAATAAAGCTCCAGCCAGGAACCACGTATAAGAGTCTCACGGCCGCAACTGCGAAGACGGGATTTTCTGCAAAGCTGACGTCATTCTTGAGTAGAATACGGAGGAAAACTAGCTCATTGTCCTCATATTCCCACTCAAGCGTCTCATCCCAGATCGGGTCTGTCGGTGGGGGGTTCTCGCCCCTATGGAGGAATCCTAGTTTGTGGTGTTTGTAGGGGCTGGTCTTGCTCTTGGGATGGTTGCCGTCTAACTCATCTGTGTGAACGAGCGTGCAGGTAACATACGGCTTGACATCATCTTCTTCCTGGCCTTCTGATAGAGGTATATCTGATGCTCCTGCGACATGCAGCACTAGCTTTTTCTTTCTACCAGTGTTGAGGCTCATGCTACCGCCCGCCCGCAGCGCTGCAGGCTTTAGGACGTAGCCGTCAGTGCCGCTAAATAAGGCTTCGTTGATCTGCATGCTAGCATTGAAAGTTTGCCAGTTCATCGCGCAGATTTGTGCTCCAACACCCCAGAACGGAACTTGCTTGAGGTTTTTCGAAGAGATACGTGTACCCTTCGGAAAGACGCGCATCAAATGCCGAGAGTTGTGCCGTGCAATCATCTGGTTCGCTGCCGGCATATATGACGCCAGTCCACTTTCTGAGACGTTGATTAAGTGGTTTCTGGGGGCGTCCTTTAGAACACCTTCAAACCAAGAATTGTCTCTCGGTTTCACGGATTGGGCATAAACACCCAGCTCCGCAAGCTCTGGAACAATTATAGTAGGGATAGCTTCTTTCTTTTTGGTCTGATAAGCTTCTTGTGCCTGTCTTACCTCATCATCGTCAGAGTTAGGGTTGTCATCATCACTTGTGTCTGCTTCCTCAGGTAAGTGGTATTCGACAATGAGAACTATCTTCGATCCTAGTTCCGCTAAGGTGACTGGGTCACTGTCCCCGGCTTGCTCCTGGTGGCCTTTTATCCTGATAGCTTTGTTCAATAAACGATGGCCGAAAATTTCCTTCATGATTTCAACGAGTCGCTGCTGCCCGTACGCGCTACAATGATTCTCTAGGGAGAGCATGATTGGTGCCGCCCGGTATCCATCCGCGTTGCTAGATTGCATCGCTTCTCGGTCGACAACATTGCGTATTGTCTCGCATACTGCACGGAATGGGATATGGGAAACAAGCGTGTATCCATGCGTAACCTTAGGCTCTTCTTTATCGTCCTCATTATCCCAGGCGTCAATTTCAACGCACCGAGATCCGGCATTGAGCGCGGTCTCATAAGCATTAGCAGAAGACTGACCAATAAGCTGGTGGCCTAGAAGATATGTATTATGGCTAGAGCTTATAAAATACTCTGGGAGTGGAAAGGATCTGTCCGTCACTATAGAGGGCACTTCAATGTGCGACTTGTCAAGTAATGCTCGTAGTGCGGTGCTGGGCTGCTCCGACTCTATTCCTGCTTCTTCCTCGGATAGCACATTGTTCTTTATAAGGAACGACTTTAATGCGTGGCTAACTCGTAACTGGGATTTAGTAATAGTCGTTTGTCGCGCACCGTGGCCTCCCCCCGCAATGGTGGTTTCGTCAACTTCTTCTCCAACATCCTCGTCGTAGACCCCAGCAGAAAGTTTTGATAGAGGGTTCAACTTGGCGAACCGGGATACAAGAGAATCTGTCATTTTAAAATATGTTATTTTTTTTCTGATATCTGAGGAGAAAGGAAATAAAAGAAAAAGGTGGCGGGTGACTTGTTAGGTTAATTGTTTTAGGAGAAAAGGATGAGCTTACGTAAATAGAGGGTTGACAAGTTCAGCTGAGATCAGCAAAGCCCCTGTCTCAGCCCTATGGGGACAAGGGGACAAGAGGGTGGAACTTGCGATTTTGCCTAGAGAAAAAAAATAATTGGTCGTTGTTACTTGTATCAATTTGATATCGGAAACGATGCCGTGCCGTGTTTCCGCTATCTAGGAAATAGCTAGGTAGGTACCTACACAATTTATATAACTAGCCGCACTTTTAACTTGTCACCTTTAACGATCTCGTCTTTCTTCTCCATCAATTCCGGTAGGTCCCAAGTGACATTGATATATCTGCCTGCCAGCCAATCCCGTCTCTCCGATGTTAGATACACTAAAGAATCTGCGCTTAACTCCGGAGTCTCGACAAATGCTACCGATGGGATAGTTGCATTAGCTTATTTTTCTATTTCACTTAGTTGAGAAACTAGAACTTACCATCCCTTATCTCAGGAACCAGGACATCGGCAACCATATCTGTTGGAATATTTCCTGGATGTATGCAGTACGCGACTATGCCCTTGTCGCCATACTCCGCCGAGATAAATTCGGAAAGACGCAGCACTGCTAGCTTAGAGGGTTGGTATGCGCTGAGTCCCGGCCCTACCAAATGAGCGCCAACGCTACTTAATGTAACTATTGTCTTGTTACTCCCCTCTAATAGCAGTGGGAGAAAGGAGCGTGCAGTGTTGTATGGCCCCATAACGTTTACTCTCCATATATTCCACCACTTTTCGGGGTCGGTATCTAGGATCATGGCTACATCAAAAATGCCAGCGTTATTAATAACGATATCCATGCGTCCGAAGCTCTCCTTAACTTGGGCTGCCGCATCATCGACACTCTTGGGGTCGGCTACATCAAGCTTGAGAGCTAAGATTATCGGTTCCGGTTTTCCCACCTTCTCAGCTGCTGCTTTAATCTCGCTGACTGTAGTTGAGAGATCGGACCTAGCTCCGATTGCGATCATCGATGCGCCAGCTTTGGCAAACGAGACAGAGATCGCTCTGCCCAAGCCTTTAGAAGCACCGGTGATAAGGACGGCCTTACCGCTCAAGTTTGCCTTAGCAGAATCGATCGCAGGATATGTGTCGTTGTGTACTACAGAGGTCACGTCATAGTCACCTAAGCGTGCATTTAGCACTTGAAATTGTCTTGTGTCTAGTATGATCTCTCAACGTACCTGGACCCTCTAGAGGGTTAGGAGTGCCCTTCGGAGGAGGCATGATTATAATTAAATACGTTGATATTGGGTAGAAAATTTAAAGTTGAGAAAGTGAGTCAACTTGTGGCCCGATCTCTAAGATCCCAACGGTCTAGATATACTATCTACCTAGGTACTTCAATGCTTTGAAATCGAGCTTCTTGTACGACGGCGATTACTATCGGCGTTTAATTTATATCCACTAGTTTATGAGATTTGAATCTAACACTTGGAAGACTACCAATAAATCAGTGCGATAAAGTGAACGTGGTGGTGGTGTTGGAGTACATATTAGGAAATACCCTTGTGAGATTCGTAAGTCCGTCCTATAATAGGGTGGTAGTCTTATTTACATACCGAGGCAAGGAGATTATCGCCTAGATGGAAAGGAGTACCTAAGATACTTCTTATTTTAAGTTTCTTTAATGCAATATTACCTACGGCTTTAAGGTATTAGACAATATATTGAGTTATTGAGTAGGACTATTAAACAAGACTTAATCATTCTATTATACGGAACCTCTTCACCTACTTTTCTTTACGTAGAGTTTACGATGATGGTGACATGTTTATGGTATGCTTTCGATGATAAATCATACACCGTTGGGATAGATTGTTTTATTTAGGCCAGGCATCATTTGTGAGTTTTTACGTCAACCCTGGGACCTAAGATCTACTGTCCATTTAATGCTTTTCAAAATTTCCTTGGAGGAGCAAAGTATACCTAAATATCCTAGCTATAAAAGAGGAGAGTTCAGCGGTTTATGGCGAGGGTTAACATGCATTTTGATAGGCCTGAGATTACTGCCAAGCATAGTAGAAAGTTGAGAGGTGGGAAAAGTAATAATATCTCGTCGTTAAGGATTCGCTATAATACTAATTCTACAGCCAGAGACACTACATATTATGTATAATTTGTAGAATATTTGAATATGGGAATAGATCTGGATTTAATGTTAGCGGGCTCGTAAGGCTGATCTCGTAAGTGGTGACATAGCTGATCCTAAAGTACGAAATTATGACCTCATAGATTTGCTATTGTAGCGTCAAGGCCCGACTGTCTCCTAGTTAACTTTGTATTATCAAAACGTACTTAAAGGAAACCCATAGCAGAACCTCAAATCCTCCATAGATTCAATTATCATTTTCATTAAATAATTTCAACCGGATTCAACTTACAAGTCTAAATTGTACAATTACCTTAGGTACCTATACATAATGTCATCACACGGCAGCTCCAACACTGGCTCCAAGACAGGCACGGGAATGGCTTCGCAAATCAAGACACCCGCCACTGCTGGCATTGGCGAGGACAAACCCAAGATGTTTGATGCCCAGGGCTCTATCGGCAAACAGTTTACCGGTAAGGATGAATGCAATACCTTTTTGCTTCACGATAGAAAGACTAATCCTCATTGTGTAGAAGACGGGGCGATTGGCGGTACAGCGCAGAAGATCGGTGGGCCTTTGGATAAAGAGGGCATGGTTGGAAAGCAGTTTACTACAGAGGGTAGTGTCGGCGGATCTGTACAGTCAACTCTCGGGGGTCAAGGTAGTAGGAGTAATTAGATTAGGGAAAACACGAAATTACCTTGTATTATAGGGTAGCTTGGGATTTTTAAGGTCTATTTCTCTCCTTGAATCGATTATACTGTCAATGCAGTTCTTAACAAATAGGAGCCTGTGTTGAATACAGAGAACGAGAATCAGAGAAAATAGGCGGTGACTAACTACTAACACATTGTCTTATTCAACTATCGTGCCTTTGGACCCCCTTGTCCCCATTTAAAGCAGTCGTCGCCTGTACAAGTAAGGTCGAACCATTCCATAGCGGTAGCCTCTTGGTTCTGAATGTTATGTGAAACTCCTGCAGCGCTATAGGCCTCGAGCCAATCATTGCTACCATATACATACTTTGTCCACCCCTTGACGGGAGTATTAGGCGTCGTGCTTGTAGGAGATTCATTAAAACCAAACACCGTAGTCCATTCTTTGACTTCCTCTTGGAAATTTATATAATTGAGCACTTCATCGTTCGTTCCGTGGAAGATCTGAACTCTAGGCCGCCACCTAGTATAGCCTGGATATCCCGCTTTAACTAATGCGGCCCATTCAGTACCAGTTTTCTTGACCTTCCCTGTAGCGCAAGCGTCGCTCCAAACACCAAAACCATTCCCGGCAAAACATCCGTATGGTACGCCGGCAAATGCAGACCCCGCAGCAAAAATATCGGGATATGCTCCGAGTAATACGCTAGTCATCATAGCCCCGGAGGAAATACCAGTAACAAAAACACGATTCGGATCGCCGTTATATTTGTTGAGTGTCCACCGCACCATGCTAGCAATACCCAAGCTGTCGCCTCCAGCATCGTGTGTTAAAGTCTCGTTAGAAGAAACATCCCAGCACTTATCGGCCGTATTTGGGCTATCAGGATAGATGACAATGAATCCGTACTTGCTAGCTAAAGTCGAATACTGAGACCCCGAGTAGCAAGCTTGCGCGTCGCCGTGACACCAGTGAGGATTGACAAGAACTGGCGGTCTAGTAGCCAATTTATCTGGAACATATATGTAAAAGCCGACATTCCTTGGGTTTGGGCCAAAGTCAGATGTGACTTTTTGGAGGGAAGCGCCTTGCGTAAAGATAGGGGCAGCAGCTAGAAGCCAATTGAAGGCAGACCGCAATGTAGAGTACATGTTGCTCCGCAGTAATATGGGACGATGCCTTGACGAGAAGAGTCGAAGATACAATCAATATTTATGATATGGGATCGAGCCATTTATAACCCCACGGTCGGGAACACACCACGCTTGCACCGCTACATATCTTCAATCGAGACATCTAGACGCATCGGACGATTGATGGTGTTCCGCGAATTGCGGAGCATTGCGCTCCGCGACCCCGGAGGGTTATAGTGGAGATCAATAAGGGGCAGGGGGCGGTGTTATTGACCATGCGGCTCTGTTCATAGTATACACTGTTAAAAAATAAAAGATTAGAAAGATAGAAGATCCATGGTTGCTTGGTAATAAGAGCAGATATTTAAAAATTATAACAAATAACCGATAAAAGCTAAATTGTGGAAGGACTGTGCTCGGAGTCCGTTGAGATAGTAAACTAGGGGCTACACGATGGTAAATTATTGTCAAAAAGGTGGCCACCTATTCAATTGCAATCAATCACTGATATTAAAGAATGAGAAGATTTTCTATTATATATAATATATTCTATGTTCTACATTCTGCATTCTACCCTTGCCAAAGTTGTCCCATCATGTCTGCCAAGCTAAAAGCCAAGATATCTCAGTCTCAAATGCAGTAAAATGGCATCAAACTAACGATACTCTTCTAGGAAGATTAAGGGAAACGACGCTCCCAACGAATACAGGCTGGCTGAACAGGGCGCGAAAACATCGATGTATAATCTGTCGGGGGTACCCAAGACTTGCCGTCAACCGTAGTGAACTTGAAATTTCGAACAAGGGTAGAGACTATCGTGACCAGGTTGAGAAACGCAAACTTCTCCCCGATGCACCGATGCCTACCTGCACCAAAGGGTAGGTATGGACTCCTTGTTCCCTTTGACATAGCGCCATAGCCATAGTCAACCATATCCTCCTTGTTTTCTACCTCGACGATATTATCCCAGCGGTGCGGATCCCAAGCTAACGGGTTCGCGAAGTATTCTTCGTTCAGATGCGTCATGATGGGCGAGGCCAGGAGGACTTTGTCGGGGGTTATAACGTATTCGGTATTAGGAACTGGCAGCGGATTCTTGACTTTCCGCATAAGCGAGTGGATGGAGGAGTGGACACGCAATGTTTCCTTGACGACATTCTGTAGTAGAGGAAGCTTGTTGAGGTCGGAGTATTGGAGTGGTTCGCCGTTATAGTGAATATTGTTTACTTGCTCGTGGTATAGTTCCTCAGCGATATCTGGTCGTGATGCTAAGCGAAGCATGATCCATGCGCTTGAGGAGGATGAAGAATGCTGTCCCGCCATCAAAAGGGTAATCATCAAGTGGGCAATATTCTCATCGGAAAGAACCTGTCCATCTTTGTAGATAGATCCCATGAGATTAAGAATCATGTCGGTTCCGTCGGTGTCGGCATTGGTCTCCTTGCTCTTCTTATCGCCACGACGGTTGTTAATTAGTTCCAGATAAGTTTCAGTCATCTTGGCATGCGCCACGTCTCGCCGGCGATTCTGTGGAAGAGGCGCCCATGGCATGAGGAAGTTAATCGGTTGGAAACCTTGATCGAGGTCGTGGTATAGATCGGCAAACTCAGCCGTCAGTTTCTTTCGTACTTCGGCTCCCTGAAGGGCACGGCTGGCAGTGAAGAGGGTGATTTCTGCCATAGCGGCTGATATATCGACTATTCCGGAGGAACCTTTGAAGCTGGGAGAAGCTTTTATATATTCATGGACTTCCTGTTCGATCAATGGCACGTATGACTCCAGGGCTTTCTGTGTAAGACCGAATTTAACAAACTTCTTCTGTTCCATCAGCTTCTCGTTCGGACAGTCGTAAATGATATCCTTGCCAAACACAGGGGTAGTAAGTGCGCCGTAGATATCTTCGGCATTGACGTCTCGTAGCTTTCCGTTCAAGATAAACTCGTTGCCCTCGACTCCGAGGTAGACGGTAATTTTCTTGCCAAAGAGTACGAAGGTAAATATGTCGCCATGATGTTTCCGACAAGTCGTGAAGAACTCGAAGGGATTCAATCCGTATGAGATAGCACTGCCCACAAAGGGAATCCAATGAAATACTAATGGCGGCTCTGATTTCCTCCGAGGCAATAGTTGCCAAAGTACGTTGATGGCGATCGTAAGAATCAAGGTGGCAATGACATAGGCCACATTATGTATAGGGGTGTTGAGGTCTATCATGACGCAGTAAAACTTGGTTTTATCGTATTTGTATTTGAAGTTGCTAATGGAAGATGATCAGTCCAGATGAAGATGATATTTGACCTCTATAAATATTCACTTCTAAATTCACTGTGAGATAGGTAGGTAGATGGCTTATGTGTAAGTCAACCGCAATATAATGCCAAGACATTCTCGTATTCGAGTTCGCTAAGTAGGTACGTACTGTGAGATGTACCTAAGTACATCTCAACACGTGACCTTCGGTCACGTGTCAACCAAACGCTCATCATAGATGAGTGTTTGTAAAAAAAAAAAAATAATAATTGTATCATTAGATTTTATTCAATCAATGATCTATTATCCAACACGTACCCACAACTACAATTCTAGCAGTAAGAATAGTTACCAATCAAGGGGTAAACTACTAATCTGAAATGCCCAACATGATTGACTACTTTAGGTAGGTATTTACTTACCTGTATACTTACCTGTAGGTAGCCAACTTTAAATATTAGTTGGCATTGGTGCTAGATACTTAATCAAGAACAATACGAAACTGGTTTGCTTATAGCAGCACCTTATTAAAAGACAACACGACACCCCCTCACCGCTCTTAAATTTCGTTTCTACTAACGTTTCCACTCTTGGAAATTATTTGTCTCACTAAAAGTGTCACTAGACATCTACAACAAAAGACTTGTTTAGTATACATGGCCATAGGCTCCCGTAGTTAGGTTAAAGTTCCTCGCGGAGCAACGAAGTTGATTCCATGATGATTTGTTCCACCCTGTTACAGAATGTTGGAAAATATAGCAGGGGCTAAGAGCCTATGCTAGGGTTACCTGTAGATCTTATGGGCAGAGAAATGCTACATGTACGTACGTACTTAGAGTATACTCTCAGAAATTAACATCAATACCATTGTTGTTATCAAGTAGTTGTTTTGTGAGGAACTTGAACCCTAAGTTAGGTAGACTATGGAGGTTGGTCAACTACTAATGGACACCGAATGCATCCTTGCTGCTCAATGCTTCACCTAAGATCCTAATTTTATTACCATATTAGTAAGAAGTTGAGATTGAGTTAAAATGACCGAATATAAATGCGTTTTATACGTGTTTATGAGATATATCGTAGTGAAGTAAATATATATTGTATACTTGGCATGGTTAAACATTTGACGGATTTTATATATAGACTACCTACGGTTAAGCTAGAGGGTTATTAGTACATTTGACATAAATAACTTCGATAGTTTCGTCGCAACTGAGTTTATGTTTTTTATGCAACGGTAAGGCTGATATCCATCTTTCGCACTGCTACATTCTGTTGACAGGGAAGGGTGACCATCGATATTACCGCACTTCACGTTTGTAGATATGCAATACGATTGAATTCGCACTGTGATATATGTTCCATTCGCCTAATATGAATTAGAAGACCAATAATAACAGCCCTTGAAGCGCCCGACATTTATGAACCGAGAGGCGTTTCCCGAGCCAAGCTGCGGCCCGAAGGGAGGATTCGGGTAGCCGAACAAGGGTCCAACCAGGAGTTAATCCGGACCTACTTTGAACGACGTTTGTTTGCTTGATGAAACTGTAATCTACCTAGATTAAACCTATACAGTACATTTAAAATGAAGGGGTTGTTTGTTGGTAGAAGAACCTTGCAAGATAGGTACCTATCACATGCAACTTTCTAGCTAGGCGCAATCATGTCGATAAATATAAAAGGAAAGCCGAGTTTTAATCGCCCACCTTTAGGTATTCATTCGCATTTACATTCATCAATTATCAAACACATCCAATTTAAAAATGGATGTTATCTCTTTAGACTCGGTAGTTCTTGAACAGCTCCACGGAGAGCAGAAGGCTCTCCTCGATGCTATTGATGACCTTCGTAAACACGGCATTGATCGTTTCGTCGATCTTCCCCAGATAATTGTCGTTGGAGATCAATCGTCAGGAAAAAGCTCCGTTCTTGAAGCCATCTCTAGGGTACGCTTCCCTGTCAAAGATGGACTGTGTACAAGATTCGCAACGGAACTTGTTCTTCGTACCGACAGTCAAACTAAGGTCGATGTACGCGTTCTACCATATTCGATTTTCAATAAATCTACGCCTCCATTTGATGAGAAATCTTTTAGTAAAGATGATCTACCTCGTATTGTGGAAGAAGCCAAGAAGAAAATTCTCGAGAATGATGCTAGCTTCTCCGAGGACGTTCTTAGAATCGAGATAAGGAGTCCCGATGTCCCACACTTGACACTAGTTGATCTTCCCGGCTTCTACCACTCGGAAGATGAGAATCAGTCGGCTGCTGGCCGAAAGATTGTGGACCGCCTGGTGGAGAGGTACATGGCTCGCAAGAACAGTATTATTCTAGCTGTTATCTCGGCGCGCAATCAGATCATACTACAGAAGGTACTATCCAAAGTCAAGCTTCACGACAAGCTCAAGGAACGGACTATTGGAATTATTACAAAGCCAGATGTTCTTACTCCTGACACCCAGGACGAGAATAATTTTATTCGATTGGCTAAAAACCTTGATAAATCGCATGAGCTATATTTGGGGTGGCACGTTCTTCGTAATAGAGGCGAAATGGAAGCTTCGGATACTGATGAGCAGAGAGACGAGAAAGAAACGAAGTTTTTTGAATTAGGCCTATGGTCCAGTGTGCCCTCGAAGAATCGAGGCGTGGCAGCTCTTCGGAAGAAGCTGAGCGGTATTCTCCTGCAACATATCAAGAATAATCTTCAAGGTCTCATTGAGAGTATTGAGAAAAATATTAATAGTCGCAAGACTCAACTCGAACGTCTAGGAGAGTCAAGGTCAACTCCAAAAGAGCTACGGACACACCTAGATAAAATTGCCTCCAAGTTCCAGATTCTGTGTCTACATGCCGTGGAAGGGAATTACACTGATGAGTTTTTCGGGGGTCTCTATCCTGCGTTCGACCACCCATCCGCAGTTGATAACAGCAGAGTCAGAAAGTTCCGAGCACTTGTACGCGATTTAAATCGGACATTCGCTTACATTTTAGAAACTAAAGGTTCAAGACGCATCATTCTCCCTAAGAGCTCGAATGGCATTGGTAATATTTCACACACTATTGGGCAATCTGAGGAATTTGCGAAGAAATTGATCTTACCGACGTTCCTTCAGCCACTAGCTAATCAATACAAGTTCAAGGATCCAGAAAAGATCACGTTCGAAAAGATTTCATATGATCTAGAGTCACTTTCGTCGGCCAACCAGGGCAATGAGTTCCCTGGTACCTCAAACGACCGCTTAGCCGTGAAGCTTTTCCAGGACCAGTCTCAACCTTGGGAGGAAATTGCACGTTGTCACCTACGGCTCGTGCTAGATATGGCCAAAGAATTCGTTGAGAAGCTCGTGGGACATATTATAAATCCAGACAAAAAGACTTGCTCAGCGATTCTCACGGAAATTGTAGATCCATTCTTCGAAGAAAAGTCTGGTGTACTCGAATCTAAACTTCAGGAGCTTCTCTGTCACTACAAAAGCGGCTATCCGCAACCTCTTGATGCCGAGTTTAGGGTTCTTCTTGCGCAGAGACGTCAGAAAAATGTCGGAATTAATATCCTCCAAGACTTGATGGCAAGTCGACCCGAGTTCTTCACGGAAGAGGCGCGTAAGGACCTTGAGAGAGTAAAATGGTCCAAACCTGTGAGCGAGTTTGGGGTGGACAACTTGATCGAAAAATCTGAAACCTATTACGAGGTAAAGCCATAATTTCAATTTAATTCCAATGCTAACATTAGATATCTATAGATGTCGCTTCGGACCTTCACCGATAATGTAGTCGTCTTAGCTGTCGAGAACTGCCTCATGAGAGATCTCCCTTCAATATTTACCACAACTAGAGTTAATGGGATGGAAGATAATGAACTTGAGCGGCTTGCATCAGAGTCACCAGAAGTTCAAACGGAGCGCAAGGAGTTGCAGGCGGAATATGATGCTCTTAAGAAGGGATTGCAGATCTGCAACAAATTTAAGGAGCGGAAATCAACTCGTAATTATTCGAACCCTTACAATATTAGATTTAAACACTAATGCTTGTAACGTCAGTTGTGCCTTCGATATTAACCAAACCAGAGACACCAAAAGCCGCAAATACTTCAAAGGATGCACTCGTGTCTCAAGGAATCCCAATCATCACCAAAAATCAAAGTGTGCTATTTAGTAGCGCCAGTTCTAGCGATAAGAACCCTCCGAAATTCTCTTCACTATTCTTGACTGGGTTAAGCAATGTTGGGGTTTTAGATTCGCAAAATTCTTCTACTGCTTCACTTGGGAATCCATTTACCAATGCCTTTGGAAAGCTAACACCGCCACCTTCTACCCAAAGCTCACTATTTGAAAGTTCTACCGAAATGGTATCTAAAGGACCGGCGGTGCTGAATTTCGGTAGTCCAATCAAGAGCAAACAAAATTCTGGAGGGTTCGGTGGATGGGATGGATTCAGTTCAAAACTAAATAAATGTATGTTCTCTAAAAAGCGGTTGATTATAACTAATTACCAATGTTTAGGAATAGACTGGAGTCCTCTTCCTAACAACCTTTCTCCCATGATAGAATTTGGTTCTTTTATTGAAGGCTCTAACTTCAGCTTCATGAAGCACATATGCTTTCAAAAGCCATACGATAAATTCTCACCGGAGGAGCTGAGATACTTTTCATTAGATTCAGAATCAAAGCCACTATTCACATGAGGTTAACCTAGGTATTTCTATATAATTACTACAAGACTAATATAATGACCGCTAATTACGTCCTCGAGGTATATATAGAACTTAACCACAGCTCCTTAGGGGTTTAGATATTAAGAAACTACGAATCAAACAGGTCATCGTTTGCTCGTTAGATAAATCAGATGATAAGGTGTTACGCAAAACTTCCTACCGAGTTACAGACTTCAAAACCGCCAATAGATAGGAACAATACGTATCATCATTAAATCATATTATCGCTTCCCAACGACCCAAAGAAACGAAGAATTAACCTCATCCTTCCTTACGTCACTGGCAACGACTTGAAATCCGGCTTCCTCTATTATTTTCAACGTCTCTTCTTTACCCCAGCTACTCCAAAACATCCAATCGTTCTTATCAAGCCATTTCTCCATTACAACTGCCTCCTTGTCACTATCGAAAAAATTAGCAACTAGGTAGCCGCCGGGCTTCAGCCACCGTGCAATCTTTCCAACCATCTCGGTCTGTTCTGTACGAGGGAGGTGTATCAAGCTGTAGAAGGCGAATACAGCGTCGAAGGATTGGTCGGTAAAGGAGAGCTTTGTCATATCCCCCTCAATGAGAGCCAAGCGTTCTGAGCTTCTAGCATTTTCTTCCGCAGCCCCGAGCAGATTTTTCCTTGCAAGTTCGATCTGGGTGGTCGATATATCATTTGCAGTGACATGTGCTTCTGGGTGCGATAGAAGCTTTTTCGTAATGGGCAGTCCAGCGCCGCAGCCGAGCTCGAGGAAGCGGGGTTGTTGCAAAGGACCAGAAGCAGATATAAATTCAAAGACCTTTGCTGTATACTCCTGCCGTAGAGGGATGTGTTTCACCGTCCATTCGTTATATTTCGGCGCTATAATATCGTAAGACGCTTTGATGCGTTCTTTGACATCTTCAGGTACGTTGGTTCGACTCATTTTCATTCCTAATTTTAAAGCACTTAGAATCTAAAGTTGAAATTTGGAAATTCAAAATTACAAACTCCAACCTCCAAATCTTGTAGAAATACTTCCGTCCTATATCACAGACTCGGCGATGAGTCACAATAAAACGGGTCGCGGAGTCGGAAAAAAGATCTCATCGTATAAGATTGGTCATCTAGAAACCAACTCAAGGATCAATCGGTTGAATATACCAGCGGGGAAATAGGGGCTTAATGCATGCATTTAATGTTATAGTAGGTTAGGAGGTACCTAAGGTAATAAATGGGGGAGGTTTTTCTCTAATGTGAAAATCTATTAAATGGCCAATAACAAAATATTTGGGTAGCACATTGGGGGGTAGCAAATTGGAGAGCAGATGCCTTCCAAGCTTTTTAATACTCAATATATTTAGCACTGGAACGTAATGCTTTTGACTATCTCTTAATAATTACACACCATAAAATAGGTTAGCCACAGCGATGATCAGCAGTGACTCCCCTATACTCGAAATATCTATTCCACTCTGGATCTTTAATCAATGTTTGAGCCAAATTCTTCTCATACATAATAGCAAACTCGCAGCCTTCATCTGAATCAGGGGCTGTTGAGCGTGGGGGGTAAATAAGGATCACTCCTACGGATATATCATCCCATAGATGTCGATACGTAACTGGCTTCCCAAAACCAAAGTCGGCAGCAGCAACATTTGCGCGACGATGGTCAGTTTGCAGAACCGACATAGGCGGATGTGAGTCGACACGAGCATTCAACGCCGTCTTGTCTCGTATAAGTGCCACAACGTCTAATGTCTTGTCAAGATTTTCTTGCGTGACGCAGTTTGTGAGCTTGCGAATATACGATGCTAATTTAGAGAGTGGCCATTCTGAGATAATTTCAGCCACTGTTGGTTGCTGAACCGGAGCTGCTGTGGACCGGACTGCAAACATAATATTGCCCTGCGTACGCTCTGGACATTCGGGGCTGTGGAAACGTCGACGCATATCGACGGCTTCGGCCCAGAATAAGTTGGATGAGGGATCAGGCTTGAACACGGGGGCTCGAAGTCGAGAAAGTGTGCGCCATATAAAGGCAGAAAAGGCATCGTATGTTGATATCCGAGAACCGTTAGTTGGCGTTGCCAATTTCTTCAGTTCACTAGCTTTGCTCTTGGACAAATGGAAGAGGAGCACTATGCCCATAGTATGGTCAGGGTGGCGTTCTTGCTGGATAGGCCCCGTAACCCTAGATTCTTCGGGGACTTCATTCTTTGTTACCCGCGAGCGGTCTAAATATATAGGATCCCATGTAGGGAATGAAGTCCCATTAAAAAGAGCGTAGCAGTTCTCGGCTAGTTGATGAGTGAACGCAGTCCAACCAAGAACATCATTAGCGTAATGGTGGTGATGCATGTTGAAAACAAGCCCGCCTCGAACAAAGTTTGCTTTGAACGCCGAGACAGCGGGACTATTATCTGGATGCGCTTCAGGCTTGTCTCCAGCCGTCATTGGATAGACGCTCCAGAGATCCAGTGGCCCTAGTGTGAGTGTGCTAAAGTGTGAATCATAGAGATCATCGAATGATGGATAGTTGTCCGCGGCCGAGTCGAGCCACTGGACAACAAACTGTACTGTACTGTCTCTCTTCTTCACAAAAGAATGTCCGCCTTCTGAATCCTTTTCAATCGTCCCACACACATGTCGTGCTTGACTGATAGTGCGTTCGAGGCCTTCCTTTAGAATACTAGCCACTCGTCTTTTGGCCCCGTCATCTAGTCTGAAAAATAGAGCATAATTGTTATAACGAAGACCGGAGAGGTAGTCAAGTGTTGAAACCTTATATCTTTCTTCCTCTGGGTCATCCTCCCAGCCATGTGGATGAAGGTGAAACACTTGTTGCTGAAGCATGGCAACGTATTATATGTATTTAGTAAAGGGAAACTTGTTAGATAGATAATATAAGATATCCTCGGTTTCAGATCAAGATGTAAAGATATAGTAGTAGTAGAAAGAATGTTAATAATAAGAGAAAGTCGATAGCTCCAAGTGTCTTATATATAGGCATACCTACGTGAGTATGGGGAGAGGGAAAGGTTCATAGTGAGACATTTAGATGCCCATATCCTTGTAGCCTAAGAGAAACTAGACCTCTAGGCTATCACATATCTAGTTAATTATCATGAGCATATTTACGGTGGAAACTACGAGTTCCTATGGTCAGTTTAACCTTTAAGTGGTCTGATCTAGTGTTAAAACAGTCCGGGAACCTTTATGCGTACTTAGCGCGAGATGGGGTATATACTTCTACAGTGCTTAACAATATGATATATGAGTATAGTCTCTGTCAGAAGGCCCCATCTTCAAAATGCTAAGATAGCTTAGTAGGTAGAACGAATAATTATTAACTATATCAACAACAAATTAGGTATAAGATAAGTTTATGGTTCTTCCCGTAACAATTAACTCGTTCCCTCGCCGAGTGATCACATTCTGAATACTCTCGACTATCGGTGAGCTAATGTTATCTTCCACATAACATAGTGAATGCTGGGGGCTAGTCAGCTAAGGTGAGCTAGATATCGTGGACTACGTAATACGAAGTGGACTTCCAAGATCACATTTTACCCGATCAAGGGGAAGATGGCGCTTCGCATCAGTCTTGGTAAATTACCTAGCTGGACTATCCTGGCATCCCGGGTCTCCGGGTATCCCGCTAGTTAGTATCTTCACCTAGTATATTATACGAATTCCCCGAAACCAAGTGGTCAGTTTTAATATATAAACTGTATATAGATTAAGCTAGGTGATTATAAATGCTTCACTATTAGTTCATTATTAAAACAAAGCATTTCCTTAGATTGTAGAGAGATCAAATATTTCCGATATAACTCTTTAAGATTTGACCCGTCTTCTCTCGTTTACGAGACATTCTTTACCAAGACATCATACCTCGTTCTAAGCATCCGACCGCCCACCGTGGGGCTGCTTCTGCCAAGATTGCCTCGGAGTCCCTTTTGCCCTTTCAAGCTTGTTTCAGAAGCTGGGGCTTCCTAACCGAACTTGGACATTTCCTAAACGAGGCATTGGCCATGGGAAAAAAAAAAGCAATTCTTGTTTTGATTGATTACTTAATCAAGTAATCCGGGACTTTGTTAGTCTACAGCAATAGCTTTAAGATTCACGAACTACCTACGTATACTAGTAACTACGGCATCACTAGCGCAGTGGCGTTTCTCATGGGGCCGAAGCGCCTATTACGGGAGTTTGATTAGCTGTCGGCATCTATGGAAAACTAAGAGATAGTTAATGCATTTACTTACTAAGTGCTATGGGTCGGTCGTGCTGCACCGAGCAAGAAGTAAGGGCCTAGCCGCTAGTATAGTAGTATATTGGTGGCTGTCTTAACCCATGCGCTTCCAAGAACAGGGGGAACGCATAGTCTCTTTATAGACCTGGTATTTAGCGACTACCCAGCGGGGTAGCCTTATTGTATGCCGACATCAAGTTCCAGACTACATTTTCTAACCATAAGGTAGGTATCTTCGTATGTTAGGCACCTACTTCGGTGTATGATTATACCAGATAAAATAGCGGGGTATTGTAATAGCTAAAACAGGAACTTGACAACTATGTGGGCTGCTGAAAGTGATACTTGAATGTGATTCTAAAAAGTACGTGGCAAAATTGCAATACATAAAAGATCGCTTAAAACTGTCCGGGAGTAGTAATTTCGGGACAATTATTCTGAGTCCGGAGCTTCATTGCAAAAGCCACCATGAAGTAAAGGTTAATTGATAGTAATAACATGTACTTAATGTATCACCTACAATCCGTCATGTAGCGGTGTCGTGAATACAAGTATGAATAATAGTGTATTGATTGAGGTTCTAAATTAGTTAGTTAGACTTTTTATAACTATAACTACCTCCTATATAAACAAACAGCTTATTAGGTAATACAAAAATCTTACTTTAGTATAAGTAACCACATCTATAGCACTACTAATGATTAAGTTGTCGTATTATTAAAGAATAAGCATGCGACAATTGGGTCTTATTACTAATATTAGCACTGTCTATCAAATGTTACATCAATTAAAGAAAGAATCGGCCGATAAGTAAAGACTCATCCGAAATACTTCCGCACTAACGCATTTCCCACCCGTTTTGGGATATTTCCGAACTTTCATAAAGTTTCATGAGTCTTTCGCTTTTTCCACACCTTTTAATTGGCTCGGAGGTATCCCCTGGCCCTGCACGCTTCTTTAATAGGAAATCTGCAGCGCCCGAAAGGCACGAGACTCGATAGACTGCGCTAATATATCAATTGGAAATGATATAAAAAGAATATGAAAGCAGTTATATACGCGTATAAAAGAATGGACTCTTAAAAAGCTAGCCATTTATCAAGAGTTTAATAACAAACCGCTTTTAATTACTGGGTAACTACCTAGGTTAGGTACCTATTAGTGAAGAGAATACTTAAAAGGCTACTTTAAGTTACTTAGGTAGATACCTCCGCATTATACAGCGAGAACCATTTCCCCATTAAGCCATACCATTCTTCATCTAATATCATATATCACATATCATATACTAAAGGTAATACGGCGCAAGTTTGACCCTTGCAGCGGATGGTCGGGAAACTTGGATTGTTGAAAAGGCGAATGAAGTGACCATTTATTAGAAGCTTATACTCAGGTGACCAGTTGACAGAAATTAAGTACATGAGGTAGGTAGTTAAAAGTAACAATGTGTATTACCTTACGTTCTGCAGGTAAGATTTATCGAGCGTCTAGATCCGATTCTGCAGCAAAATGACATAGCAATAATACAACCTTTCTGTACAAGCTGATGCATAACCTCGTATAAAGTCTTGGCAAAGACGTATAACATTTTGTTCATCTTCAGCTGACTTCTTGAGACTATTGGAACTCACTTATATATTATAGCACAACTAGGACGGGACAAAAGAGGTATCAAGATATAGTAGCTCTAATATCTGCTTCAAAGTAAATTCTTCAAATGATGATGCTGCCTACCTCTCTTATCCTCATCTTAGCCGCCACTATCTTGGCATGCGATATTCCTACAAGCCCACTCTCTAACAATATTGCCGAGAGCTTCGCCCTTCAGATACAGAATGCGTCATTTCCAGACATTCATAACCATTTTTTGAATATCTGGGACTGGGGTGGCGGTGACCAACATCTTTTTGTTAGTCCGGCCGGAAATTCCACGAGCCAGCTTATACTCGTTGACGGCGTGATCACTCTACCTTGGGACCCGCCTCGCCGCGCAGTCATCAACGGGGAGGTAAATCTAATAAATCTTCGATATTTCCTAGTTACCTACCTCCTAGATAGATGCTAACAAATCATAAATACATAGTATGAGGTGAAAGATAATACGACCAAAATGTTCATGACTGAACGTGGAGATCCACGTGCTATTTATGATGTTGTGTACGGGTGCAATCCTGACACGGATGCTTTGCAGACCGAACTATCCTTCAAGTCTCGAGGAGATTTGGAAATAGGAGGAAATATCGGGGTTCGCCCGTTTAACGGCATGTATGACTTTCGATGGACGCCTGCAGGAAATACCGGTAAGTCATTGCGTCCCCAATAGGGTTGTTCACGCTGACAGTGTATTAAGCATATGACGTGGACAGACCCTGGACAAAGGTGACTTTGGTTGTGATTCATTCTTGAAAGGTTCGGTAATATGTTGTCAAGAGGCGCAGAACATGTTCTCATATCAATTGTAGGAATTCTGATATGCTCAACCCATATACAAATACCTTACAAGAAACCTTGCAATATCTGAAAATCTCCTAACTCGGTTTGAATAAGAGTTATCAGTTGTAAATGGTCCATAGTAATCTAACCTCAGGATATACATTCTCCGTATGCTAATTCTATAGACTTGCCATATGCCTCATAAGCTGAATCGTACAATCAATATCTCGTGGCAGGTACCAGTATCAACCCAATCTGACAATGGATTCATATGAGTACAATCTAGTCATTTCAAAAATCAAGGTTAGTCACTACGAACAACGGCCACTATCTCACGCCCATTTGCGTTGCCGAGGATGACTTTTCGGAAATTTCCGTGGAGAGTCCACATGTGTAAGCGATGCTGCGAGTAAGGGGTCAATTACACCGTATCCCGCACGCGACCGAAAACTGCACGAGTAAGCTAACATGACGCTTCGGGGACGATATTATCCTTACCTCTGTAGGCTTGTCAGTTGATGAGTCCCTATTGGGTGATATAAGGATTTATGGTTCTTGCAAAACCGTGTACCCCCTGTGCTTTTCAATCTACAGTTCGGCCTACCGCACTTGTGCTCGATGCAATAGTCACTTCCCATTTCCGCCTGTCCGGTACAAGATTTAGATGCCTGACAGGAATGATCTGAGCAATATGACCCGCCCGGAACTCGAGAAAAGCCACAGCCCATCTCGCCGCAGGTATGATCTCCGCAGTAACTACTCTTTTTCCAACGAGGCTTGAGGCAGACGGACGAATTCCAGGAACAGGCGTGATGACGACACAGACTCCCCTCAACCAAACTTGCCCTAGTACATCCGCTTTTGATACACGAATGACGCTGGCAATATTCGCCGGAGTTCGAGGGTGCGTCCAGGCACGATGGACTCCATCGACACGCATGTACGGAGCAAAGACCATGCGGTCCTTTACATCTCTCGTAGCAACTTTGTTCCGTACATGTGTGAGACTCGCAATAGATATGGTCTGGACCACCACGACCGCGTAAGCATCCTATCTCCCAAGCACAGACGTGATCGTTGCAGAATAGACTACTTGGGATACAGGGGTTTCGACATGAACCCTGGTTACACCTATGCGCCTCGCAGCATTCGAGGTTAGGAACTTTAGACGACATGCAACCCCCAGTATAGGAGCATACATGTTGTTCACAAAACGCCCTGTTACGCATCGTAGGGGCGTAGCAGGTCTCTTGAGCACATGTATGATTTCTGCAACATTGGTGCTCTTTCTCGTCCTTCTTATCACCCCAAAATCGAGAGTTGAGACATGTGCGTCGTGGACATTCGTGTTCGGCACAGTACGCGATTCTCGAAATCTCCTGAAGACAGTCCTGTTCTGTACAAGTATGATGACGACAGCAGAAGCCAATGGCGTTCTCTCCCTGAACTACGCTCTCAGTGCAATCTCCTGCAGAGCAGGTATGGTCACCACAGTACCCATTACGCTGGAACGCAGGCTCAGTACATCCGACCCATTGACAGACATGCCGTAGACACCAGGTCGTGCCGCTCGCTCGTGCTTGCGGACATCTCGGCTCTCGGCATTTGTGTCGACGACAAAAACCACTCTCAGGGATGCAAGGCCTCTCGCACGAACGGCACTTGTGCTGTGCGCAATGGCGAAACCCTTCAATTTGAACATCCGCGCATCCCTTAGTAACACATTTGTGCGCGCCACAGAACTGGCTCTTCTCGAACCTCCTCCCGTTACAATCTTCGACCGAACACTCGTGACGACTGCAAAGATTGCTACCGTCGCGCCGCGCCGCTCCGCATCGATCTACTTCGCATCTATGGTCCATACAAAATTCGCTTGATTTTGAAAATGCGCGAGAACAGTGGCTGGCGTGGCATCTGTGCTTGGAACAATACCTCGAGGGAGATTCGCGCCGACCAGCACAGCGCTGGACACGACAAGTATGGATATTGCAGTAACGATAGTATTCCTCTGGACTTGGTTCGTGACAACCTTCTAGTTGACAAGTATGCTGATCGCAATAATTCGAACGTCCGGCTTTAGAGCTGTGGCATCCTCTCCAGAAACACTCGTGTACCGTACAATAGCGCTTGCCATGCCCCTTTTCTCTACGACCAACACAGCCGGTTATATTACATTTATGTTTTCGACAGTAGTGGCTCGTCCCTGTCACGGTTCTATAACAGAAGGTGGATTGACAACGGGGACCGGTTGTGGCAGATTGCGGTGGTATACCCGCTGCGTGGTACTCTAACTCTAGCGTGCTCTGAATACCTTGGTCGTAGGGAACTAGCTGGGACATTTCGTGCATGTCGTATTCTGAATATGCCGGTGGTGGGGTTTCGGGCCGTACGCGACGCCTTGAAGGCACCGATATGAGCCGATGAGAAGACATTGAATACGCTCACGATAGTGACTTTTTGAGCTTTCGCGTTGGAGTTAAAGAAGCTAAAGCTTGAGTTGCCTATCACAAGAGCCCGATATGGTCACAAGCCTAGAATTACGGACAGTCGATCTCCTCATGGAAGTAGTACTCGGCGACAGAACCCATCATTCAGGGATCTTGGAGTTATCTATTCGTTCGTTCTAAAGAAGCGCTTCTTGATAGGCTAGCTGCAGGCCTCTTTGTGTCGTGGGGTGCTTGGATGGAACCCCGAATCCGGTTGGCTCGTGGTGTTTGTTATGAGGCGCGTGCATCTTGACCTATAGCGTCTCTTATTGAATCAATTGGTGGCCCTTTATGGAGGCCATTCGTATCCTAGTATTAGGTTAAAATATTTACAATTTTCTAGGTAAGTACCTAAGTTTATCCTCCGTCATATATCAGAATCCATCCTCTAGAGTGGGTAAGTAGAATGATATAGGTAGGTAGGATTGAATAAACCGGAAAAAGTCTAGTGTTACTAGGATTCGAATTGGGTTCCATCTCGTCGGGACTAACCTGGACATTTCCACGCATTAACTTATATTCTACCCCCAAAGACTTCTCTTATCCAAAATCATACCTCTCGTATAGGTTAGGTTTCCTATTTACAGATATTCACAAATCCTAAATCATACTATACCCGTGGAAGTCTAGCCGTGTCATACATATCATCAGCGTTTAACCGATCTACTCCAAGAGCTGCGAGGGGTTCCCAAAGATAATCTCCCGGCAAATTGTCTATAAGGTATGTCAGTCTATGTCTAAACTGGAAGTATAGCAGAGTTGAACTTACAGTATCGCACTTTAAGACCTGCCGAATGAGCTTTCTCAACTTGCGATTGGACTGTACTCTTTTGGTCCTGACTGAAGTCGCTCACGCTGCCTGGGCTTCCAACGGCGTCTTCAAAATCGGCCGAGGCGTAGTATGAATTCTGGCTGGTGAATTTACTGTCCCATTGGTCTACGTGGGCGTCGTAAAATACGTCTCTGTTAGGAACACCGTCGCCTGAGTTGATGCGGTCAAATGGAGCACTCCCGCTAGCGACAACTGTTATCTGTCTCTCAACGAACTTATCACCATCGAGGTGACTGAGGTATCCGCCGTCCCGGAGGGGTTGGAGTGCCTTGACGACAGCATCCAGAGTCTGGGTATCAGAGGTCTTGAAATCTACAAGGAGCGTGACGCTCTGTCCGGGGCTGGCCTTGTACAGACCAACATTCCCGGGAGAGCCGCCGTTGTTGTGATCCAGTATTGCTCGCAGCGGCTGGGTATACTGCACTGTTAAAGTCCTTCCAGGAGTTGGAAGGATATGGCCAATAATAACGTCTCCGTTAGAATACCAAACATCAGCTTCAATCCCAATGCACCCTGCACTTAAAGCTGAGTATACGGGGATATTTCGGGTATAGTCGTTATGACTATGGCAGTTCGTAGGCTTGACGCTATTCAGAGAATCCAGCGGCCAGGGGTTCAGGGGTGGGCCGGATCCTTTATTGACACTTTGTGCCCCCAAAGCAGAGCCGGAAAATAACTTATTAACGGCGTCTTGTTTGGGTGGTATCTCATTTCCCAGGGCATGGTATGAGACGCCATTATTCCCGACTTGCCAAGTGCCACCCTTCGTGTCATGGTTTTGCTCTCCAGAACATTGACCACCGTCAGCGCTAAGTGCCAAGAGGTATTTCTCACAATTCTCGGCTAGCTAGTGTTAGTAGTCGGGCCCATATCATACATCCCCTCTGCAGTACTGACTTGAAATAGTATGATCCGAGTTTTCTTTATTGTGGACCTCGACTACACGAGCGAATATTAGACTCCGATGAAGACTTCAACACAACAAACTTACAGTATACAAATCCTAGAACACCGTATGTAGCGGGGCTCTTCCCGTCGTTAAGGAAGACTTCTGTCGCGAGTGAGAGATATCCCCCAGACTTCACTGTCTGCCCATTCGCTGTGCTACAAAAGGTTTGCACCGCCGTACTATATCCACTACGCGTGTCCGTTCCTTGCGCAATAGTGACATTGTCTCTAGGCATCCATTCATTTCCACAGCTAGATATTCCATCTGTGACTTGCTTCTCACACTGAGCGAGTGGGATAGACTATGTCTTTATTAGATATAATTGCGAATGAAGTCATTGGGAGCCTAACGGATAGTCCAGCGACCGCGATCGCAAGCAAGGTGAGCTCCATATTTCAGTGAGCTTCGAGAGCGAGGCGACCAAGGATGCTTGAGAAGCAAAATCTCAGATCCGCAACGATTTTTGTAAAATCTACAAGTCTAACATGTGGCTTTTATTATAACTACAAAAAATACCAGAGGCAGTAAACAAATTAGCTTCCTACGTTGTATAGACCAATAAAGGGGCGGATTCTCAGCCCGTGTGCCGTTCGGAGATCCTTGGTAAATAACACCTTCTTAAAGGAGACTACCGCGTGTTCTCCCCGGTCAGCCCCCACATCCAAAAGCTGAGACCCGGGATGGGTTCATGTGCATTGGCCGGATATACCGACTTTACATCTAATTATATCCTCACTTGTAAATCTGACTCTTGTATACAGGATTTGGTGAGAATATGTTTAAATCAAATCAGTATACACATGTTCGATGCTTGTGGGTTGATGCATTTAAAGCTATTTAATGTAATTGATTCTCATTCATAATATTGTAGGTCTAAGCATGTGAATACAGACCTGTACTCAGGGGTCACAAGCCAGCACATCTCAAGAAGGAAGCTCGGTGAGAAACCACATAGTCGAAATACATATTCAGCTATTATCCTTCTTTATAAGTCAAATGTATCAATCCTGTACGCCGACTCAATATACGGAAAGGCCGAAGGATTTCAGATCTACTACTCCGGTCTGGAAAATATTGATTCGGATCTGCTGTGCTACACGAAGCGCCAAAACTGAAGAGCTACAGTAGGTAGCACTTGGTCTTGGCGATCTTTAGTTGTCATTTTAAGTATTAATAACCCAATAATGTAATATCCAGCAGAGTAGGAGCAGAGTAGGAATATACTAAATCAACCGCAGCTGTTCCTTTTTCTGATGTAGTTAGGATTACCTCAGGTACCTAGACGAGTACCTAGGATACCTAATACACTAGTACGTTAGCTAGAGACAGTCTCGATGCTGTACCTGTTGAATTTCTAAGAACCTAGGTAGTTGTAATACGGCATGCGACATCCGCTACGACGGCTTTCCACGCGTGATCGTAGACGAGAATATCCGTAGACCCCTTTTCGTTAGTTTTGGTTCGCTAGTGAGACACAGGTGACGATTAGAGAACCAGACGGGCCAGCACCCCAACCAATATATCGTCAGATGATATTATCATTCGAGAAGTATACTGATACTGGTTTGAAGTAGAATCAAAGCGCACACACCGAAAGTCGTCTTAGTCTAGTGCCCCAAAAGCTTGGACAGTGGTTAGAGGTGTTAGCTCGGAGCTTCTTAACCACTATGTACGACCGTTGGTTTGATAAAAGTATAGTACCGTAGCCGTAGGTATAAAATATAGTGTTGTAGTTATTGGTGAGGCCTAAGTATCAGATGTATCCCTTAGGCAAAGCCCTCCACAGCCTCAACCAATCTTGTCGTATGCAGCAAGAACCAACCAACTCAACGAGTTTTTAAATGTTATAGAATACCAACCATAAGAATTGGTAACCTTGGGCTGTGCATATGTCAGGTGGTAATGGAGTTTCATTAGTAACAACCTAAACGTCAATTCGGTTGAAAATTACCAAGCGTCTAAGTATACCTAGGTAGGCAGACATCTGGGTAATCAGGCATGTAAATTACCTTATAGGAAAGACTTTAGGAACGCGCCCGTAACGATATTCGCTAGGATAGGGTATTATAAAATTCAAAGCCAAGATTTCACCTGTCTAGCCCTCATCACTAGCTACAGGACCTGTAATATTATCTGGATCAAACCGGGTCTTATAATAATAAGCATCGCCCTCCCTAGTCCTTATTCTTCGGAAAGGCTTCCGAAAACACCGATCGACAGCCTCGCATAGGAATATCGAGTAATTATCGTCAATAATAACATCCGTACTCTCATCGATGCATCCGCCCACGAAACTTAGCACGGTCTCAAGCTGCCCAACCCACACCGGCCATCCACGATGATGGCCCCAGGTAGGTACTTTCATGATGAACTCAAGAGTAAGTAAGCCTTCAAGCAATGCCGTCCAGGACGCCGCGTCGAGGGCTGCAGGGCGGAAGAACTGCCACTGCTTCTCGCCGGGCCCAGCTATACAGTACGAATAGTACGCAGTAAAGGCACTGAGGCGTAGATGGCGCACACGGCGTAGATTCGCCTCGCCGATGGTAAAGAACCGTAGGAACGTAAAGCGGCTCTCGAGGTCAACACGGAATACGTTTTGGGTATACAAAACCTCAAGTGCCTCATTGCTTACCTGGCGGCAGACCCGTAGTAGGCTTGTTCGCGGGCGTAGTCGCCCATCGTAGTGCGTACATGCGTAGTTCTGGCCACAGCAATCAGGCGCATTTTCCTTCGCGAACCGACGTAGGTGTCGAGCTGCGGTCCGGAACCATACACGTGAGCAGATGATTGGTTCCGACTGGACGAGTAGGTGCGCGTAAACCTCATTTCGAAGTTCCAGGGGCAGGTCGAGGAGTCTAAAGAAGCCGCTGCTACCACTAGAAGCGTGTTCAGGTAGTAGACTCTCCCCAACTACCATTCTAGCTATTGCGTTGGGCGTTGAGTGTTGAGCGCCGATGTCTTATTAATAATGTTGAATATGTAGGTACTCTATAATGTGAATTTCGTGGTTTAGGGTAGTTTTAATGAGGATTCATGGATCGATATGCCTCGCTTTCATCCGTATTTCTGACTCACTTCTTAAGATCTATTAAAGCGGCACAGTCTCTAGGCTAAACTCTTTGAAAATTAGCGCCTGGTCTTGGCCATTAAAATTCAATAAAATACCTAACCCATGTTGAACTGATTAGCGATCTCAAAATTTTGATATGTGTCTATCATATGCGTAGAATAGCTGACTTGGGTGTTAGGTAAAGACAACGGCTAAGGCAACTTCATTTCATGAATCGTATTGACAACTGTTCACGCTACACCTGGCGCTTGAACCCACTGTCTTCTCATCTGCTCGGCTGCTTCGTCTCCAAACAGCACTTGTACATCTTTAACATGCTCCTTCGCCAATTTGGACGGCTTCAAGTCCTCGAAGGCCATACTCCATACACGCTTCGCCTCGTCATTACTCGTGTCAATCGCGCTCACTCTACCTGCGTGCTGCGCTAACATCGGATACGCACTAACTCTCGCAAAGCCATGATCATAAGCGAACTTCTTTGGAAGCATATCGCTCCTACCAGGGACGGCTCGCTTAGAAGCAGTCATCAAGAATTCTGATAACTCTCCCGCGTGTTCACGATTGTAAACCAATGCCTGGTTGCAACATCCGAAGAATTCCTCACGAACTCCCGGTGGTGAACCAATGAGGGCAGCTTTACCAGAGGCATAGAATAACCACAATATAAGCGGTACTGCAACGCCGCAAACCACTAGTAACGTCCAGCCATCCAGATGTCGAGCTAGATGACGCGGTAGCTTTCTCCGTACTAAAAAGAGAACTAAGAGGAGCGGAATAGCTACCGCGGCTGATATGACATGAAGGTTATTGCTTCTAAATCCGGGCCCGCCCGACCATCCAAAGCTCCGTTCTTGGTTAAAAAGACGCAAGTATAACCATGTGTTTGGTATACCTGGATCAATTTTACCTTTCTTAGGATCGCGCCGCTTAGGGTCTTTCATCATCTCCTCGATAATTCTTAAATTCCTTAAAGTCCTCGCGGCCCATCCATCAGCAAGAAGGATATCTTCCTCGAAAATCGCAATGTAAGGAGCCTCGGTAGTCATAACACAACGATCTAGAGCGTATGCATAATCATATACAGTTTTCTTTTCTAGCGCATGCTTATCCTGACGATCCTTGGTATACTCTATAAACTCGCGAATCTTGTCATCCTTTTGCTTCGGTGGTAAGGTGGAGTTATAAGTGAATACTTCGTCGGCGATACCAGCAGCCGTTAGGTGGGCATAGCTCTTGTGCTGGGTAGTAGGGTTCGGTACGTCGGCAAAGAACAGCTTCAAGTGCACGGTCTGCCTCTCGGCACGGGACATATTAGCCAAGAATGAGCCTACAGCACTGTCGATGTACTGCCGACCATCCACATTCCTTCCAACGGTTATAAAGACGGCGCAAATCTGGGGTGTGGGACCAGAATTGCCTAGTTTGGATTGCGCCAAGTCGGGGTCCGCCATAACGGCGTCGAGAAAATAATCAGATTCGGCCTGGCGCGTGGCCGAGTAGAAACGATCGAACCCATGTTCCTCGGAGAAGAAAATGGAGAGAGGATCACGGTAAAAGTAGAATGAGCCGTATATCGAGTATAGAGAAACGAGGGCTACGAGAAAAAGCAAGGCGCGAATGCCAGGCTGGCTGAGAGCATCTCTCGTAATGCGAGGTCGGCAGATCATCGAGCAAGACGCCTTGCTATTTCGATCGTCATGCTCTCATCCAAAATTCAATTTTATTAATGAGCTAAATGACTTGTTGATGATGGTGGCTAGAATTGGTAAAGGCATTGTTGACAATTAGGTACGATATGATTTCCGCTATGTTCTATTCTAGGAACGCTAAAATGTTAAAATGCTACCTAGACCAGCTAGACCAGCTAGACCTAGAAGAGGCATAGCGCACGGACCATATGTATAAGGTTCTCTTAGTGATGTTAGGTAATTCTCAACGTTGATGCTAGGACCTCACTTACCTACCTATACTTAGGTACCTCTTAATGTACCTCTACGTAAATGCCCCCTAAAGCTCTAATGGCCAAAATAAATCAAACAGCCCGTTTCAATTAGTATATTCATAGCTCGATGCGTATTTTAAACCATTTCGTAATATTTATTACGATTGTTGGGATTTATATTTCTTAATACGTTATTAGTCTTGTCAACCTTTCGCTTGGACGTAGAGATGGATAGAAGTGCCTGAGCATTGAACGAACAGGGAGATAAGAGGCCAGTTTAATTAATTTAAATATCTAGGTTAGGTACCTATGTGTAGATAGCTTCTATTAGGTACTTGTTTATTAACATGAACTACATAATTTAGGCTACATATTCACGAAGCTTGACAGGTAGCAGTAGTAGTGATGGTTTATTATTTCGAGAGTTACCTGTTCTAGCTATCTCCTAAAAGCTATCTACCAGATATGAAAGGGCCTCCTATAATACCACCTAAAACATTTATCATTTATAGTTTCATATACTCAACTAAATGCCTTTTCTTTCATCGTCCGAGGTTATGGGTGGATAGTTTAAGTAGCGAACAAGCGGTCTTGCTGTCTTCGTAAAGAACCCTTATTCTAGAAGGGGCATATTCGTGGTCTAGTTCCAACTTATTGCATTTAAGCCGCACGGGGAATATTATGAGAAAACTTTGACCCCACGAGATAGCTGGTCGTAGTTGGCATGGGGTTTATGGTTCTTACTGGTATCAAAGCTAACGGGAAGGACCGAGTATATATACGTTAATCACATCCGCCTGGGAAAATATTTCAAGTAACCAAGCCTTTTAAACATTGTATTCAAATCTCTTACTAGTTTGACCTACTCATTAAACAGTTTGTCAGTCAGTATACCAGTATACCAGTATACTATCATACCGAGATACTGTCATACTATCATACCATCATATCTGCAATACACCATAGCAATGGCGCCCTTCCTGAGCAAGATTAAATTGCCCATATTTGGCCGAATCGGCCGAATAGGAAGCGATTCATATGGCCCTGATCCAGAACCAGAGCCAGACATCGTCTACTACTGGAAACCTTTCGAGAAAAAGTACGGTTTTATGTCGATGTGGTACCCATCGCCGTTCCGCGACAGTTACGACCCGTCAAAAGTTTACCCAACAGCTGAGCACTACTACTTACACCACAAAGCGCTCTTATTCGATGAACCGGAAATCGCCGCCGAGATCCTTAGGTGTAAATCTCCACATAGGGCTAAAGAAATGGCCCAGAACCTTGAGAACTTTGACCAAGCTATCTGGGAAAGCCATCGTGAGCGCATCCTTTACGACGCAAATTGGCATAAGTTCACGGCACCATATATCCCCCGTGACACCCTCCCCGCTGCCTGTGAGTCATGGTTTGAAATGTCCAACGAGGCATCTAAGCATTCGAAACGATTAAAGGAAGCTCTGCTAGAGACAGGTAACCGACAGATTGTCCAGGCATCACCGTTTGACTACATTTGGGGCAACGGATATTGTTGGAGGGTAGCATGGCAACGGCGCCTGAGGTGGGGTCTCAATCTTCAAGGAATAATCCTCATGGAACTACGAGATCGCATCCGACGTGAGGAAGAAATAAAGATGATGATGGAGACCTTCGAAAACTAGGAATCCCCCAAGGGTACGCTGAAATATTGTCTTCGATTTCGACAGTCTGACTAAAATGCGGTCTACTAGATTATGACTTGATAGGGTTTGCTGGGCAAATAGAATAGAACGAAGCCGAAATACTTAGGTAAAGCTAGACTTGCTGTTTAATGTATTGAGGCATGGTTACTACTTAGAGTTAGTATATTGCAGTGTTCCATGCGTGTCCATATATGCACCTTTTTGTCTATCATACATTTGACCATGCTGACCCCAAACGCCTTGCCTGCCTTAGTCCAAGGCCGCCAACTTGGAGTGGTGTAGTGAGACCGCCTTCCACGGCCTTTATTCCGTCGTCTCTAGTCGATAGTGTACAGTATTATATCATAGAGCTGGGGGGTATCTGCGTGTAGATATGACAGAATATCTGGTTTATATATAGTCCCTTCCGCTCTTTTGCATTTCGATCAATCTCCATCCCCTTGTTTCCGGATTGTTAACATCCTCAGGTGTCCGTGTAATGCCGATCGCATACGTGACCAGTTGAACTTTGTCTTCCATTCCTGCGGCAAGTTCATTTGTCTTGGCGTTTCGGTAGACATGAACCTCCTGCGTCCGGCAGGTAATGATGAAGACGGGAATCTCACCAGGATCGAGCATGCGGGCTTTTAGGATGTCTACGTGCCTTATATCAAGAATTCGACCATCTGACTTCAAGCCAGCTTGAAGGTACTGCTTGGTCAAAGCTTCATACACTGAATACTGAGCAGCCGAAAGCCAAAGCTTCAGAGTTTCAGTATCGCCCTTGACATAAGCGTCGAGCACTTCGGGTAAGATGTACTCTCTCAGCTCCTGGAGGAATGGTTCAATCTGAAAATTAGGGTCCATAGAGCGAAATTTTCGAATGACCATGGCCGTTTCGTTCTCCGCGAAGAATCCAGCCACACGGTCAGTGATACTCCGTGCCGTTGTTATTAAGGGGTTCTCAGATTCGTTGTAGACACTCTTCATATTGAATATCCCTTGGACAAACTTGTTTTGATCTCGGAAATCCCGCCACGCCTCTTTCCAGGCTGCGTCTTTGTGCAATGTGATATTTGTACCAGCGCTGAAGATCGTTAGTGTCAATTGCGATTAACCAATATCCTTGTTAGACTTACTTTGGATCTTCGACTGCATCTTCTGCCTTGCCATGGATAGAACGAGCTTGCTTCTCCCGAAGTTCCCTAGCTTTCCTCCGCTCTTCCTTTTCAACCCAACCACCATATCTTGAACTACTTCCATCGTCGATTACGTCCTTGACATTTTTGTATGCCTCAGTCTCCCGTATCGGCTTCGTCGCTTTGTCCAATATATCTCCAGTTAAATTTGCTCCTTTCCGAACGCCTTTCATGACCGGCGTCTCCCATGTCCATGCCGCACCCTTTCCAACCGCGGTAGCTGAAGTCTTCAGCACTTTTCCTGCTGTCGACGAAACAGCACCTGTGGTGCTTTCATAGGCCTGTCTCGCACGGCGGACAGATTCGCTCTCGGTAAAGGAATGAGCTGAGTCAGCCAGTTGCTTGGTCGACTCGTTCCATTCTTTCGAAGCCTTGAACTCGGTCTGCATTGTTTCCATGAAGACTTGCCATGGCGTTTTGTCACCGTGGGGAGGTGGCGGCGGTGGATCTTCCTTTTTCTCCTCCTTTTTGCCCTGCTCCTCTTGTTGATCGGCCTTCTCCTCCGAGCTGGATTTCGCTTCGGATTCGGTATCTGAGGCTTTCTGCTCGGCTTTTTCTTTTGGTTCCGCAGGTTTAGGGTCTGGCTTAGCGGATTGCGGGGCTTGCTGGGGTTGTTCTTGGTACCATCTCGACGTTTGGTGGAAAGGACGGGACTGTAAGGTAGCTATAGTTTCGGGAATGAAGGGTGACTGTAGCTGAGAAAGTGGCGAAAAAAGTAGTCGAGGAGAGGTGAGTGGTGCTATATTATTGCCTGAGAATTTAGAGCTCTCAGTGTTCGATAGTAACCGTCTATATGCTGGAGCTCTGCCGTAAGAGTGAGCTGCGAACGAAGGTGCCCTCAGGAAGGCCGGCGGGGGTGCGCTCCTAGTAACTTGTCTTAGTGAAGTCATTTCGCGCTGTGAGAAAGCGTCGCAAAAAAAAGACCACCGGTCTGGAGGGGGAGTAGGAGGATATTAAAACCGGCAAGGAATTTCTTCGCAACTGATGTATGAAGGCGGGCGAAGCCGGCAAATAGAAAATAGAAAAATTCCCTAAACTAAAGCATGGACTTTTAGGTACTTCTATATTGTACCTAGAACATACACCTAGGTTAGGTACCTACAGGGCTATTACTTACATGTACATGTATGTACAACTTGACCCGAAGAAGTAGTACTTTACTAAATAAAATAACTACCTTAGCCAATCATATTCCGACCCAACAATACTAGTCCCAGAATTTTACAATTCGGCCGGTCCGAGATGCAATTCTCTTATCCCGTGCCGTCAAAATTTCTAGGTTTTATCAGCCGCGAGTCACGGCATACGGTGACATTTCAACATTGGTCAATTGACGTCGGCCTTACTTCTCAAGTAATATCTGAGGGCTTCCCGATATAGCACCGACAGACTATTCAACCTAATGCTTCTACGATGAGCCGAATACAAAATCGCCTATTGGCGACCGCCCGCACTCCCATATCCTACTCCCAAACTACCTACCAACATATCCGTCCTTTCTCTCAAACATATTCGCAGCATGATGGACCTAAACGCACACCTTCACTTCTCAGCATGCTGCCACGAAGTGCGCAATCATCACAACCGAATGGACCTCCGCGTCTAGGAGCTGGAGGCGATATGTCCGCTCTAAAAAGAATATTGGCGCAAGACATTGTTGCGAAAGCGCGAAACCAGCCTACAATAACCGAACAGATCCTGGGAGCCGATGAGAATGAGGCAAAAGAGGACTGGGGACCTGCGACCGAGCCCTTTCATTTCCACATCTACGCACATAAGCACAACTGCCATATCACGGTAACGAAGCCGAATCGTGGCGCAATTATCAGCAAGTCAGCCGGCGATATTGGATTCAAGAAGGCTAAACGTAGCACCTACGACGCTGCCTACCAACTGACGGCGTACATTATAGATAAACTTCACCAGGGAAATTGGCACAAAAATATCACGGCCATGGAGGTTGTTCTACGAGGCTTTGGTGCTGGACGGGAGGCCGCCGTTAAGGTTCTTCTGGGAACCGAAGGTCGTATGCTGAGAGATAAGATCGTGAAGGTATCAGATTCTACGAGGCTTAAGTTCGGTGGCACAAGGAGCCCCAAGCCGAGAAGATTAGGCTAAATAACGAAGAGAGTAAGGGTAAGAGTGGAACAATTAACTATACGACCAGTGTATATCACATCATTGCCATATGCATTAGTGGACAATATCATCCAGCAAGTTCATTGTGCATATAAATAGTCAAAAGAGCGCTAAATGCGCTTTACATAACGACGGAGCGTGCCTTTGGTATCAATCAAACCTCATGTAACGCCACCCAGCCAAGTTACTATCATACTCGTTGCCAACGCCTTATAATGCAGTCAGTGTAATCCAGTGTAATCAAATCATCCTTCCACTTAAGACATGCTTGGTCTACCAGACGAAGGTGCTCTCTCGGCAGGTGGTAATGTTCGTCCGCTTGTGTCCTTAGCTCGGCCTTTTCCTTTGCCACCCCTGCTATAACGGTGAGTTTCCTCGCTGGCCCGGCTCGAATGTTCTCCGTCGTCATCGCTCTCATGTGTTGCCAGTCTCCTAGAACTATCCTCCCTAAGCATCCTAGTTCTCTCATGGTCGTTGAGTCCCTCTTCGTCTAGCAGCGCACCATCTGCCGTCTCGAAATCAGGCGGTTCGATCCAGTCTCGAGGAACGATACACGGGAAAGCAACGCCAATACTTGCAGCGCGATTAAGCCATCCCGGGCCAGGCCTACCAGTGAGCTTCTTGCAGAGGTAGCTAGTAAAGTGGTTGCAATTTCGGGTAAGTAGATTATAGGATGTACCTTGAAATTCGTCGGAGGCATGGCGAATAATGGTGTCAATCTCGGCCTGAGTCGCAAACGAGAAACCGTGTAGAATTTCGGTCTTAAAAGTACCTCCAGGTGGTTCTGTCTTTGGTGGTGTCCAATACACGCCCGTTAACCCAGGCCGATCGTGACCACCGTAAGCATACTCTTTCCCGTTTATCACGACACCTGAATGTAGTAGTGAGGCACCAACTGTCCAAAGGACGGAAGAGAGACGGCTAGGCTATTAATGTTGGGCATTTTGTCAGTAACCACTGCTAGACGACACTATATATTTTGAATTACTTACAGGTAACAGATCATAGACATTAATCACAATTTCGGTTCTTGATAGCGACAGCGTTGATCGATGGGATTGTCTTGACGTCCTGCTGGACGTTGACTTCTTAGACGACATATTTGCGTTTAGTATGAGTTACGTTGTGAGAGGATAAGCGGAAGTACGGCTACGCCTAGTATGGAGAGGAGGTGTCCCAATGCAGCGGGGGAGAATCATTTACATCCAAAGAAGGCTTGATGTATGCTGTACAGGAAAATAATGGACGAGACGAGAATATTGCTATAGTATCGGTTGTGTTACTATAAGACGGAGGTTCGGAGAATCATCGTGAATAACAAGAGAAAAGCCATGAATAAAGTCGGAAAGTTGACGCAAGGCAGATTACGTTACCTCGAGGCAACTACGAAGGACAATACAGTTTCATACTTCATGCTATCCAGTTAGGTACATGCAAGCATTTTAGGTAAGGAGGATTGAGCTAATGGGCTGAAAGCGTTAGCCACATCCAGCTGATACGTAGACCAATCATATGGCGAATCTGGTTAGGGTCTGCTGAAAAGCATTGCCTCCCCGCAGTCCCGACTGCCCGATTCTCGCTACAAAGAGCGCTGGAAGGCAAGACCTGAGGGGAGCTGACAATACAAGTGGCAATCTACTGTTCACAGCTGCCGGCTTGCTAGCCTAGGTACCTACCTACCTAACCAAGATGGAAGGTGGGGTCAAAACCAAGTTTCGGTATAATAGGACTTCCGGGTTCCGAAACAATATCTGGAAATTCAATTTTGATTGGGAATCCACAAGGGCAAGCTTTTTTTTTTCTTCTTCTCTCCCAACTGCCCCTCCAAGAGGACAGGAAAAGGACAGGACAGCTGTGCCAAACCGTGCGACAAAAAAAAAACCTGACGAGGTCAGCAGTCCAGTGCCAACAATACCTTAAATCAATGGTCGTCAGGAGTTAGACATATATCTATTATTTGTTTAACCTGATATCGAGGCTGATCTTCAGCCTATATCTACCGTCGTGTCTTCCTCCCTTTCCTTTACCCTTCCCTTCACTTCTCTACTCCGCACCCTTCGACCTATCGCAGCTAGCTCTGCGTTTCTTCCATACCGCGTGCCTAGTTGCACCACAGTTTATATCTCTACTCGTACCTACGCCAAGCGACGAAAAATGCCTCCCAAGAAGCAAGTTGTAGAGGAGAAGATCCTCCTCGGTCGTCCGGGAAATAACTTGAAGAGTGGTATCGTCGGTCTTGCCAACGTTGGCAAGTCGACTCTGTTCCAGGCTATCACCAAATGTAGTCTTGGTAACCCTGCCGTAAGTTTGGGCTTTCGTACATCTCATAATCCAGCTAACCGGGTACGAGTAGAACTTCCCTTATGCTACCATTGACCCGGAAGAATCCCGTGTCTTGGTTCCAGATGAGCGGTACGACTGGCTGTGCAAGAAGTACAATCCCAAGTCGCGTGTGCCCGCTCATTTGACCATCTATGATATTGCTGGTCTGACGAGAGGCGCGTCAACCGGTGCAGGTCTGGGTAACGCTTTTCTGTCACACATTCGAGCTGTCGACGCTATTTTCCAAGTCGTCCGATGCTTCGATGATGCCGAGATTATTCACGTCGAGGGTGACGTTAACCCCGTCAGAGATTTAGATATCATCGCAGAGGAGCTGCGACTAAAGGATATCGAGTTCGTCGAGAAAGCTATAGAGAACTCCAAGAAGAAGACCCGCGTAGGTGGTCAAAGCCTGGAATTGAAGAAGGCTAAAGAGGAAGAAGCCACTATAGAAAAAATCCTCGCGTGGCTGAAGGATGGGAAAGATGTTCGGAAAGGCGCCTGGACCCCAAAGGAGGTAAGATGAATTTTTATTTCCCGTTTTTCTCTCGTTTACCATGATGAACAAGGGCCATAGCGCCTGATCTAATCCCAGCTCTTCGAATGCCTCAATAATACAACGCAGAGCGCATACTGTGATAAAAGAATACTCTGATAACCTAAACCTCTCCAAATATTATTATTATACCTACAGGAAAACGCAGCTGACATATGTCAATAGGTCGAGGTTATCAACACTCTTTTTCTTCTTTCCGCAAAACCAGTAGTATACCTAGTCAACTTGTCAGAGAAGGACTATACTCGCAAGAAGAACAAGCATCTCGCCAAGATTGCTGAGTGGATGAAGGAGCACGCCGCGGGCGATCCTATTCTACCCATCTCCGTATCATTTGAGGAACGTCTCACGCACTTCGGCTCTGATGAAGAAGCTGCTGAAGAATGCAAGAAGCTCGGTATCGAGTCGGCATTGCCTAAAATCATCACAACGATGCGGAAGGCATTGAATCTTGGTAGCTTTTTCACAACCGGTACCGACGAGGTAAGGCAATGGACCATCCGGCTTGGTACCAAGGCACCACAGGCTGCCGGTGTTATCCACACGGATTTCGAAAAGACCTTTATTCAGGCTGTAGTATACAACTTCAGCACACTCAAGGAATTGGGTGACGAGGCCGAAGTCAAGGCCAAGGGTAAGGTTATGACCAAGGGCAAAGACTACGTAGTAGAAGACGGCGATATTTTATTGATCAAGGCCGGCGCTGCCAAAGGCTAGGGAGCGAATATAGATATATCCAATGAGTATAAAGTCTATTGCTACCTATCGAGCAATGTTGCAACGAATAAACGATACCACATCTGAGATGAACGCCTCCATTTGCCATTTCCTCCCCTAACCTATGAACCTAATAGAATAATCTTGTACACAAACTACTAGAATTCCTCGCGCCAAATTCAACTATACATTCAAATATGAAAATGAACACTACTCCTGGTTCAGAGAAATTCCCTGCGCTTCCATGTCGTCCCTAAACTGGGCAACATCGTATGCCAGGGGTAAGAACTCGCGGAGCGGCATGTCGAATAGCCGCTCAATCATGGCCGCCGCGTGCTCGGATGCGTCCTCAGCAGGCGTTTCTAACGGCTTGCTTTCGTTCTCGAGGTAGTCATCAAGCACATCCCTAACCTCCTCCAAGTCCGTCGGGTCGATATCGACTCCTCGTAACTTGACGACGAAGTTTAGCGTGATACCAGTCATCTCCAAGAGGTCTACTAAGTTATTTATCATGTCGGACCGCGCGATCGGCACTTCTTCATCTTCTTCGACCTCCTCTCTGACTTCTTGCTCTTCTTCCTCTTCTTCCTTAACATCTACCTTGTCGTCGGAGGCATCGTCGTCAGAGAGGAGTTCAGTGATTTTCCGCTTGGGTGCAGCCAGCCGCACCGTCGGCCTTTGCCCCCTGTCAGCCTCCATCCTCTTGTAGGTCGCCTCAACTTTCGCGGCGAACTCGGCCTCCTCGTCGGAGTCGGAGAAGTCCGGGATGTGGTTGACGGGCTGATTGGGGACGTAAGGTGGGACTTTTAGGGGCGGTGTGGACGGGGATGATGTTTCATGATAGGATTCATTGTTGTTGTAGTCTCTGGGGTTTGCTCGTGTGTAGCGAACTTCGGGGTATCCCTTATCTTTCTCAACAGAGGGCACGGGATTGTCCGCCGTGGTTCCCCATCCGCCAACAGCCTTGCTACCTGTATCGGCGGTGACGCGACCGCGCTTGTGGAATTTACGTGCTAGCGACATGGTGATTATAGCTATACTGGAGTAATGATTATGAGTTCTCTTCGCAGGTCTAGAGCAGGAGGTGAGAGTGAACTTGAGATGTTGAGAAACTCTTTGTCTTGACTTTTTGAAAGAGTGTGCTTCTCGATTGAGAGATTGGGCGTGACACTGATATATACATGAGTAACTGCCTACTGTTTGTTCTTTGTCTGAAAACGGTAGGATTCTTTGACTTTCACTGCGATCCTTGCCCAAGGTTAGAATTTACGGTTGCCTTCATAAGTGTTACAATATTCTCAGTGCATAGGCGGACGATCTAACCATTTCCCTCTTCGACTGGAACCCCTCTAGTATGTGGCGGAAGACGCATTCGAAATATCCCTAATCATTCTTTTATAGGAATGCAATGTCCTACGCGTACCTTAACTTTTAAATTTGGAATGTCTCGGTTTGGAAAATGCATTCGTTACCCCTTACTTCACTATTCACTTCATAACATTAGACCACACAATACAATCGCACACCCTGTGTATTATGTAAATCAGAAATCAGTCTATTTTTACATATCGCGTGGTAAAGAGAGAGCTCTATACTTCTAATATTAGCTCCTGTTTTTATACCTCCTATTCCTTCATTAACTACACCGGTGTAATCCCCATTAATAGCCATACTAAGCTGCAGTTTTGCTACAAGGCGATTAGAAATATATAATAAAAGTAGTGATAGTGAATTATAATTTCTAAATGTTACATTTTTAAGCTCCAATTTAACCCAACTATATTGCCGTTTTCTATCCCTTCAATTGATACCATAACCAACAACCATATATCCGCATGAATTATTGCTGGTTGATGAGAGTTATGTTACGTACTATTATATATTCGCCATATATTAGCATTTACAACTGAGTTTGGTCAATTGGCGACGAAACGTTATTCGATCACAAAACATTATGATACATGTGCGAATCTAACGATCAGGTAGTCATTGGGGAATATTGAGGGAAATGCAAATACATAGACTCATATAACACAATTCTAGGCCAATTAATCATCATTAACGATGCCCCATCATTATGCTCCTGTTGAAATGCTGGTTCCCTTCTTGGAAGAAACATCCGGGAACAGACAGGGTTGGTTCAATTACATGCCCGCAACCATTCCACCAGGTAGAGTCTCAACCCCTAGGACATTGTTAGTTCAACGATAAAACACTTGTATTCAGAGTACTTACAATCGTCAATGTTGTCTTCAGTGACAACTCTTTCTTTGCTGCATGCATTCATCGCCTGGGTATTTTGGGTCTTGAGCGTAGGGCAGTTGATGTAACAAGGCTGATCTAGAGCACGCTGGAGCGCATCACCCTGCCATCCGAAGACGTAGTCACCGTGGTTGCCATAACCAGTCCTATTTAAGAAGTATAATGTTAGACTAGCTTTAAATATTAGGGGGGATAGTTGGCTACTCACAAATCACCAAAGGACCAGACAAAAGGCTGGGATCCATCCTCGGGCCAGTCTTCCTTGTTGTTGAACTGCCGAGTATCCCAGTTAACCTCGTAAAAGAGTTGGCTCATCCGAACGGGATGCGATGCCGGGCAAGGGCCACCTGTCTCGAAGGTACCGCTCTCGGGATAGGCCATGTGCGCCATGTGATCGGCAGAGTCAAGATTCTTTCCATCCCAACATGTGGGGAATCTTAACGCCGTCATTATGCCGTATGGGCAAGGCTCATTAGGGAAGTCAAGTATCTGGGGATCACGGGTGTTGATGTCCTGAAGACAAGTGTAGGTAAGCTGACGAAAACGCTCCATCTCTTCGCGAGAACGAGCGTTGACGTTACCAATGTACATGCGGAAACCCTAGAAGTAGAAAGTTAGCAAATAAACTGTCTCTCCCTTATAAAAATACGATAGTACTAACAGGCTGGAAAGCTGTAACCTTAGAGGTCTGCTGGAAGTTGTAAAGGCCGTCTTGCATGTAGTAAACAGTCATGCCGGCATTGACACCGTCAAACCCGGAGTTAGCCATTTGAGGAACTCGCTTGTACGTCCCATTTCGGGCCTTGAAATATAATACTGCCGTCCAGTAGTTTGAAAAGTCTTCACTGAACTGGCATGTCGTGCAAGTAGACTCGCCAGGCATATCCTTAGCCGGGTCCATGCTTGCGTTGAATGAGTTCTAGCGAGGTGTTAGTTACTGGAGTCAGTGTTATGAACTATGAGTACTTACGCCTCCTACGATCTGGTGAAGATGCGGCGAAGGGATTAAGCCGGGATTGACTAATGGATCAAGACGGTCAACAACCAACTGAGCGCAAGGGAAACGGATGAGAGCATGGCTGGGCGCGAAGAGCGCCAGCGTGGTAAGAGAGAGCCACTTCATCTTGACGCCTCAGTTACAAGGAACTAAGATGAGTGTTCTGGTGATTTTAGCGAGGTAGTCAGCGTGATAAGAGGATGGGTGTTGATACAGTATCTTTTATAGGAACTAGAGAGGGCCTGATAGCAAGGATGTATAAGTGCCGAGACCCATTTCTCAAAGCTGGGCTTCCAACGACTGGGTCATGAATGCGTGGCGATTGCAAGTGTCCTCTTCGGAGAAATACCCAAGACTGATAAGGTGTAAGACCATGAAATTTGTCATTGACGGCCCGACTCCTTGGTTAGTTTGACGCCGAACTATACGATGTTTAGAAACCCGAGATAGCACACTGCCTCAGCCGCATATAGTATCCTACCAGATTTCTGGCATAGTATGCAATGATGATCAATCTATTAATCTACGTATGTCGAAAATTCTCCCAACTTCTGCGCCATGTGAAAATGATAGCAAATCCTTTCCTTAGAGGTTGAAAGAATTTTACTAACCTTGTATTGAGACATCCAACCTCGCGCAACTCTAATACATCCGTAATTACACAGAGCGGTAATCTATTAATAACATTGGCATAGACCTTGGCTCTATATATACCGGATATATGACAACCTTTTCTTACGGCAAAAGTCGACAATATACCCAGCCAATAAAAATGGTAGACATTGCCTTCTGATTGGCTTCTTTGGGTCTCCAGTTTCCCAAAAGGGGATATCCGGTCCCAACGTCTAAATCGAGCCTGACCGTATCCACGAGGTATTATAGCCAACCTTTAGATATCTTCTTGTCGTAGCAAAGGTAGCCATGGATGGAAGATGACCCCTGTGGTATCTTGTGGAATCATCTGTTGGACGTGGCCAGTTCGTAGGCTCTATGTCTTGAGTATGTCGATCGCATAATAAGGGGACAAGGTCAGCTCTGTTGCGGGTTGTAATCCCTCCGTTAGACCGCACAGCAATATATTTCTTTAGGAACTTGTCAGGCACATACATACGCACGGGACATATACTCTATCGTATACACGTTACTCTATCAACAATGAGGTTTTCTACTTACAGTTCCCTCGTCGCGAACCTATTCGCCTCCGCTGCCTTTGCAGCATTCGACCAGAACCGCGGAGGCGCCGTTCTCAAAGCTCCCGAGGGACAATCCTTTACCTCTATCACTGGAACCTTCACTGTACCTAACCTAAGCGGAACCAACAAATTTTCGATATGGGTTGCTATCGGAGACACTCTCGAACAAGACGTTGTACTCAAGGGTGGTGTTAATTATTCTAACGGTCTAACATCCTTCGCCGCCTGGTACCCAGACAACGAGACTGACATCACGAGTGCGGTGCCTGTAAGTGCTGGGGATTCGATTACTGTCACGGTTTCTATCTCGGATCCGGACAAGTCTACGGGTACTGTCGTCGTCGAGAACACAACTCAAAACAAGAAGTCGACTCAGACGTTGCCTATCCCCACCAAAGTAGAAGACCCAAGCGCACTGACAGCACTCGCCGCCGACTGGTTTGTCCAGGCCTACCAAGAGGCTGGAGAGCTAGTCCGTGTACCACGTTTCGATACAGTCACTTTCACCAAGAGCAGCGCGACCCTCGCGAACGGAACCACGGTCGGACCTACAGGAGCTGGAACCTTTGAGATTCAGGGTACTAGCGGGCAGATCTACTCCAAAACGACGGTTTCGGCTGATGGCATCACGATTCGCCAACAGCAGCAGTAAGCGGGCCCCCTATACTTGCTCATTTAAGGGGATGCCGAAAATACGAAATATTTATGATAGCTTATAATGTAGTTATATTCTCTAGAATTCAATTTAAGCTATATATACTCTCTAAATAAGAATTTTCCAGGTGAAATTTTAACGAGAAGCCCAAACCTGTGTCGAAGTTGTACAAACTACTCGTGCGTGCTGTAACGATGAGGTCAAACCCACATCTCCTGACGTTGAACTCATGCGGCAGCAATATATTAACAATAGGCATCTAGATCCAGCATAGACCAACGGCTATTTCAAAAAAAAAAAAACCACGCGCCCAGTATTGCCACCTTGACATGGGTATATCTAGCCTCCAACGACAACCGGGTTAAGAAATGCCAAGGCGCTCCGGAGGATAAAAGGGATGAGGAGGAAAAAGAAAAAGAGATAGACAGACGTCATTTTACCCCAATTTCTGACCGATTAGTTGTGAGCTCGGGTAGATGGTGCCGAGAGGATAGTCCCGAATGTGCGAGTGAGGTGAGCGATATGAAGGAGACACGTACATGCCGGGTAATATAAAGTAATACATATTTATACCGGTGAATGGACGCTAAGTCCCACACGTATAAATTTCAGTTGCAGTTTGTACCTCGTTGGGTAGGGCCATTAATACTCTTTGTATCTTAAGTGCCCACTATATATTCCCGCATATAATTTTACAAACTCCTCTGTAGAAGGTATTATGACAACTAACATCATCATACCGAAGTGTGTGCTTTGTCATGTTGTTAAGAGTACCTACCTACTTATGATAGTTAGATCATATTTCATACTTGGTCACTGGTCGAGTAAAATAAAATTCCGTAAGAAGTCGCTAATTATCGTCGAACTACTTTGCTGTTATAAAAAGGGGGATAAACTATAAGGAATGTGAGAGTGGGTATGAATGTATTCGATATATCGATTTCGTTTTCATGCCTCAAGACACTAGGGCTGAATTATGAGAATTGATAGTTACTTTTTCTTCGGAGAGCGCTGTTAACCAAAGATGACATTCTCGAATGATTAGAGTGTAGTAACACATCACTTACTATATTAACTTGTCCAAGCACTCTGTGTTATGTTACGACCCTAATTCTGGTCACGACAACCCCATGAAACCGACAAGGAGAGACCTTAACCATATAGAAGAGGGCGGAACTGCTTCACCTGTAAAACTACGACTGATCATTTACGTTTACTAACACTCTACTTAGCTTATTGTCTAAACCATCAACACCAGTCATTTTACTCTGGAACTTGAACGGATAGTTTAACTGATTTGCTTCAGTATTAAAAGTAACTAATGATTTATCTCTTGGATATCTGGGGTTGGTAATCCAACCAACCAAGTAAGTAGCCCCAATCCCCCACATAAAGCCAGTGTTCGTCAATCATGCCTCATTTCTCATCCGCTTAAAACACTGCTCCCACAAGATACAACGAGCAAGGATTGGAACCAGCCAAACCTGCTCACCCAAAGAACTAGAACTCAATAAGAATTAATTAACAGCCACCATACCGGACACCTCTCTTTCCGAGCTCCTTTCTGCCTACGGGCTCCTCTGGGAAGACCCACCCCCTGGCGCGTTTCGCTTCGCGCTTCTCTGCGAGCTGTGGTTGGGGCATCCAGTCGTCTCTTGGAAGCGCCTTTCTTCTCGTCCCCTCAGCAGGAGCTCCTATTTCCGCCTTCCATGTGACTTGACCGTTAAAACCTAGGCCATGGGAATTGACGCCATCATCACTAGCCATGATGCACAGACCCCAAAGTGCAAGACAAGCAGTTAGGGGTATTTCATCACTCTCATCGGAAACTGAGTCGGCTGTCGCAGCAAGCTGGACGCTACTGACTTCTAGGTAACCAAAATGTGGGGTACCCTCAGCACCGTTACGGCAGACAACAAGCTCGATTTCAGTTAGGATAAAACCGTAACGTGTACCGTGCTCGCGCATCACATGGTGTAAGTGAGCTAGGCCTCGTAGGTACTCGACGCGCTTAATGTTGCCCTCAACACGCATACCCGTGTTGAAGCGGTCGAAAGATTTAACTAGTCCAACCACACGAGCTGTAGGCTTGCCACCGAAGATTGCTGCTGCGGTAGAAGACTCGCCAGCGATGTTACCCACGAAGACGTGGTCATTCGATGAAGTTGTGGTAGCCTTGGTCGAAGGAACAGAGAGCTGGACAGGTCGCTGAGAAGAAAGCCCAAGAGCCGAGTTAAGCTTAGGGATGTAGTAAGAGGCGTAGATTGCATGGAGTGCGGTCTCTGTCTCGGGGTGGCGTGCACCAGTGGGGGGCTGTTGGAGAAGCGGCTGCGGGACTGGACAGTTTAAGAGACCAGATGCTCCGGGAAGGGAGAGTATTGTGCTTAAGTTAAAGCTGGACCATGATCGGACTTGGCGAACGTCCCACCAGAAATGCTTGGTATGAGGGTCGCGCATTGGGAATGAGATGGTGCGAACCAGAGACGGAGCAGGATTGGATGTTGTGAGGTAGTTCATGAGAGTGGTAGATGGGGTCGGATCAGGTGTGGGGGTGGAAGAGAGGCTTAATGGAGAAGGGGCGCGAGGCGCATAACTGTAGAAGAACTGATCGTTCTGGGGCTGGGGAACAGCTGGAACGTATGATGGCATCTGTCGATAAGTAGGAAAGCCATACTTCTCAAGCGTTGCACCATCGAGGCTGACAGCTGAGGCGCGGCGGGGCTGGTTCATGCTATCCTGAGGGAAGGTGATGGGAGAGCATAGAAGTGATTGAGACATAGTATTTTGTTCATCCTGGGGCGTAAAGAATGCGTTTGAGAAGTGGTTTAAAGTCTCCGGGTTAGTATAGCTCCGGGTATGCGAAGGGCGGAAGCTTGGGCGGCGGCTAGGCTTTGGGGTGGGAGTAGGCGATGTCCTGACACGCTTGGCGGGCGAGTCAATGGCCTGGTCCTGAGAGCGGATCTTGGGTAGCAGAATGGGGCCATGTTGTCGGATTGGCGGTGGTGAGCGGGACGGTGTGGTGACCCGTGTGCTAACCGAGTCGGAGGGCGACGTCTCGGTAGTAGAACAAAAAGATCCATACGAGCTTGAGCGAGCATGTCCGGGATGATAAGAAAATTCAAGTAAAGATGGTTCAAAAGTGAAGCTCGGTGGTGTGACGGGCTCGCATGAAGGGAATGTGAAGTCAAAAGACATGTCTCCTGCCAGACTATGGAAAGGGGATATTAGTTATTACGTCTCTATAATAATAGGAGCAGAGGCCTTGAGACTCACGTAGCCATGTCGATATATGGATTTGGGTGTTCTTGTCTGCTTAGACAAGAACTAGACGATTATAGATTATAAAGTGAAGGTGAGTAGGAGAGCCGGCTCCTTAGTATTTGGTGGAGGGCAAAAGCACTGATGTGAATGGAGGTTTGATGCTGTGAAGCTAAGAGAGGAAATTCAGGTCGTGAAGCCAGCGGCCTGCCTCGAAATAAAAGATCTAATAAATAAGGATGAAAAAGAAAAGCTGATCCTATACGATCAGAGAGTTGATACTGAAGAACTAGAACAGAAGAGAGACGGAAGGAGGAGGAGGACCGGTCCTCTTATCCTCGAGATGGATACGGCCGGGCCACGATGAACCGGGATGCCAATCAGCTCGGCGGAACCAGCCTTGGGCTAAACGATGATGTATTTTCTAAATGCAAGAATGGCCAACCTGAAACATGGAGAAGGAGAATATAATTCGGATGTAAGTAGCGCAGTATGTAGGAAACCGAACGGTCTGGTCGGCCCATAGTAAGGGTCTTAGTAGGTTGGTAGGTTGGATGAATGGGCTGCGTGTAAGTGGATTTGGATTTGGCTCGAGGTGAAGTTGGGCCGGTACCTACGTACCGAAAATAGAGTAGCAAAGTGGGTATACTTAACGGGTGGGTCCCGAGTAGTCCGCCCCGCCATCTTTGTACCGCTGTGCAGCGCAACGCAGCGCGTACAGGCTCGGGCTTAGCACCACCACCAATTTCTCTTAGCGCAGAGTAATAAAACAGTACATTATACCGTAAAAAGGTAAACCAACTTACACGTTACGATCAGTTTAGATCAGCGTAGAACGGGCGGCTAAGCACAGTGCATTTATTATATTTTAACCTTATTTATCCCTTGTTAAAAAAAAAAGCCAAGAGCTCATCGTGGCTACAGAAAATAGGCCTATCAGATCTGACAGCCCGGGATCCCTCTGCGGACCGTAGATCCTCAACGATGAGTGGACAAAACTATTCTCTTTTTTTTTGCTCCTCTATATACATATTACCACCTCATATAGCATTATAGTTCAGTCGGTGCAACGTTCCACATTGAGATGTTCCCATTGCCCATTGCCCATTTGCGTAGATAACCTACCTTAGGTACCTAACTTAGGTAGGTATGGATAGAATGTGGGAATTCGTTTTTATGTTCTCGTAGTTTTCGTAGCCTAGTCAGTTGGATGCAAGGTCATATCAGAACAAACTAAGAACAAACTATTCCGAATCCCGACATTATGACTCATATCAGAAATAAACACATGTCCCATCGTGCATTAGTTCAACTTGTAGTCCTTCGATTGTGTGGAGCAAGATGCATCCCCGGGAACAATCTCTGCATGTACCTGCAAGACGTTAGAACGCGTCTGCAATCTATCATTCGACGCGTGGAGGGCGTCATGATCGTGAATGGACGTGGTTGTACGTCTACTGCTACATACGACCGTGTCTTTTACGTTGCTATGCGTTGCTATAGCGAACAATATCACAACACACAACCACTTGTTTCTTGCCCTGATACTCTTTACTTAGCTATAGAGCTCGGTTCTAAGATTCTACTTATTTCCACGACATCCTCGTGATGCATACACTTAGGCTTGCTGTCATTAGACAATTATACCAATAGAGGACATTCTCAATGCGATACGGCAAAAAGAGGCAGCGCGCATGAATTTCTGCTACCCAATATCACAACCGCGCACTCCGCCACAGGAACGTTGAAGATCCGAACTCCTCTTTTCTTCTTTAGCAATAGATAGTCGCAAGTAATACTACATGTATACCATGTAATAGATCTGATCATGTGTAATATTAGTATTCCCACTCCGCGCTTGCGCTTGATTGACGAGATAGACATCTTTTTACCGCTCGCTAATATTAAATTGCCGATAACCAAAAATAGTAGTAAAAGTAAAATGAAGCATTGACTGAAGAAGATTGATTAGCGATCTTATCTTCTTTTTTTTTTAGTGGGAGTGCGGGCGGCTATCGATGGTTGGGCGGCAATTAGAGATTATTGTGGAGTTTTATTTCAAAGGTGAACCGAAGTAGCATATGGTGACTATGGGAGCATGCATATTTTTGTCTCTCTTCAGTATAATAGGTACCTAAGTTGTGTAATAGTCGGGTGTGTGTATACCTGTGTACCTATATAAATCTGCAAACCTGTAAATCAAAACTTTAATGACCAGAGATAAGGCAAGGCGACAAGACCGCCGAATATGGTCCTATTGGTCTTAATATACTAGGGTTAAGTAGACTTAATAGGTTCTATTAATCAAATAAGACTACCAGTTATTAGATGAAGAAGCACTACATCAATTGAAACAGCAGCTTCAAGAAGTGTTCCAGAACTTTTGTGAAATCGTATAGAATGATTATTACTGCTTCAGCGGCTATAAGCACTGCCAAGTCACCATCGTGTAAGTCTTCATACGTATGATTATCCTCCTTCCTTATGCCTTTATGGTTTGCCTTAAGAGATAAGGTCTTTTTATTGATTATTTCATCTAATTCCTTGACGAGGATCTTCGACGTCCGAGCAAAGCCGTAAGCGCCAGGGCAATGGAATAAAGCGCGCCTAAACATCATCCGACATCGTCAGGCGTCAAGGTAAGGGTTAGGTACAAAGTTACACGAGTAAATTCTATTGCACAGCCCCTCCCCGCCCGGCGCGTAAAATGCCACTGCCACGGGCTGCCACAAAATAGTAAGAATGGAATAGGAAGTTACCTATCCCTTCCACCCCAAAGAAAAGTCCGGTCGCCCACGCCCAAAGCCACGGCCCCGCCCCCGCGACTCTCGGCTCCAAAAGAAGAATGGCGCGCAGTAAAACCTTCTCAATTCGCGGGTCACCAACGCGCTCGTGTTCATTGTAACTAAACTTATAGTTACAACCAATCGGCTCACGACATGTTGTTACCCCACGAGAAGTACCTTCTCAACCGCGTCGAAGATGGTCTATTGGCTAGAATTTAAAGAAACCATACCAAACGGCAGACTAGAAGAACAAACCCAGAAAAAAAATGTTTCGTTTCAAGTCTTTTCCCTTTCAGGCTTTTGTTTCAGATCTACACTACCGGGACCATTCTCGTTCGCTCATAGCTCCCCTCCTAGGTGTTGTTCACCGTCTAGTTTATCTGTATATGCACGTCTGAGTGAGTGAGTCATCTTTCCTAGCTCTCACATGCAGATGCATCCATATGTCTGTCTAAATTTCTGCACGATAATCATGATCGTTGTATGATTATGACTCTACATGCTTGGCTGGATATGTTAGGTATCGATATATTGAGAAAATGCTGATCTAGTAAAATCCATGATGCTTGCGGGACGACGATCCGTCTCTGATCCCCAAGGTAAGTGAAAAATCAAGTGGCTGGGAATGACCTGTCTTCGCGACCTTTACATAAGATGTGCTTGTCTTAGATCTTGAGTCTAGCTTATTCAAGTTGTGATTTTACCGACCCTTTGGTACTTGTTAGACATTCGGAAACGTTAATAAGGCCACGAGAAATCCTGCTTTTTGATCAATTGGTTTATTCGGCACAAGATGTAGGGATATAGTAAATATGGTATAGGTGGAAGTCCCCGAGACCACCGTTCCTTACATCTACGATTATATTAGCATGTAGAATACAACAATGCTAAACTTTGTTTCGTTTCCGTGGTCGTTATTCTGCGGCCCGTCTCTAGATTTTTCTGCTTCTCTTGGCCTGCGTCTTAGACATGTATAAGGGAGGGGAGGTGCGCGCTGTCTGGCCATCGACTCGGCCCAGGCGAAGCGCTCATCGATGATCCGGTCCGTTTCAAGTAGCACGGCCACCTCCAAGTAGCTCAAATCAAGTTTTAAATCGTCGTAAGCTGTATATAATATGACAATAGACTGCCTCCCTTTTTCTTGTACTCTCGGTCTACTCTGCCGAGTACGATTGATATACCGATATTAGGGTTGGCTTGAAGTATGAGAACGGGTACATGAGAATCCGAATGGCACACGGGCATGGCCAATGTGGCTATGATAGTTGCATTAAGTTCTTGCTTGCTATTCAACGGCCACCCATCTAAGAGGACCCGGATTAACACCTCAGATCGTTGCCAAATACCTAGTCTAATCTATCCACGAACGCCTCGCTCATTGTACTAGATTCGCTGCCTCCGACATCATCGTCAACGCCATTTTCCATTACCGCGGTATCATTGGGATCAATTCCTGACTCATGAGCTTCATTGTTAAAAGCCGATCCTAAATCTTGCAGTTTCCGCTGCGCTCTACGAATACCCTGTAGTCGCTCACGCTCCAAGATGAGCATACCTCTAGCGAACTCCTTTATGGCTCTACGGCCCATACGCTCATGCATATCCTCCCATCCCGCTAGTTCACTTGCTACTGTCTGTTGTGTGTATCGAAGCTCCTTGCTTAGGACGTCTACCTCTGTCTGAGCACGCCTTGCTTTTTCTTCCCTTTCCTCATTGAGACGCTGGCGGGTTTCATCAAGTAGCCCGAGTGGCCATCTTGTTGAGCGCGAAACGGAACTATAGTTACGTTCTATCGCCTTACGAGAAGATACTATTTGGGTTACAAGCTGTAATGGCCGGGATAATGACGATAGCATGGCTTGTATAGTAGATTGAAGAGCTGAAAAGGAACTGTGAAATGGATATGACGGATTAGATTGCGGGGGAACAAGCGCTCGAACATAAGCGTCAAACGCAGAGATGTGCGTTTGAGGTAGAAATGCAAGATTATTAACGTCTCGTGAAACTAAACTCGCTGCATCATAGAAATCTGTAAACATATTAGTACTAGGTAATAAATACGAAAGTGTTATTAATACCATTTGTGACGACGCCGATAGCATTGGTCCTTCGCGCAACACTCTTAGTCGAATAATTAACACTGCGGACCATATCTCGGGCGTGTTCCACAAATTGTTCTACTTCGCGAATATCTTCTAGAGGTTCCAACTCATCTCGCACTTTTTCGGCTCTCGTCTCAGCTTTTAGTCTGCTGCGTTGTTCCATCATGTCGGCTTGTAAATCGGGCACTAAAAAGAATTCCCACAACATCTCATGTGTCGCAAAGGTAGGATGAGCTAAAAGTATCTTAAGAAACGAATCAGTTCGTATTTGTATGTCCTTCAGGACGGCCCTCGAAGGCTTCGAAGGAATCTGGAATGGTGACCGTTGGCTTGTGACTTTCGGGATCCACGACGCTGGATTCTCGATAGATAGCAAGTGGGCTAGACGCTCAAAATCTGTAAAAGAGCGACGGCATGTAGTGACCGTGTAACTATCGTCATCTGCAGGAGCTCCCGACTTGAGAACTAGCCGAATAGTAGCGTCTTCCACGAAGAAGGATCTAACAACGCCAGTGATACGTCCGTCATCAGCAGGCGGCATGGTAAAGAGTGTGAGGTCGTCGATTCTATTCCGAACGTCGTCATCCTTCGCCAGTTCTACCGCAGTAAGCCCACGTAGCTCCTTCGCGGCTACGTCCACCCTTGGATCCGAGTACATCACCCTTACCATCTCAAAGCGACCGTATTTACTAGCTACCATTAGCGCAGTGAATTTCCTATCGTTTGTAGCGTTGACATCGATGTCGCACTGCATAAGGATTTTCACTGCTAGTTGGTGGTCATTGATGATATGCAAGAGAGTATTCCCTTTTGAATCAACATGCTCGTCTATGTGGAGTGGTTGGCCATCGCCCTGTGCACCGGTCGCTGCTTCGAGACCGGCCTCGACCATATCATGGTAATTTTGGTGGTCGTACGACCGACAGAGCGCGAACAATGGTGTTTGGCCATTTCTATCCTTTTGTCGCCAAGGGAGTAACTTACCAATGCGGCCGATTAGAGATGGTGCGTGGAATAGGTAGTGTGCGACGCTGCGACCCCGAGTGTCTTGCAGGGATAAGTAATTCCGAATCTGCGGCTCAGAAGCTGATGCTATCACAAAGTCTAGGATAACATCAATTAACTCGGTGTGGCCCAGCTGAACAGCAGCGCTTAGAAGATTGGTGCCTTCGTTATTAGAGTCGTCCAAAAGGGTGCTGGGTGGGAAATAATCTTCGAGTGAGAGCAGGTATCTGAGTACCTCTGGCTGACCATTTTGGACCGCCATCATTAGAATAGATTCCCCAAGAGAATCTTCAGTTTGACAGAGCCGTTCAATTGACGTATCGCCTTCAAGGCCACTTCCTAGAGTAATAATACTACCTGCCCTAGAATGATACGAAAACTCTGAGCCGCTTGACATGCTCCTAGTGTCCATGGCAACTCTCTTGATTTTCTTCATGGGGGGCATTGGAGAATCTTCTAGGGTCTGGTTCTGAAATGGAAATACATGGCTCAGCCCCGACCCACGGGAATATGAGTCGGATGGTGTAAATGCTGTTGAAGATCTCCTGGAGGAGCCATTAACCATACTCCAGCTGATTGATGGCGAACGACTCGAAACTGGAGACGCTGAGGGTTCTTCTTCGTCAGCATCGAAACTGATAGCATCTGGATCTGGATCCATCATCTTTTTGAGCTCATTCATATCGCCTTTCGCGGCTGCGTCCCAGAGACCTTTGTTCCGGCGACTCGCTCTTCGTAGGCTACTCGAGTCCGTGGAGAGGTATGAGAGTACTCCTTCGAATGTACTAATGGCATAACCTAACTCGCCACTATCTACATCATCAATGAAGACGAAGTGTTTTATATAAAGTAACCTGGCCTGAAGGTATTTTACACCGGCCCGGATCACAACGAAGAGGAGCAGTGACACTAGAGTATCAGCGTTGACAGTGAGAGTGGACTTTTCTGTCGTACTAGATCCGGCGTTTGGTTTGGATTGTTCGGTCAATTGTGCTGCGGCTTTCATTGTCGACAACAAGATTTCCATCATCTCCTGTGGACACATCGCTGAGGACATCCTGCGAAATTCTTCGACGGCGTGGCTGAGTCTAACCGTAAGCCCATGTTTCGCTCTAGGACCACCTTCAATAAAGATTCCCAGCTGCGAAATATCGATAAATTCCATTTGTCGAATTTTTGCTTCAAGCTCGAGGTCCTCTGGTCGTCGCATCGCAGCAAGTCGAGGCCATATAAGATTATGAACATTCTCAGCCACGTACCGTTCTATTAGCCGTTCAACCACTGGGCCAGTAAGATCGGTTGTCGCCCCAAGCATAGAAAGCTGCTGCTTGTCAACACTTTGAAATAGATCGATAGCACTCGTGACTGCCGTCTCAAGTGAAGCTCTCATAACATCCTCATCATCTTCGGTGTAGAAACTCTCAGTTGTTCGGGTACTTTCGTCGTCTTCTACGCTAGTTCTTCGTACAGATAAGCTATTTGAGCGCACCTTCTTCATAGCTGTCGCTATAGGTCCGTCTGGGATAGGATCAGGAATGTGTGTTGCAGACGGCGGAGGGGGCAGCGGTCTCTCGAAAATTGTCGTAAATTCTCGGAATAACTTTTCTAACCCAGGATGCATCTGCCTTGCAATCATTGGGAAATGGTTGAGAAGATCATGAAAACTCTTTATATCCTTCTTCCGCGGGGTACTCGGTTCGCCACTTTCAACAGCAGCAGCTCGCTTGGTCTCTGCGAGTTTAGCTTTTGCCATGCCTTCTATGAAAATAGCACGCGGCACCTCCTTATCTACCCAGATGCCGACCAAAGGTCGCGAGATATAATATATTAACCATTGCCGCGGCTCGATGCTGTCGGCATACCAGAGAGTGTCGTTTAGTAATTGTGCTTGGGAAAGTGTTTTGAACCCTGTCAAATTGACAATTAGATAGATGATTAGGAAGAGCCAGAGTGTCGCTATCTCAAGTTTCACTTACCCTTGTTGCTATAAATAAAAGCATCTTTAACGACAACGCTACGCCCATTCAAGGTTGAGTATTGTCTGGCCTTGCCCCTCTGCTCGCGCAAGTTTCCGACGGAGTCCTTCCCTCCCGCAGCGGTGGCCGGACTGGGAATGCGAAGTACATGGCTTCCCAGAAAATCTTCAGACCCAACAATGTCTGACAGAGATAGGCCGCTTTCGGTTTCGCGGGAGGTAAGGAAGAATTCGGTTGTCGGGACTAGGAGAATGTGGTGATGAACGGGAGTGCACTGGGTGACAATAGGACTGCCGGGCTTGAAGAAGGCGGCTAGGAAGGGATTCAGGGGTTGCATTCAAGCAATCGTCTCGTCCACCGGAATCTCTCAATCATATCTTCTTCCCAGCTTCGCGCCAGGAGTTAAGTAAGTACCTGATAAATTAGTTGGTGTGAAATATGAGGGGCTGCGAAGTTGATTCTAGTCTAGCGCAAGGGGCTTTTAACTTATGAAGCGGGCAAGAGACTCGAAATTATATCTATGATGCTGAAGGTAAAATCGACTCCGGTTCGAACTGGCGCGTTATAATTTCAGAAAAAAAAAAGATTTATAAAGGTAAGATAGTCCATAGAGATTGATGTTGCGCAATAAGGGATGACGACAAGCGCAAGGTAGGCTGGTAAGCTTCATATGATCCCTGGCACAAGCAGACAAGGTCGTTGCGACTTGATATACAAGACATAACAGGCCTGGGCTGGGAGGTACCGTACCTACCGTACCTACCTAAGGCAAGATCACCGCCTATCTTGTCATTTTAGGTAGGTAGATTTAAGTTTTACCGACCTTTAGCCGCTTATTTCACTTGGTATCTAATCATAGTTGGTGTCACCTACTGTCACCTATTTACAGCTGGCATAAAGCAAAGCTTCCATAACCCATTTTCATAGCCGCATGCATCAAGGTATTCTACATATTGACATAATCCATTGTTCCTTTCTATTTAGCACCTAGGTTAGGTACCTAAGGTATAAGGTCATTTTGTTACACCTAGTAACAGAAAAGTAGGTCTCACTACTTCGCTCTCTCTTGTAGGAAACCATTTTAATTCTTCTTCCGTTGGACACCATTCTATAAAATCCGTGAGCTGAAGATGATTTCTCAGCATGATATTAATATAGGTTCCGATCGTTCTATGCTGCTTCTGAATCCCTGGCGCCAACCAATTAGTCGTTCTCAATCCTTCTTTCTGATAGTCATCTAATGGCCATGACCTGCTACCTATCTCTTCATCCACTATAAATCTAGGTCTTGACGGTGTTGTATATATCAGATGCTCAATAGAATATACTAAGCGTCCTGATGACTTCAGTCCGATGCCTATCTCTTTAATCAAACCAGCAATGTTCACGATATAGTGAAAAGCCAGCGAGCTAAAGACGATATCGTATTGACCTTCCGCCAATTTTAGTTCTTCCAAATTGGCCCTTTCATATTGGATCTTGTCGTCGCTAGTCATTTCTCGAGCTCTTTCAAGCATCTTCTCGGAGATATCAATCGCGCGAACAAATTCTGCGCCGTTCTCTCTCGCGAACCGAGAGAACCAACCAAACCCACAGCCTAGGTCAGCACGGTGAGACCATTAAGATTTGGAAGCATTGATTTTAGTTGCGGCCATTCCGGTGCACCTTGAAGCCCCTTAACTTGGCGGTCTAACTTGATATAGTTCTCGAAGAAATCTTGTCGGTCGTAAACGTTTTGAGGCATTTTAACCAGTATCTGTCATTTGCCTTGATTGTATTTATTTGGTTCGATCTTACTCCTCTTTGACGTGTGGCGCGTTAATATCGCGCTGTGTGTAAGCATCCCACACGTGTAAACATTAACCAAGCATTGTGAAGGGCGTAGCTAATGGTATCCTATATAAGCATTAACAACCAGCTTAGAATGTTCTTTAATTGATGACTTGGTTAAATATCGTGAGACAGGTGGTGTATATATGGCCTGCAATTCGCAGCTCCGCCAAACTCCCCGCGATGCAAGTTTGAGTCATCACCCATAACCAAATGCATACTCCAAATTCTTGCATAGTAGTCTAGTCTTTTCTTTTAGGAGCTCACTGTATTTGGTCGGTTTAAGCAGCCTATAATCTGTAGCCAATACTCATCTAAGCTCTCCTTTTCCTAAATAAGCCACCAAACCAGCACATTATACCCACCCACTTCTTACTCCTAGGTCCTAACCCTTCAACCATATCGTCTTCCACCGCCCTCTCTCGGATCCCTTCTCCTTCTCCTTCACCAATTCTTTCAACATCAAATCCATATTTATTCGCTTCGGCTATTACATCAGCTATAACATGCGTATAGCTTGTCGGCCGAATCTTCTCGCCCGTATTAGCGTCCACGAACCCGGCTTGGCTAATCGCACCCATTTGTTCGTGCATATTGGTTAGTAGGAGTACACCCCCCGGCTTCAAGATTTGCGAGACCTGAGAGAAGAATTTTGGCAAAGGTATGTGCTCAATAACCAGGGTAGATATCACTCCGTCTGCTTGCTGTGCGACAACTGGGGGAGATGACGCAGTTAGCATATCGAACACTTCGAGATGCAGCTTCGGGCCCGTCCGCGATAGGCTATTAATTGATATATCAACAGCATCACCCTCCTTCTGTAATCGTGATCTTGCGACATCAAGCATGCCTCTGCTAGAGTCTAGTGCGATAACCTCTGCAACGTTAGGGGCATCGAGAAGCAACATAGTGTTTCGGCCCGTGCCACAGCCAAGATCGACAACACGCCATGGTCTGGGGGATATGATAGATAGCAGGAACTTTGGGAACAGCATCTTAAGCTCTATAGTATCTAGCGCCTGTAAGAAATTGCCATCTGTGTCGTAAACTATCGCCCATCGGTCGTAAGCTTCATTTGTGGGTAGGTAGCGGACAGACTGAGAAGGTAGATTATGAGTAAATGGCATTATTGCTATGGAAAGTTTTGGTAGTAAATAAGCGGATATATAGGTAAGCTTCGAGATTATACACAAGAAAGTTTCAAGGGTTTATTAGATTTATAGATTCTACTAATTCGTAGCTCATTCACCGATGAGTCATTGGCTTTCTTAATCAAGGGGTACACACATTTACTTATTCATAAAAGTAATAAAAGTTACTTCCTTAATAAATAGCAATCAACTCGGGCTAAGTAGTATTATATAGAATGCCTAGTATAGGAATTTATCATAATATCATTAACAGCTGCGAGCCAGCTGGTCTATATATGCCTTCTCTTTCCTGGGCCATATCGTTAGGATAGATACCAATATAGGTAACTATTAATTAAATGCCTAGGTATCTACCTTGGGTAGGTATGTAACTCGTATACGCCAGTTGCCCCCGCCCCCCTTTTTCTTTTCTCTTTTTTGGTAAAATCTTATTGGGGTTCCCTAAGTTGTTTTCATCGCTCTAAATAACCTCCATACGGGTGTGTATTTAGTGTTATACTATAATCTGCATGACATTTCCTATCGATTATATAATCATGTAAAAAAAAAAAAAAGACTAACCACTATTATTTGCTCTCCCAATAAAAGGTCAATTCAATGGGCATCAACGCATCATACTTACAGTTACAGTTGCATACCATATTTTATCACTGACCATAAGTTCCATCCTTCTCGAATAACTATGGCGAGTAACGGTGCGCTAGTATGGATTGACTGCGAGGTAATAAGTTCTATACGTTTCTCGGTACACAAATTTATGATGATGAATCTAATATATTAAGGGCTAGATGACGGGTCTTAACCCTGATTGTGAGGAAATCATCGAGATCTTCTGTATTATCACGTCGGGTACGCTAGATGTCTTAGATGATAATGGTTGGGGAACTGTCATCCACCAGTCACAGGAGAGAATGGACAAGATGGACGAATGGTGTACCCGGACGCATGGGAATAGCGGCTTGACAGCTGCCGTGGTGTCTTCCAAGGTGACCCCTGAACAAGCAGCAGATGAATTGCTAGCATACATCAAGAAATATGTTCCGGAGAGAGGCGCAGTGCTAGCCGGCAACAGTGTACACGCAGACCGAGCATTCCTTCGAAAAGAACCGTACAAGAAAGTAGTCAGTTACCTACATCACCGAATCCTGGACGTCAGCACTCTAAAGGAGGCCGCGCGGCGATGGTGTCCCAGAAGCGTCATAAAGAATGCACCGGTCAAGCAAGGGCTGCACCAAGCGAAAGAGGATATCCTTGAGAGCATTGCTGAGGCTCAATATTACAAGGAGGTGATTTTTGACCACGCCGTTGAACACGCTGATAAAGCGAACGACAAGACAAGTCAAGGGTAGACTAGATTGGGTAGTTTAATAATGAGCGTATAACCCAAATCCCTTGAAATATTTTGATATTGTATCCAGTAGAATAGATGATATAATATTGAAATACCTCCAATTTTCATCCTGGCGTTCACGATAGCGTCTATCGCGGTATCGGAAAAGGCGGGATGCGGTCCATCATTAATGTAGATTCGACAATTCATATATGAAAAGACAGTATTGGGCAGAAATTCCCATGTGGCAAATTGTTTGGTTATCATCTTACTCAGCTACCTAAGATGTTTTTCATGGCAACGCAAAGTGACAGAGTTGATTAATTACATGTTGATTTGTTGATAGGGGGGTTAATGCACGATGTGGATCCTCATCAGCGCACTATGCCGCCGTTAGCACCTTTCTATTTATTTCTATAAGATGTTAAGCAAGTACTAGGTATGTAGAATATGAGGTCGGCCGTTTCCTTGGTGTTTATACTCCACCACACTTAATGAGATCACCTTACACTATTGGATCGTTTTATTCGTCGCAACCTTAAAGCAGTGATGTGTTGTGTAACTTTGTAACTTGTATGTACTATGTACTATGGTAATAGGGACGGGACTAAGGAGGGTAGCTTGTACGCTACCCCACTAACAACTTCGTCATATGTTTTTTTTATTGATATCCCCTCATCCCCTGAACAAGTTTCCATTTCATAACTTCACGAGTCTTTCCAAGCTCCCGTACGCAAGTGAACTGCTTGATTTTTATTCTGCACTTTTTTATAATCTCAATCCGAGATAGATATCATCATGAGCGTCAAAACTGTTGAGTTCAAGCCCTTTACTGATCAGAAACCTGGAACGTGCGTAAATAGCTCCATTCAAAGCTACCCCGCTGTCGCTATCATTAACATTACTAACACCCCTTTAGCTCAGGTCTTCGAAAAAAGGTCAAGGTTTTCCAAAAACCTCACTATAGCGAGTCCTTTATCGCTAGCATCCTCCTCTCTATCCCCGAAGGCGTCGAGGGTGAGTATCTTCAATATATACTAGACACATACAGCAACGCTTGCTGAAATTCAACATCTTAGGTTCATTCCTGGTTATCGGAGGTGATGGCAGATTCTGGAATCCCGAGGTTATCCAGCTAATTGCGAAGATCGGCGCCGGATACGGGGTTAAGAAGTTATTAATCGGCCAGAACGGCATTTTGTCTACTCCAGCTGCTAGTCATGTTATTCGAAAGCGAAAGGCTACGGGAGGCATTCTCTTGACTGCCAGTCACAACCCCGGTGGTAAGTCCATTATGTTCAATTACAATTACATCCCTAATCTGTGGCTTTCATAGGTCCCGACCAAGACTTCGGCATCAAGTACAACCTGTCCAATGGCGGTCCTGCCCCGGAAAGTGTAACGAACAAGATTTTCGAAGCCTCAAAAACCCTCACTTCCTACAAGGTTGCCGATATCCCCGACGTAGATATAACTACAATTGGGACTAAGACCTACGGTAGCCTAGAAATCGAAATCATCGACAGCACAGCAGACTATGTCCAGATGCTCAAGGACATCTTTGACTTCCCCCTAATCAAAAAGTTCTTCACCGAAAATCCCGACTTTAAGGTTCTCTTTGATGGTCTACACGGAGTTACAGGACCATATGGAAAAGCAATCTTTGAGCAGGAGTTAGGACTCTCCGACTCTACCCAAAACTGTGTTCCCAAACCTGATTTCAACGGTGGACACCCAGACCCCAACCTCACCTATGCTCATTCTCTAGTGGAAGTTGTCGATAAGAACTCTATCCCCTTCGGCGCAGCATCTGACGGTGATGGTGACCGAAACATGATCTATGGTGCCGGAGCGTTCGTATCGCCCGGTGATAGTCTGGCAATCATAGCCCACCATGCACAACTCATCCCCTACTTTAAGAAACAAGGTGTGTATGGACTAGCCCGCAGTATGCCAACGTCCGGGGCTGTCGATCTTGTTGCCAAAGCCCAAGGTCTAAACTCCTACGAGGTACCCACAGGTTGGAAATTCTTCTGTGCCCTTTTTGACGCAAAGAAGTTAAGCATCTGTGGCGAGGAGAGCTTTGGTACAGGTAGCAACCATGTTCGTGAGAAGGATGGACTATGGGCTGTCGTAGCATGGCTTAACATTATTGCCGGTTTAGGGGAGGCCCACCCCGAGACTAAGCCAAGCATCAAACAGATTCAGCAGGACTTCTGGAAGACATATGGCCGGGTGTTCTTTACCCGTTACGACTACGAGAACGTTGATTCTGACGGCGCAAACAAGGTTGTCAAAACACTACAAGACCTTGTCGCCGATCCTAACTTTAAGGGAAGCAAGATAGGAGGTACGTAACCACTAACCCACTGGGTGGCTATAAGCTAAGCTATTATACTAACATACGTTTAACAGAACGCACGGTAACTGACGCTGGTAACTTCTCCTATACTGACCTGGACGGTTCCGTCGCTTCAAACCAGGGTCTTTACGCCCGCTTCGATAGCGGCAGTCGGATTGTTGTGAGACTTTCAGGGACTGGATCATCCGGTGCGACCATCCGTCTATATATCGAGAAGTATAGCAACGACGCCTCAACTTATAGTCAAGACGCCCAGGACTTCCTCAAGGATGAAATCAAATTTGCCACAGATCTGTTGAAATTCAAGGAGTACGTGGGACGTGACGAGCCGGATGTGAAGACATAGACGAGACTACGGGCCAGCGAGGTTGAAAACTTGGGAGCAGGGAGTAAAATCGATTATAGGGGTAGTTATTGGAACTTATTTGCTAAAAAAAGAAATCACGTAGTTACCACTAGTATATGTTGAAGGAAATACGAACTTTTCAGAACAAGCTACTGGGTAATATAGCCGGGGAAATCACTCCAGTTTGATATAATGCGTTAGGAATTCGCTCAATCAGTAGGTGTACGGATGTCCTTTTCAAAAGTTTTTACCATATATAAGGAGACTATCCAACAAGCATATCTTATTTTACTTTAAAGGTTGAATGGAATAGTTCTTCAAAATAAACCATAAAATTTTATAAGGAGAAATTTTATAAAGACAAGAGGAGGGAGAATAAATATAGGTCTTTTTTAATGTCAATATTACTTTCAGCTGTAAAACATAGTATTAAACATAAGGGATAACGACATACACATCTTTGAATCATCTGACAGATGTAGCCAAATATCAGACAGCTGCCGACAATGTTGACTCCGGTTCCCTATGGCAGAAATTTTCGAAACGGACCTCCGTACTAACCGCCGAACCCGAAGTGGGGCCGACATTTAAGGCCGGCAGATGCCCTCCGGCCGAAAAAGCCCCACGTCCTTGCAAGCGGGATACCGGACGGCTTAAAGCAACCCTCCGACGTCTTATTAGCGGCCCGAATATGAACTTGTCCGGAAAGCCTAACGGAAACGGCTAAAATATTATCAATTGTGCATTTTGTCATAGAGCAAGGGGCGCCAGTGCGTTCATCTTGCTTAGCAGTCAGCTGTGCGTCTATATAAGGGATAAGCTCAAGCTCGTTGTACTTGTTCTTTCATTCTTTAACATAGCAAACCATGTTCCCACTAGATCTGGACATCATACATGATTAACCACACACAATACGTGATACTTTTTAAAACTAACTTTTCGAAATATTGGGAAACAAAGTATGGAAGGTATTTAGGTAGCTATTAATCTTTAAATACCTAGGTACCTAAGTAACTTTACGCACCACATGTCCTTAAGAAAATTTGCAAGAACTGGTCCATCTCCATCACCTCGGCAATAAATATATTAACTAATTGACTAACTAATGGGTAGGTACCTAGGTATATATGTATATTGCTCTTTTCTATTTTAAGAATGTACCTATTGGAGTCACTCTTCCTTTCGAAAGTAATTTAGTTTGTTATGACAGTGTCCCAGTCAGGTCTAGTAGAAACCCCCTAAGGGCATAAATAATACAAGTGATCCCCAGAAGTACCTGAATATTGATGATATCAAAGTAATAAAGTAGAGAGAAAGTGAGAATATCATGGCATTTTCCGCGGAGTCGGGAACTCCATATACGGGATAATATCCAAATCAACAATTGATCATTAGTAGCCTCATTTTTTTTTACAGGTGGCCGATAGGAATATAGATAATAAATTCCATTAATTCTGAGCTATTTCATCATTAGTTTAGTCAAAGGATACCACCAGAATTGGATGAGATGTATGTATTTATGCTGGTGTCGGGTTATCTGGTCATGTAGTAATTTAATCTGAGAGAAACGAAGGAAGAAAAGCCAACCTTGATATTATGTACAGTTTTAGATAGTACTTTCCGTTGCTTTTAAATGCTCCTTAATGACTGTAGAAGATTTACATTGTACTTAGAGGTACCTACATATGACTTTCCACCTTCTACTTCTTGATATCTTCTAGGTACCCAAACTATCAAGTACTTTCGTTACCTTAACTACCGCACCTACTTCCTCTGCCACCTGTGATCCCTTTTTCTGCCAATACAAACCGCTGAAATACAACTGACTGATTCTCGGAGGAAGGCAACAAGGTAGGCGGTGAAAACAAATGTGGTGGGACTTGCTAGAATTGCAATATTCCCCCTACTCCTTTCATTTTATCTACTTCCTTTCAACCAAACACTGTGCAACTGCCACCTTCGAAGCTGTCCTAGAGAGGCCTACCTTCCCCTAATTTCTCATTACCATACAAATAGGTGACATCCTGCCTCTCTTACTACATCAGTAGGTAAAAGCGCCTGTGAATGCCTTCTCAGAATTTCGCAAATACTGATTTTGGTCCTCAGGCAGTTCAATTTCTCAGAGTGAACATTACTCTCTATCCTTCCCAAACCATCCTTCTTTACTTTCCACCTCTTCATCGTCATCAACATTTCAACCTTGCACTCTAGGATAACTTCTCTGTCCTAAGGGCTAGTCAGTGCCTCGGCATTGTTGCTACGCACTACTCTTTTTACCCTATTGATATTTTTCCTTCCCTATTACTGCTAAGTGCGTCTTGGATGCGTATTTCGTCAACTGGATTCTTTTATACACTTGATCACGAGTCGGATAACACCAAGTTCGCGTTTGAGCATTACCTGTATCTACCAACCGCTCTTGAATAATTCCATCTCCCAAGGGGACGTTGGTTATTTATAATAGACAATCATTCCCGGACTTACAAGGACGAAATCGCAACCAAGATGTCTTCGGTATCGAAGGTCCACAATACCGACGCGATGGAAGACAAAAGCATATCAAGAGAACTCGAGCCGAGCGAGCTCAGAATTATTCGAACACTTCTCCGGATTACCGACAAGATACCCATTCTGGAAAAATTCCGCAGGTCGGTTGGTAAGTCTCCCAAGCATGAAATGTTGCTTTTGTCTTATTCCAGAGGTCAATGTAACTCTCGTTTACCTAATTACTGCTACTTTCATTATTAGCTTTTGTTATATTATCTAACATGGTATTAATTTGACTATAGAGGGCAAGGACAAAGTCCCCATCAATCGTGAAGACAGCTCCAACATACGGCTGTCGAAGTTTCGGAAAACCCCGGGAAAGATGTCCCGCTTGGAGACATTCCACATGTTCCCGAAACTCCCGCGGGAGTTGAGAGGTATGATCTGGCGTTACGCCGCGTGGGCGCAGGACCGATTCGTGGTATGTTCTGGAATTTATCTCTTCTTTTTTACTTATCTTCAGTGACAATTAGTTTCCTGGCTTGTTTGGGAATCCCTGCTCCCAAGACATATTAAACCTCCTAATACTCACCATTCTATAACAGTAATTGCTGACTATTGTTGCTATAGGAAACGTATCGCCTACGCAGAATCAAGTCAGCTCCCTGCCCTGTCTTGTTCCTTACTTGTAAGGAGGCTAAATTCTGGACGACCGATCTGTACAAGAGAGTCAAGAACGGGGACCTTATTTATGGAAGGATCATGCCGGCTTTTCGTATTGCAAGGGGACCAGTTATTTCGTTTGAAAACGATATCATGATGATCGGTGACTGGCACCTCTGGAATTCATCCTCGACCCCTTTCCCAAAAGAGGTGGCCATCCTTCAAGCAGAAGGGAAATCCCTTCGACCGATCCATAAACGCATCAAGGCTCGGAGCAAACGGGGCTTCCACCGAGTCGCAGTGCAGCGTCCGCACCACGTGCATCCCGAATTGATATTTTACAAGAATGCACGTAAACATTTAACTACATTCCAAATGTACGGCGGACACAATAACTGGGGTTGGACTTGGGCAAACGACATCGAAGAGGTATGGGCTATCGATGAAGTCCATAACTATATCGATGCTAGCTTCAAAGCACACGTCGCTCGTGTTTCCCCAACAGTCCCCGGCGATGACTGTTCCTGTTCCCTCTGCGAGCGGGCTGATGCTGCGACTGCGAAATGGATTCCTATTCCATATCACAAGCCTAGCGCTTGTGATATTGAGGAGCATGAGAGAATCTTTGAAACGATTGGCGCCTTCGATAATTGGGTAGCTAGTATGTGACATATAAACCAAATCCCAAAGTTTCTTATTGGAGATTACTAACATTTATTATAGTAGTAGCACAGGGGCTCGATAATTTGAACCTATGACCGGATCCAAGTTCCTTTAGAGGTAGCCACAATAGCAGACGAGTTAGATATATTCGTACTCATCGCACATTTATTGTCCTCGGATCTCATAGCTGCAGTCTTGCAGCTCTTCATCTGCAGTTTCTCGTTAAGAGTCACTCATTTACGACTCTAGCACGAGTTTTTCGTGGTTTCTTTTTCTACAATTTTTCATTCATACTTTCTCGGCAATGATTCTAGCACGTCTTGATTTCCGAAAAAAAAAAAAAAAAAAAAAAAAAAGACGACCCCAATTTTCCGGCACGGTTCTTCGTTCACTCTTTTCTATTGGAAGCTCCTATATGCAGTTTCTCACTCAGCCGCGGTTCATATTGAGGCCCGCTTACGCCCACGTTTTACGTTAATGGCCTACTTTACACCCATCACCTTCCTTGCAGCTTTTATATGCGATTCATCGTTTGCGACTCAGCATTCTATTCACCTCATCAACGGGCCAAATGTCTGGTTTGCCCTCTGACTTTGATCATTAACACCGATCCATGGACACTATTCAGGTACAACTCTACATATGCGCCCACAGTTATGACACTCAACTCCCATCCACACCTAGGATTTCTCGCCAATGGATTTTAGCCAACCTAAATTTCTTCAGGATGATTTACCTAGGAATTGGAAACACGCCTCTTTGTGACTTTTGTCTATGGCCTCATTTGCGGCATTTCAAAAGCCTCATTGGTGGTTTTATTTTCTGCCGTCTATTAGTAGACTCTTACGGCCTTGCCGATAAGTTCTCTTGACAACTACCTGCTCATCTTGAGCCATTAACAATGGCCTAGACACTCTAACTGAGCACCAGGTATACGATTGCATAATCGTCTTGTTATGGGACACGCCTATTCTTTATGGCCCCCCTTTTGCATGCCGCCGCCTTGGCTCTTTCTTTCATAGAAAGACTAATTTGCACCTTGTACACTAGTTACGGTTCTTAAACTTGAGACTGTAGTTGCTATATTTCTTATTGATTCACGAAGTTACTAAAAGGCTCGCCTTTCAACAGAAAAAAAAATTTCCCCTCCTCTCCTGTATGTAGGTCTCGATTCTAGCAAATAATAAGCATTGGCAAATTCCTAAAGTACCTAATGAATTGCATTAAAGGCAAAGCTGGTCGACCTTGATGATAAGATATTAATGCTAATTATACCGTGCCGTAAAGATCGTCAAATTGCACATCTAAAGTCTTTATTTGTATTTTCTGGATTTAGATGCTGCTAAAACAAACGATTTATTAAACACTTATTGTACACATCCGTGATAGGACGGATTGCTCTGAGCTGTTTGATTGGTTGTATCTAGGTTGGGGCTCTTGGAAATGGTAGCTGGGAATACGAAGTGGGGGATGCAGTATCTTATTCTAGACTCTCAAAAATCATCTACTAAGACTCGGTAGTTAAAGAGATGCCGCGTAACTGGTAGCATTAGTTAGAAAGCAAGGTAACACCGCATGAGTGAGAGACGTTGTGTATTACTAGGTCTAAAGCAAAATCTCTCATTTTCGGATCGTTATTCTGGAGTGATTCCACCGGGCCTTTTGGAAAAATGCTCCACCAACTTTTCATTGGCACATCTTAAGAACGTATGCAATCCGTAAGCACTTAAGTAAATGAGCAGCATATCATTACTTTTTACAACATATTGTGTTATCAGCCTTCTCAAAAATCCTAACTCTTCTACGTATGTACCTACGTCTGTATGGTTTGGTACCGTCATTTACATCTACGCTGACGAGAGCATGGCGTTCTTACTGGTTCATACTGGTTCAGCTGGTTGATCATTATGACGCGGGTGAAGAATACTAAGTACGTAAATGGCTAAATGGGAAACTCCCTAACATCTTTTCGTCCGGAGGTCTTTTCATCCGGAGGCCAAACAAAGGTTTTGCCAAGATGGGCCCAGCCTGTTGGTTCCCGAGCGTTGTGTGGCTTGGGAATCGGTTGTTACCGGGCTAGAATAAGTGATTGATGCTGCCCTAGGACTAAGAATAGATTACACTAACCTAGGAAGCTGGTATCGTTGATGTGCTGACCACCTTGTTCTAGTTGATAACCATCTTGTTCTACCTGTCAATCACCTTGTTAGGCTCTGTACGACCACAAGCCTCCCAACCTAATCGTTTTGCGCAGCAATAAATATGCGATCGGCTGAGCAGGCTTACGTGTAACGAAAAACTGAGGGAGATTATTCTTCTGATCATCAACTTACTCTTTTCATTATCGACTCAAGTTAACGACCAAAAATACGAAGCAGGAATATCGAATTTCGGGTTGCCCGCGATGGTGCTTAAAAAGAAAGAAGTATATACGGTGATAACACCCATTCCTAGCTTTATACCCCGCCAGCTAGCAATCGACATTCTCCACAGCCACGGCGAAGTCATAACACTAAATCCCCTCGTACTCGAGTACAAACAAATCAAGGCACCTCGCGATGCCGTGTCCGATGAGTATTTCTCAACATGGTATGAAATACACGAGCGAATTCAATATGTCCCTGGCATAGGAAGATTCGGGTCCGGGAAGATCACGTTTAACGGTTGCTTTCATGATCTTCCATGGGGTCTACAAACGCACATTTACGCGCCGATGGGTGTCGACCTCCGAAACAAGTATCGCATTGGAGGAAATCAACCCGGTGTTGAGCCTCCGGAACATCAAGAGATTGGACTTGCTGCGCTCGGTGCGCCAAAAGATGGACTTTACCTAAGAGAGGACATCGAGATACGATGTAATATTACCATGGTCGGTATAGTAAAGGCGCAGATGAAGACAGCTAGTAAAGAAATGATACAGAGAATCATCAAAAAGGCAGAATTACTTGATTCCGGAATATTGCAAGGAATGATCGAGGACGGGAAGATTAGAACGTTCAATCCTAATAATAGTACTTACACTGGTGGGCTGAGTGTAGGCGCAGGGATGAAATCACCACCACTATCACCAGCAAGTCCGTATCATCAACCACCAATGTCGCCATCGGTACCATATCAAGTCCCAAGGCCAATGTCGCTGCAACAAGGAAGCCGACCAGGGACAGCAAATTCAATGAGCTACCCAGCGCATTGGCAGGCTCAATTCCAGCAAGTCGATTCGAACGAACAGAAGATCCATCAGCAATACGCCGAGTTACCAAATAGCCAGAGCGCCATTATGGAATTACCTGGTGATTTCCACCATCCTCAGTCATCACCACACTTACAGCCACCTTACCCGTCACCAACATACCCGCACCAAGGCCGAAATTCCCCATCTTCAGTGCAATCCCACTCCCCTGAGCTCAAATCTTGGGGGTGGTCTCAAGGCCAACCGAGTCCGTCCTTACTTAGTTCTCGGCCTACCTCGTACTCTTCGGATACGGGTAGTGCCGGTTTCGCGTCTCCCGGACTAGATCACAAGGGATTCGCAGCTGAATTACCAACCCACCAAGAGACCACAGAGGAGCATCACCACCAGGGTACATATAAGAATAACCCGCAAACGAATCAAGGCTATGCGTATAATCCGGCAGATTATGCGCAAGTTCGGCATTAAATGAGGGAAGAGTGCAGAAAAGGAACGGGCTGTTAGACAGGACTGGCTGTGTATTATTTCGGGTTAGGTCTGGCGGTTTTATGATTCCCTCTATTTCCAAGACAGGTCGTTTGGCGTTATCTGTATGAAAGATTCCTCAAACATAAGGAATTCTAAGTTGGCGGCGGTTTTACGGTTTGGCAGTTTTACCACGCCTTGAGTGCGGAGATGCTTACATGAGGAAAATCTGTCTCTATTGAAATTGTGCTACGTTCATAGCCTCTATCTAATATACGTGATTGATTCTTTTAAATTGAAAAGCTTATTTATATGTAACTAATATAACGATGTTTGCATTTTGAAGTTGCGGCTATGAGGTACATCTATGTATGAGGTAACCCATGGAAATTACCTTAGGTACATGTAGTTTAGTGTAGAGTACAACAGTACTTAGTGGGGTACCGCCCGGCAGAAATACTTCACCGCCTGGCAGAATAATGTTTCTTTGGGGAACTTTTTTTGCGCCGACAGGCCGACTAGCATCTAGAAGTAAAGCTCGTTCACGATTTTCGGTATTAGAGAATCGCACAGGAGCAGGACGTCAAGATGGTGCGAAAAGCTGTGTAAGTGATATATATTATAAATTCAATTTTCAATATATAACTCCAATTCCCTGAATACAACTAACCGTATTATTTTCCAGAGATTCGCGCATTCCTACTCTAATTCGAAATGGCCTCGCCGAGCACAAGCGCAGCTTCTTCATCGTGGTCGGTGACCGATCGAAGGATGTCATCGTCCAGCTACACTACATAATGTCCCAGACAGATTTGCGCCAGAATAAATCTGTACTATGGGCCTACAAAAACAAGCTTCTCGGCTTTACCAGTCACCGAAAAAAGCGAGAGGCTAAGATCAAGAAAGAGATCAAACGTGGTATTCGAGAAGCTAATTCAGAAGATCCTTTTGAACTCTTCGTCTCTCTACACGATGTTAGATATGTATACTACAAGGAGACCGACAAAATTCTTGGTAGGACGTTTGGCATGGTAAGAAGTCGAGGCTAACATACCGCACCTTACGCGCAAACTAATTCCTTTTCTATAGTGTATCCTACAAGATTTCGAGGCCCTTACTCCCAATACGTTAGCCCGTACTATCGAAACAGTCGAAGGAGGCGGCTTAGTTGTGCTTTTATTAAAAGGAATGGATAGTTTAAGGCAACTTTATACCCTGTCGATGGATGTGCACGCGCGCTATAGAACCGAAGCCCACCACGATGTTGTCGCAAGATTCAACGAACGATTTCTGCTATCTCTAGGCCGTTGCGAATCTTGCCTCGTTATTGATGATGAGCTAAATGTTCTTCCTATATCTGGTGGTAGGGGGGTGAAGCCACTACCGCCAAAGGAGGAGAAAAAGTCTCCGGAACAAATAGAGCTGGAGAAAATCAAGGAGTCGCTTCGGGAAACACAGCCGATAGGATCTTTGGTTCAACTTGCCCGGACAAAGGATCAAGCAGATGCTCTCGTTACATTTGTTGATGCCATAGCTGCCAAGACACTTCGCAATACTGTCTCATTAACTGCGGCCCGTGGTCGTGGTAAATCAGCAGCTCGTATGTTTCCTAATCTACTCCCAAAGCAACTGACTAACTGAAGTAGTGGGTGTTGCTATTGCTGCTGCTGTATCTTATGGCTATAGTAACATATTCGTTACATCACCTTCTCCGGAAAACTTAGGCACGCTATTCGAATTCGTATTCAAGGCATTTGACGCCTTAAACTATCAAGACCACACGGACTATTCCATTATTCAGTCTACAAACCCTGACTTCAAGAAGGCAATTGTCAGGGTCAACATTTTCCGGAATCACCGACAGACTATACAATACATACGACCGCAAGATGCCCACGTCCTAGGACAAGCAGAGTTGGTTATAATTGATGAAGCAGCCGCCATTCCACTACGTAAGGTTTCTTCCTCTACTTCATATGTATGTGCTAACACCCAAAAGCGCTGGTACGAAAGCTCTTGGGACCTTACACAGTATTCATGGCCTCTACAATAAGTGGCTATGAAGGTACTGGTCGATCTCTATCACTCAAACTAATAAAACAGCTAAAGGAGCAGGCCGCAACTAGTGTGGCGCAGGATGGTGAAACACGAAGTCCAAGATCGCTAAAAGAAGTCACTCTTGCTGAGCCGATACGTTATGGAAAAGGCGATGCGGTCGAGAAGTGGTTGAACGCACTTCTCTGCTTAGATGTGACCCCTTCAAAACCAAAGAACAGCGTATTCCCAGATCCTTCCCAATGTCAGCTGTTACATGTCAACCGGGACACCCTTTTCTCCTTCCATCCAGTCCCAGAGAGATTTCTTCGACAGATGATAGCCCTCTTCGTCACTAGTCACTATAAAAATTCGCCCGATGACCTTCAGCTTCTTAGCGACGCTCCAGCGCACGAGCTCTTCGTGTTAACTTCGTCGACAATTCAAGAAAATGGTTTGCCCGAGCCTCTATGCGTTGTTCAAATAGCGCTAGAAGGAAATATTAGCAAGAAGAGTGTAATGGCTGGTTTAGACCGAGGTCAGAGGCCTGCTGGAGACTTGATTCCTTGGCTAGTCAGTCAGCAATTCCAAGATGATTTTGCTTCTCTCTCCGGTGCTCGCGTAGTTCGAATAGCAACCCATCCGGATTGTGTTTCGATGGGATACGGCTCGAAAGCGCTCGAGCTTCTTATCGACTATTATGAAGGCAAATTCGTAAACTTAGGGGAAGATAACGACACCTTAGCCAAGAACGCCGATAGCATGGCTATAGATGCCACAGAAGGCGAAAGGAGTGGTCTTCTTCATGAAGACATCAAGATTCGAGATATCGATAAGATGCAACCATTATTCTCGAGACTGGCGGAACGCAAGGCAGAGAATCTTGAATATGTTGGTGTGAGCTATGGGTTAACTCAAGCGCTCCATAAGTTCTGGTCGCGCGCCCTATTCATACCAGTATACTTGGTAAGATCCCTAAATCCGAATCAATTCCTCCTATATGCTAAGCCTTTAAACTAACCCTTTTACAGAGACAAACGGCTAATGATCTAACCGGTGAACACACCTGCGTCATGCTTAGGCCACTAAAAGGTGACCGAGAATGGCTTGGAGCTTTCGCTGCCGACTTCCATCGTCGTTTCCTTGCTCTACTCTCGTACAGATTCCGCGATTTCCCGTGTGTTCTCGCATTAAGTATAGATCAATCTGCCACAACCGGTGCTCAGCTGGATCCGTCAAACCAGCTGCCCGAGTTAACAAAATCAGAATTGGACAGGGCCCTAACACCATTCGATTGCAAAAGATTGGAATCTTATGCCAGGGGTGTGTTAGATCATCATGCCATTCTAGATCTTGTACCCAAGCTAGCAGATCTCTATTTCATGGGCCCTCTAAAGCCAAGCATTAAGCTCACGGGCGTACAGCGAGCCCTTTTGCTTGGAATTGGCTTGCAGCGCAAGGACGTGGGGGCTATCTGCGCAGAGCTGTCCTTGGAGTCATCACAGGGCTTAGCCATGTTTATGAAGATCATACGAAAGATCACGGCACATTTCTCGACATTGATCTCTTCCGCCGTCGAAGCTGATATGCCAAACTCGGATGCGATTGGTGTTAGTAGGGAAAATGCGTCTGGAGTACACGAAGACGAAGTAGTAGACGACAAATATGCACCCCTTGAAACGAGCTTAGATGATGAGTTAGATGAGGCTGGAGATGAAGCATTGCAAGAATTGCGGGCGAAGCAGAGGGAGCTCATTGACTCTCTCCCTCTTGACCAGTAAGATCAACCCCACCCCCAATAGCTTAAGGAGATCAATTCACTTACATTATATCACAGGTATGAGATTGAGGGTGATGCACCCGGCTGGGAAGAAGCAGAGAAACAAGTATTGAAGGCCACCAAGAAGGGCCAATCCAATCCAGTTGTTAGCGTGAAAGCAAAGCAGTCCAAAAGGAAAGCCGGCGTGACGGCAGCAGAAGTATACGAGGAAGCATTTGGTGACAAGAGGAACAAGAAAGCAAAGAAGTCTAAGAAAGGTGCAACAGATTGAGGAATTGTCGATAATTATTGGCGCAAGGCTCTTTGACGTTCGCGAGCTTGGGGTAATAAGTTCGTATGTATATATATCAACACCTAGAAGTGATACCAAATCTATGTTCGGGGCAATAGAGCCGCTCATGGTCACCGCATCGAAGATGGTCAACCACCTGCCATTACCCACGATCAAAATAACACAATTTGCGATTATATTACTATTGACAAATAGACGGTCACTTCTAAACGCCTCCAAAGACACGAGACCGGGGCGTAGAGAAAGCTATTGTGTTACCCCAGCCAATAGGAGGCGTCTTCCCATACTAATGAGGTAAGCGTCCTTGGGATCTACATGTCGGCTATTCTAGTAGGATTACATATTTTCTTAAACATATAATTTAACTAACTACCTAGTTAGTTAATATTGTACAAAGTTTATAAGTTGAGGAATTGATTTGTTTACGTTGTATATCAAAGATATCAATATCTTGCTACGTCAATCGCTCCCCTTTGTCTATAGCTTATGAAAAGTGCATGAGCGACTTCTTAAGACTTTAGAGTTACCTTCTGAAGATCTGGAGGGTTGGTTCCAAAACTAGAACAGTAAGATCAACTCAAGCGTCTCCCATCGGCCTGATAATTATAATATTCTGCTCATTGCTGCCTACTACGATGAATCCGAACAGGAGTAAGGTCATATACAGAGTACTCAATATGATTTTCTAATAACCCATAAACAATGATTAGTGAATTAAATTAAATTAGTATATACCCCTTATCACAAGATAGGTCATGGCCAATTGAATCTTACTTTCTCCTGTGGACAATCTTCATCACTGAACTGATCATAAGTCAACCTTATACACCATGTTACGTATTAATATATATATATATATATATTATTCATAAATCCAATATAGTCGTTTTCAAATATATCTAAATAATACTTTGTTACTCATTATAATTAAAAGAGATCGTTAAATACCTAAGATAGTGCCTGTTGGAATGTTCATAATTCGACTACAGAAACTGCATGTAGCGGCTTGAACAAGCGGAACTATAATTCATCCATAGTATCCCATTGACATTCCTCCAGAACCAAACCGTCCGCTTATGGTTTGAATGCCTCTGCCGTTGCATAATATTCTTGTCTTATTCCTCCACTGCTAGTACTGCTGTCAAAGTCGTCCAATTCCACCTTCACTGTTCTCTCCATTTTAATTCCTCTCATACTTCCAAAACCGTTATTGGCGAGTATGCTGTCCGTGCTACTCTGCCGCTGGAACCCCGTATCTTTACCGTGGTTGCCGCTTTCCACATGAGTCCCAGGCCGGCGACTGTAAACGTTTAATTCGTCGAATAGTAAAGCCTGTCGAGTAAAGGTATAAAGAAGGGTATCAACCCAACCAGAAGAAGTAAATAGAGCTCCAGCAAACAAATAATACTCGTCGGATAGTTGATTGTTCGACATACTAGCCATACGCCCAGCACTAAAGATGCGTCAGCCTGGAATCATCAAGCAATATTTAGATACAACTTACGCTAATGGAAGACTTAGGAGTGTATAAACTATTGCGTATGCCAACATTGCAGTTCGGGCTTTACGCATAGTCTCAGCACTACGTGCAGGCACTACAATTGAATCCGAGCGTTTGGCACGGAAAAGGTAGTAGAAACCGGTAGCATAGACGAGGATAGAGCCAAATTCGACGATAAAGATCCATATATAGTGGAGGGAAAGACGTAGTCCCTCATTGTCAGTAGATATCCAGCACTAGCATTCGTGTTAGGCGACATAACTCGTATTTATATTCCATAGTAGCGGATTCACTCACCCAAACGCCAGCTCTCTGAAACACAAACCGACCACCTATCATAGGCGCGAGAGATGTAAGAAGTAGAGAAAGTCCCCAAATGCCAAGCACACAGTAAATGAATGATTTGTAGGATAAGCTTCTTGAGATAATAACTTGGTATGTCGTGTGTATCGCAATGGAGAGGACGAAGAATGCGCTCGCGACATCTCCGAGCTGGATTAGCCAACCCTGTGCAAAACACGCCTCGTTCGGCCCAATGATCTGACGCTCCGCCACCCAGTGAAATGATATCAAAAAGCCCAGCGATTGTAAGAAGTCGGCGAGAATAAGTTGATAAATGAGCACGACAGACTGATTTCGACCGACGGCACTGGAGTAATGAGATTTCCACGTTATCATTCTCCACGTAACGAAACTCAGCAGAGAACTCGTGAAGATTAGTGAAATAGTAGCGAGAGTTCCTATAGCGAGAAGACCGTTGTAAGTACGGTCTTCCATAGCCAAGAGGCTGTTGGGCGGCTCGAAGTATTTTGAAGGAATCCCATCGCTGCTCGCCATTTTAACGATTCCTAGTTGGCTGATTGAATGACGTTCTTGGTGTATGCTCCTGCAAACACCCGTAAATAGGGAGTTGGAATACTGGCGGACGACAAGAAACGAGGCGAGAAACCATAAGGGACACGATAATGATATACCATAAAAATCCAAAGCTAAAAAAAAAATAAAAAATCACTGATAAAAGTGAGGCTTCATACAGAACCCGTCCCGTTCAGATCTATCATACGAAGCGAAGTGAAACTAGATGTGAGTGTCTGTCTAAGCCAAGTTCGCCTAGGAACTTTTCAATAGTCCAACACTAAGAGAAAGTCAGATGGTCCCGAACCCCAGATCTCGCACGGCGAAGGAGACGTTGAATAGGTATTCAACTAGTATGTGAATTTAATGTACTCTAAAGAAATAGGTAGCGCACACAGACATGGGCATGGGGTGACGGTACGGAAGTCCCCATCAAAAGTTTTGTCCATACACGCCACCTGACAACTAACAGTGCCAATTGACGGCCGCGATTTAAGATGTACATAAAACGTTACCATTTCTAATATATACAACTAACTATACCTTAAATATAACTACAGAATAAAAGATATAAAAACTTTGGAATTTTTTTTATATTTCTATATCTCTATTTGTTTCTAGATTTTTTTTGGTATTTCTATATGCTTTTTCCCTATTTTCAAATCAATATATAGCTTATGATATGTAAGTAAAAACAGAGTAGTTAGGACAGTACGTGTACCATATGGTTTACAGCTGGTGTCAAGCCCCGTCAATATTGGTTAAAGCTGACAGGGGGCAGACCTATGGACAAAACTTTTGATGGGGACTTCGCAAGTTAGAGGCGATATCCCATGAAACGATATCAAATAGAACTCGAAATTCAACTCCACCGTATCTTAGTATGTACATATGAATAAGCCTTTGAAAAGGCTTGATGTTTTGCATGTACATAGACTTAAGGTTGCAGTATTCCACTGATTTTCTCTGATTTTGGCTGAGATCTTCGGTTTCATATTTCCTTTTCGTCACTTTACATCCACAAGAGACCCCTTGGTTTCCTGTAAGCCCGCAAGCCCGCAAGCCTGCACGAGGGTCCGCGCAACAAGCCCGCGCATAAAGGTCCGCTATGTAGTGGAGATAAGCAAAACACTAGGAGCAACACAAGGTTGTCGGTACATAATACTTAACCCCAGAATGCGAGTTATCAAATTCTAGCCACTATTTAGGATACGTTACATGGGTATTTAAGAACTAGTTAACTATATCATCTAGTTAACTATCTTTAAAGTTATGTAATTTTCTTGGCCTAGGAGGTAAGCGGGAGTATAATAAAGACATTTATAGAATAATAAGTAGAAATATGCCTCCAAAAAGGTGATGAAGTAGTGAGGTTTCAATTTCCAACAAAAGAACCTGACCATTATATTGCCATGCTTACGTACCTACCTAGGTATCTAATTGGAGAAATATTTGGAGATAATGTTGAATTTTCATGCCAACCCTGGAACCTCAGGCAATGGATTTCCGGAGGATGCACTTGATAAGATCTTAATCCCTGGGTGTTCATTGGTAATTCCCGGTCGACCGAGTCATTTTTACTACGTACTACGTACTACATATATACAATGATCACCACAGCTATTACTTAAAAATATCGTCAATGTGAGGTTGTAATAAGGAATACATACATATCACCCATAGACTTTATATTCTACGAATATTCCTGTCGCATTTTCAACGAAATATACCAAAGAGGAAAACAAGCTTAGAATGAGAACAAGATAAAGATATCGGGTATCCAAAAGCTCGCCCCCATTCAGTAAATCCGAAAGCTTTCTTCGACTTGACTTTCAAATTGCCTTATAGGGCGGGCAAGGCGTTTCTCGGCTCGGAGCAGATCCGTTTCGTTGTTACACATATGATGGCGTGAGGGGCAATTTAGCCACGAGGTAGAACTTTTAAAGTCTGAACAATAACCCCAGTGACCCTGACGGCGCATCAGACCACATGCTGCAAGGTATTCCAGACAGACGGAACAGAAGGTCCAGGATGATTACATACCGGCATGGTCTAGTATAAAGACGGAGCAAAACTGGAGCATATATCCTGACAGACGTCAAGTTTTGGCCCCCAATCGGTTCAAATCCTTATTCATTAGGTAGGTATACATACTGATCGACATCTGGAGCTCTGATTAGCATGCGTACCTGACCTCCCTTAATCCGACGCCCCACACTACTGAAGCTCTCGGTCAGGAGCTTGGCATCTAGGCTCCCTTGTAGTGCGGACTCCAATAACTTCCTTGACGGGAAGGGCCTAGATTACTTTCATATGTAAAGTATTCCATACGTAGAAGCGTCACTACATACCACAATGTAGTAGTAAGGATGGAGCTTTAACCCCCTTTTCCGAAGAATGTCTCCGAGGCTTTATTAACTGGTGCATATTCCCTCCCTATAATGCGGCTCAAATAGAATGAAACTAGAACGACATACCAATCGCATCAACAGAAATCAAACCGAAAATCGTTTAGAGCTCCAGCCCAAGCTTACCGAACCTACAAGCTCAAGAAAAATTTCAATACGACTGGATAGCGATGCTTGACGCCATGCTATGAGTGGAGAATTTCCCGGGGGTCCAGATCGAGATTTGAAGACCCGCTATTCAAGCTCCTTTTCTGCCACGAGCTGAATGCCCTTAGTATCTATATCTTGTATAAATGCCTGCCACCTTTCATGACGTTAGTTGGGGATTTGGGCCCTGGGGTCGGGCATATTGGATGCAGGTCCGGCACGCTACAGCTGCACGGAAAGGTTTTCCGCGAAAGAGAATATGTAATGAATACATACCAAAAGTCATAGCGGATTATTGTATTACTGGAGCATTTGTCAAAATACTAGGATAAAAACCCCATTCCGGACATTATATTAACCCATCTAGGTTAGAGCAACCGACGTACCACCGCAGATATGCCAGCTAATTCTTTAGACGAGCAAGACAAGTAGAATAAGCTTTTGGTGTTTGTACTATTAAAGCTTCTACTCTATTTTGAGACGAATAGTGTATCTGGTTTTAACCTGTCAAACATACTAGCTGCCATTTTCCTTGGTTCCCCGTATACAGTAGAGTAGACCTTAACCGAAGAAGAGGAGGATCTTGGTTACCAATGGCACTAAACTAATGCGTACGATGCGCTATATGAATTACCCCAACTCTCCCCAAAGCTGTTTCATCCAACTCCGGCTTTCCAGAAGTCTTAAAGGCTCATTTTATATGGGCACGTCTTATCACATGATAAATATAACTTTACGGTCAAGGAATAGCAATAAGTTCCCATCTAATTCCAGGTAAAAATATTCTCTTTCTCATTGGCATTTGTCATAGCCGTCATAGATTCAAGTCGGCTCGTATTAAAACTATGGACTACTCGAGTCGTTAAGAGTACGGTCAGAGACTAATGGTACTCCAGCCGTTATTTTCTATTCATGTTTGAGCAGAATAAAGTCAAGACAGGCACCGCCGCCAATATAGTTGATGGTAGAGCACGCCGTTTATTTTAACGCCATTCTGCTAAGGTCCAATGGTGAGTCTAATTAGACTAAAATACATGCTGTCTCCCCAAGTATGAACTAGCCCACTAGCTAGAGAGAAATTCGAATTAAGCAATGGTCCACATAACATGGTCCATCATTGCTTCCGCCAATTAGATCCCATTTTCATGATTCAAAGAAGGCTTACTAGGAACCAGTTCCCACCTCGGTCTTCGGATAACACAGAGTTCGAATCCCTTTAACAATAGGGGATCGTTCTAAAACTTTATATCATCTACGGCCCCTTACTAATAATTACCGGTTCTACGTTACTAACTCATGCTTCGTAGGAAGAACTAAAAGATGGGCGCTATCAGCAGGTAGTACGGCTCGTACTAGTTACATAGGAAGTACGGTAAGAATACTTGATTGCCAAGCATGTATATTGCACGTGGCGGCATACATAATGGATAATCTAACATCGGAATGGTTTTCGCAATTTTATCAGTCTAAAGCTATCCCAACTGTTTAGTCTAGCCAGCGAAGAATACGGTTACCAGACACTTCAGTACCAATCAGGTCTAGAACTTCAGATCATTCGTTAAGGGTAAAATACCAAGTAAAACTAAACAGCCGTATCCACGTAGAGTTAGTCGTGGATTTAGATTTTGGAGTGGGTGGCTGCTAATTGCCTGCCAGTTGCCTTGATGGCCACCTTTTATCACAACCTCTTTACCGACATTTTAAAAGTTACGACATAGTATCTCGAACGAAGGATATAAAATCGTACTTCCTAGTTGCCTTTTCCAGGCTATAATGGTATGGCTGTCTAGATACATAGTTTCTGGTAGCTTATTTATTACTGTGAAAATCTAGTTCCATACAATAAAGAAAATATCGGAAATAGGAGGTACATTTTTATATGAATTTCAGGGGAATCAAGTAGAATTTAGTGGACCATCACAGACTTAATCTAATATTATGTCTAGGAATCTATGAGAATATATGATAGTACTTAACACATGAAGCATTGAATAATTGGTCATCCCCCTATAGCGATACGCTAGACGCAAGAAGCCATTTAGGCAGGACCAACAGGGTACGAAAATTTCTAGCAAGTATAAACACCCGCTTCCTAAAGAGTCGCAAACATATACCAGATTACCCTACCTGAGAAGTTGGTTTCAGCTTAGCCAGTGTATGAAGTCCAATGGAAGATGTGACACTAGATAGGGGATCGGGGCGCAGTAACTCCAGGTGTTGAGACTTAAAGGTTGTACCTAAAGAGGTGTGTATCTAACGGCTCTTTCTTTTACCCATTTTATTCTGTCGTATTGTTGCCGGTATTGTCTTGTGGGCAGGCCATATTTTTAAATTATAGAGAAATTGAAGTAGTTTAGCCAAAAAATCTTCACTCGATGCCACTACTAAGATTCCAGATGAGATGTCTAAAATACAGGATATTTTCAG